CCTCAGCCTTAATGTATGAATCGATACCATCAGAGATGCGGAGACCATCCAGCTGAGCCTTGGCAACCTTGCTCCAAACCTCAGGAAGGTCAACCTCCTCAGCATATGCCTGGGCTCGGTCAATGCTGACAACATGCTCGACGAGAACGTTGACAGCGGCAGACTTGTTGTCAGCCTTCTTGTAAATCTCAAAGGCTTCCTCAAAGAGACCGACGTCGATACAGGCAGAAGCAATTTCATCAGCGTTGTAGTCGTTCAGCTTGTGGATATAGTCCATCACGCGGGCCTTGTCTGCCTTGGCAGCGGTGAACATGAGCAAGTTTTGCAAGTTCTGGTTGTCGCTGAAAGGAGAAGGCTCGAGAACAATCTTCTCCAAGAGCTCAATAAGTTCCAGAGGCAGGTCATTCTCCAAAAAGCAAGAAACGGCAACAGACACCTTGGCCGGGTCGGTGGACTCGGGGACAGCAGTTGCGGTGACCTGGTCAACGACAGATCGTCTATGGATGTTGTTCTCGCTGAGGACAAAGCGCCAGAGCTCAGTGTCTTCTCGTTCCAAAAGGTACCGAGCCTGGGCCCTGTACATGGAGTTTTCGTTGGTAATGTTGACAAGCTCCAGATCATTCTGGCCCTTGGAGTAGGCAATGTACGCCAGGTTAGGATCTCGCTTCTCGCAGTATTTACCGACAACGAGGGTGTCATATTGATCATTCTCCTTGAGGAACTTCTCGGGGTTGTTGTTGGAGTCGATGTAGATCTTGGCCAGAGCATTGTAGACAGCTTGCTGCTGGTTACCAGCCTGAAGAGTGGCCTCGAGGAAGGGCAGCAGGAGCTTCAAGCGGTTTCGGGTCTCGACCTCAGACACAAGCTGGTCAATGCTAATCTGTTGAGCATCAACGGTCGTGAGGAGCTGCTTGATGATGCTCTCTTCGCAGTCAACGTCGAGCAGACCACCAATGACGGCTGGGGTTCGAGATGGGTTGACACGCTGAACATAGGCTTCGATGGCCTGGAACTGCTGGTTCTGGTAGAGGAACAGGATCAAGTCATGGACAAAGTTGAAGCGATCGCACACGATGATGAGTGGCAGCTGCTCGGGCAGCTTAGCTTCCTTCAAAAAGTTCTTCACCTTTTCAGGGTTGTAGTGGGTGCTGTCACGGCAGATACGCTCAACCTCGTTAAACTGGCCCATCTTGGTAGCAGCTTCGATGTACTTGAAGTGCACATCAGGATCCTCGGAAAGATTGACAATGCTGCCGAGGTAGTAGAAAAGGCCCTCGAATGTCTTGTACTTCTCGAAGAGATCAATCAAGCGAACAGCTCCGAGAAGCTCAGAGTATTTGGTGGCGATGTTCACAACCGACTGCAAGTTTTGGCGAATGTTGTGCTTCATCATAGCGTCAAGGCAGTCAAGAGACTGCTCGACTGACAGCTTACCGAAGAAGGTGGACAGCCACTCGGGGTTGAAGTTGGCGGCGCCAGGGATGTTTACGATGACGCGCTTCACAGACTCAGGGTCTTCGTACAGCTCCAACGCCTTTTGAGCGAGGCCAGCCTGTTCACACAGCTGAGCAATGCGGGCCTTGTCGAAGTGTGTAAACATGTCGTTTCCAAGGATGGCCTCGGCAACTTGAGGGGCGTGCATGAGGTTCATCTCCAGGAGTCGAGTCTGGAGACGAGCGTGCTCAGGCTTGTTCTCTTTGAGGGCGTCAAGCAAAAAGGCAGTGGCCTGCTGGACCATACCCTGGGACTGGAAGATGTCGCAAACGCGCTCCAGGTCAATCAGAGGGCCCTGCTCATTGTTGGCGAGAGCAGTGGCAAACTCAGTTCCCTTGTCGGGGTTGGTACGGATGATGTGCTGGAGAAGCTGGATGTAGTCGGGCTGGTGTCCGGTTTGAGCGGCGTATGGCAGAATCTTTTCGAACTGGCCAGTTTCGGCAAACCCAGCAATAACCTTGTTGGGGACGTTGGCCTGGAGGTAGATGCTCAGCGCCAGGTTGACGTCGTACGGGCGCACCATGTCACCAAGCGACTCGGAGCAGTCCAGCTTGCCCTCCTTGAACCATTTCTCCAACAGGTGCTTTCGGTTCTGCTGCAGGACAGGCTGAGCGAGTTCAAGAGTTTCGTATCGGTTCAGCGCGCCCTTGTCGAGCAGCATTCCGAAATACTGCAGTGTAACAGCCATCTGACCAGGCTGGGAAGGCAGTCGCTTAAACTTCTCGATCGTCTCGGTCGTACGTAGAAAGCCACGGGGGGAGCCGGCGGCGACCTTGGCAGCTTCGAGGTAATTTCCGCTGTTGAAAAGCTGGTCAAACTGCTTTGCGTAGAGATTATCCGCACCGGGGAGACCGGCTCTTGACGCCAGCTTGATGGCAATCTCTGTGTTAGCGGGATTCTCAAGCAGGTAGGGAATAATTGTTGTATCATCGATGGTGACAAAGAGGACCTGGCCCTTGCGGTTGATACCCACAAGACCCGAGGAGTCATCGTCAGCGCAGCTCGTGAAGATGGTTTCGCTGGAGATGCGGTTGATGAAGATGGACGAGCCCGTCTCGAGATCGTACAAGTGGATGAAGCCGTACTTGGTCACCATGAAGATGACGCCATACTTTTGCGAGACTTGCAGGGCGACGGGGAAGTCATTGGTTGCCTCGGGCGGGAAGAAGATATCGACAGCCTTCTTCTGGAAGACTGGGTTCGAATCTGGGTGATCGACCTCGACAATGTGCAGCTTGGCACCAGTGGCGGTTCGCACAGCAAAACTGAAGATCTTGGTGTCCTGGGGAGCACCGTCCAGTCTCAAAGTGCCGAAGCCAGCAGCATGGCCCTCAATGGCCTGGCTGATACCTCGGTCCTTGGAGTAGAGTTGCATGGCACCAACGACACGGCCCTGCTGAGACGAGATGCCGACCACGACCATCCACTTTCCGTCACTGTTAACTCGGTAGTTGATGATTTGGCAGCCCTGTTGTAGTAGTCAAGTTAGCAAGGGGGAGTAGTGCGGCACATGGGGTAAATTAACGCACGCTGAGGTTGGCATTGCGCTCAAAGACCTTGACAGGCGCATCCTGAGAAGCGTCGTAGACGTCCCAGTGGTAGACACTGCCAGTTGTGATGAGGCCCAGAGTGGACTCGCTGATCCACTTCCAGAACTGGACATCCTCGTTCATTGTGCAGGACTTGAGCTTCTTCTTCTGCTCGAGGTCGAAGATCTGGAGAGTCCTGGACTGGGCCTTGAGGGCAATGATTTGTTTGTTCCAGTGCATGACAGCACTGTCGGCCTTGATGGGCCTGCGCGTTACGTGGTTGCCATTCTTGAGCTCAACAATGACAACTTCGGGCTGGGCGGCTTCGTTTTTCTTTTCCCGGATGCAAACGAACGAGTCTGACTCTAGTGTCTGTTTGTTTTCAAGCGCGCGTACAGGTTAGCATGACTGATGTAGCTGTATTGTTTCCTTGGGCGATACGCCAGAAAGAGCCACTTACGCAGGAGTTGAAGCCAATGGATTGCGTGTCCACGCCCAGGCTGCTGAGCTGGACCAGCTCCTGGAACTTGATGGGTAGAGGCGCCATTGCGCCAGAGTAACCAACAATGAGATAATATGGGCCGTCGTCGACTCGATACTCCTAGGGACGCCGCCTATCGAAATTGCCGCGGCTCACAGAATCGGTGTTGGGATTAGGTAGAGCTAGCTTCGGGCTCGAGGGGCGGAGGACGGGGCCGTCAACAGCTTCCATGCGCCAAAGCGGCACGAGACGAAGAACTAGATAAACGAGAAGAAAGGATCGAAAGGAAGAAAAGAAACGCGGCGGCAGGCGAGTCGCGATGAGGGCCTTGCCGATGAGGAGATGCTGGGAGGGTTGATTGGCGAAAGAGGAGATCTGGTTGGAGAGTTAAGGAGAAGTGGCAGGTCACCTTGCAGGCTAGGCTCGCTGAGCGGCATTGACTGCTGGCAGCAACAGCCCACTAGACTAGAACAGGGTGGCAGGAGTGATTGCGTGGAGAGCGAGGAGCCGGCGGCCAATCGCAGCGCGCGGAGCCACGGATAATCCGGTCCCCGGCTGCGCCAAGCCACGCGTGAATGGGCGTCTGGAACAAACAAAGGAACAACGAGAAACAAAGAGGCCCTGAGACGATGCAAGCAATTGCGCCGCAATGCGGGCTGAGCGAGACAAAAAAGCGGCAAAATATGCTTTATTATAGAGTTTGTATTGCGGTTCTCTACCCTTTGTTTGGTATCTCGCCTTTGTTGAGGCACTTGGCCTGTATTCTCTGGCCGATACCTTCCAGGCACATACGCGCAGGTACCTCTTTGTAGAGCTGAGCTCCCCAATTTCCTCTGCGGCAAGCCTAAAACACCAATAGCCAAGTCAGCAGCTAGCGGATGCAATTTCACTGTACGAAGCACAGCTTCCTGTACCAGGAGATTGGCTGCCTGCATCTAACTTCGCAGTTGCCTTTGTAAATACACGTGCCCAGCTGCGAGCTCAATATTTGAGCATTCATCGCCAGGGACTAATTGCTTGCTTGGTTATCACCATCTACGATTGCAATGAACTGGAGCGGGGGTTGTTTCGCTGGTTTGGCCCTTGCTTGCCCGGCCTGCTGAAATGACGGGCACCCCGGCCACCGTTTTGCCGGCTTTTTCGGGACGCCCTGGACTGAGATTGAGATCATGCATGCAAGGCTGCGGAGACCTGGTTCAGTGCGAACCGAACATGCACGCAATCGCCTGCAAAGGATCAAGGGTCGGTGAGAACGGGAACTGCATCAGCCGCCATCCTGGTTCATTTGGACCGACCGCTTTGCCATTCCATCGCTCTAATCGTGCACGGCCAAAAATAGCTGCACTAGGAGGAAGGAAACAAAATCATCGACCGTTAATCGCCATAAACGCCGTGACTTTCCAGAGAGTATATGCAGTATCTGTACAAATATGCCCAGCATCCGTGAGATGGGCCTATATCCTGCTATTCCAAGAGATAAAATGAGATTTCAAATTGCGTTCCTCTCAACTCAGGTGTTCCCGATCGAGATGATGCGTAACAGCAGCCTCATCTCCCTCAAACGCCTCGCAGATTGGACAGACAACCATGTCCTCGATGATGCGAGCGCCTCCATCGTCGCCTAAAGATGCATTGGCCGCAGGCTCTTCCAAAGCCGGCATATAATCTGCCAAGCTCCTTGGGGGCGGTCCCTCGAGATAGTCAAAATCTTCATCATTTCTGATATCCGTGTACCGGCTGCTGAATCGCGAGCTCGACGTACTGGAAGCCATTGCTGCTCCGGCTGATGGTTCGGAGGATCCGCCATCAAGTCGCTGCACTCTGCCGACTTGGCCATTGCGCAGCCTGACCTTGATCCCGCGCGGATGGTCTCCTGATGTGAGGACGTCTTGCACGATGCCCTGAGTTTCTCGGCCTGTCGGTTGATCTTCTTTTAAGATGATGAAAACAGCGGCACCAGCCACAACCTGTTTGAACGTCGGGACGGTGCCGGCAGCTTGCTGGGGCGTTCCAGGCGCTCGATGTCCCAAGTTGGATGATGCTCCTCTTCCTCTTCCTCTGCCTCTTCCCCGAGACTCGTTTTGCCCCGAGGGTCGAGGCTGGCGGTTGCGAGGCCTGTTCATCGCCCAAGAATTGCTTTAATGAACGAGAAGAAAAAGGCATCCATGATGAACATTGATAGTGCACAAAACGGCATTGGTATTAGTCAGCGTTTATCCACACTGGTGTCATCGCATCGCAATGTGAATCCATGAACAACTGTAAAAGCATCATAGATAGAATAAAAATTGGCATATTCTACTACAGGAAATATCAATATTCAAATCATATTAGATGGTAGATGCATCTATGCCATGAGTATGCCCTATGGTTAACCACGCCATGCTCTCCTCACTACCCTGAACCTCAATTCAACCTGCTGTCTTCAATAAACTTTATTGCCCAGCACTTTTCACAACACAGTGGTGTTAATAATCAATAGTGTGGGTAGCGACGTATATGGCATTCGTTCTTGAGACCACTGCGGTAGGATTTCAGTACGTTGATCGGGGCATTCATTCCAGAAGCTGGCATCAATCGTGTGTTGTATGTCATACAAAAACACTAATGTTTGCTTGGCGTCATATATAGTAACAATGGGAGTATGTGGTTAATCTTATCGGCCATAGAGTTTAGGCTAGAGTGGACCATCGAGAATTTGTATCGGCATGCATTTTATGGAAGCTGCGTTAATAAAGCAGTCAAACATTGCGAATAAGTCTTTCTGGCCGAGGTGGAGTAATTAACGTCTCGACTAAATGTGCGCACCTATACGTAGCAATTATGATCGCCCTCATGCTTACACCATCGAAAATGCATGATAATTGACTCAGACTTAACGTCATAATGTTAAACATCTGAACGTCATAAAATAAGACGAGGTTCAAATGTAACGGGCGTTGACTGGTATTTTACGCAGGAGAGTGACCCAAGAGGCTACGCAGAGTAATTTGATGACGACAACTAGTTGGGGGGTAAATAAACATACGCGAATAAAAAATGGGAAGAAATTGCATTATAAATACCTTCATTGATTCCAACAATTTTTCACCTCGAGAATGCACACTCTCCAAACTTCTTTGCAACACTTAATACGCACCTTAGCAGCAAACCAAGCATATTTCACCATGGCAGACAACGACAACCCCGGCAATTTCGCTAACCGGTACGGTCTCCTACATGACTTTTAGTTTCCGAAGCTGACCATCAAAAGCCCCAAGGAGGAGGTTCAGAACATTGCCGCCAAGGGTGGAAAGGCTAGTCACAGCGGCGGCTTTGCGTCCATGGACTCTGATAAGCAGGTCAGTATCTACATTTTATGTATAAATTGTTGAGAGTATGCGCATTGACATACACGGCATAGCGTGAAATAGCTTCTATGGGAGGAAAAGCATCGGGAGGATCTTTTGAACCCGGCAGTGAGAAAGCTCGCGAGGCGGGCCGCAAGGGTGGTTCCCAGTGAAGCTGGGATGACTATGTACTCTTGATGGACAAATAGATCTGGTGTTCATTAATTAGTACATAATGCAATGTATCTTTTAAAGTAATTCTCAAGTACATAATATAATAAACGCAGTGAGGTTTATAGCCGACAGGCAAGTCTAATACTAGTCACAAGCTGGCGACCACTTTGCAGTGAATCACCCCAGCACAAACAATCACAAACTTTCTATTTTAGTAAGAATGCGAGTAGTTAGCACATTAAAAAAAGCGTAGACATAACTTTTTATGAGTAGAACTTCTCACTTGCAGTGGTATGTATATCTGCCTTATTCACCAATACTAATAAATTTAGTCCAAAAGCATTTATTAACTTCGCTCCTAGTATATTCCTCTAGTTGATAGATGCTGTCCAAGTGTTATTCAACGTTCCGCTTCCAGTGAAGGCCTCAGTGCCAAATTGGTAACCTTGAAAGCAGCCAGTTAGTTATGATGCATAGGTAGCTCGTGTGATAAATGCTGGAGTGACATACTGAGGACGTATTGGCTTGAGGCAGGATACCCCTTGTTGTTCTGCAGATACGTGTAAAAGTTCTTGACATCTCCGCTCCAGTTGGTGAGGTTTCCGGGAGCCACGAAGCTGTATACTTGCATGGCGCCATTGTAGCCGTACCAGAGATTCCAGCTCGTGCCGCCGACGTTGACTGTCCCCTGCGAAGATCCAATGGGCTGGATATCTCCGTATTTTCCGAGCCTGCAAATAACATTGCTGTTTAGTCTACAACTCATAAATAGCCATCTTGCTGACTTACCAAATCATGAGTTCGTAGTCTCCGGAATAGGTCACATGGTTGGGATTTGATGCAGTAAATAGATCATAGGCCACATCCGCACGAAGGCTGCTGCCAGTGTAGCTCCACTGGGCAGTGGTGGGCATGCTTGAGATGCTGCTGACAAGTCGTTTGTTTGGAATGTTGAGCGCAATGTTGGGGTATCCCTTGACGTTGTTCTGGCCTCCAGACCAGTTCCAGGTCGTTGACCACACGGCGGAACCGCCCAAGGATACATCAGTGATACAGCCAGAGCCACTACCGGCGGTTTGTCCCCAGAGGTTGTTGCTCAGTGCATAATTGCCGCCAGAGAAGGTTGCATATTGGCTGCAGGAGCTTTGGGCGAGAGCCACTGGCAATAGTGTAGGTGCAATCTGAAGGAACTTCATCGTAACGATGGTAGTATGTATAGTATAAGGCTGTAAGAGAGTGAAGATGCCCTTGGCCAGGAAGTGGGTGACTTTCTATAATTGAGAAACTGATATAAGCAGTCTTATATGTCTTTGGCCTCACCAATAAGTCACCTGTTATCATCCAAGTAAAGGGGCTAGCATCGACCTATAAATCTTTCCGGAATACTGTAAGTAGAAGGTATTCCTCCTCGAAGCATAATACATGGATATTAGGCTGAAACATGCTCATTGCTGAGGTTTTTACGTATATTGCCGTGCAACTGCCTTGTTCTCATGTTTGATTAAGCCTTTATTCGGCCTTTTAGCATCCTATATGGTCCCCACCGGGATGTCGGTTGACCCCTGTATAATAAAAAGCTGCCGGGGAGCCTATACTCGGCGTACAATCTATTTGATGCAGAGCTAAGATTCATACGAAAATATGAATTAAACCTTGTTAGGATATTATTCTACACCTAAAACCCTGCGGTAGATAGACTAACATATAATGGATGATGTCTCATTATTCATTGTAATGCTATATTGTGTATTTTGCTTGTAATATCTCTTTGAGAAGACGTGATAGTGGGTTGATCCAATGATTCGTATCGACGTATCTTTAAAATATAATCCAAGCATTGCGTGATCTTAAAGCTGGTACTTTCACCAACACCTACAAAGTACAACACAAGCACCTTTGTAATTGCCAAGTAGATGTCAAAAGGCCCCGCTTTATCTCACGAGTCTATCTATTGTGCCGGCTACCACTCTTATTTTCTTTATAGCCACTCTCAAAGAAGCGCTGTGACCAAGAGGGAAGCTTGATGTGAGATAATGTCCTTTTGGAACGACACTAATATCGTGCGAATACTACTTACTATAAAGCGGCATACGCATCGCATGCAGTTTGTGCAGAGTTTCATGAATAGCAATACAAATCAACTCCAAATGTGCCATTGCATTGTTATAATAGTATCAGATATAGCTCTTTCGTATATAGATGATATGTTTTGATGTAATCAACATCCCCTTATATACCTTTACCTCATCTTTTTGTCCCAGAAACTAGGATGAGCGATTATTCACCCTCATTCCTAAACGGGCCTATTCGGCTTGAAGAGCGACGATCGCATCACCTGTACAATAGCCAGAACGTTTGAGTACGACCACACTGCTACCACTTCAATTTAAATCGCTAAATTGAGGCTAAACTTTGTGGAGAAGCTCAAAATTATGTTCCAGGCTAAATAACGTCATTCAGGCTATACAGCGCGTTCATGCTTGGCTGTCTCCAAGTTCAGCATATAGCTATTAGAGTTGTCTTATGCAAATGCTAAAGAGGGACGATGTGACTTTCTATCTAGAAGTGTCAAGGAATGAGGTTAAGACGGCAGTGTGCTAGAATCCCGATTGGCGCGGATAGCGAGATGCAAGGGCGGCCTTTGGCGCTTCTCATTCGGAGCTCGGAGACGTCAGATCAGTTCCTGGCGCTTATACAGGCATAAAACGTGGAAGGATTCTTTATTAAGGAGTGGCATGCCTTGATGATCCTAGTAGTAATCAGCGATGACTATAGCTAGGCTCTGGAGTGATCATATTGAGTTGAATATGGGCAGATTGAGCGATAGTATAGGGAGAGAGAGGACTAAGCGATTGTAATCAATGAGTGTAACTGTATGCGACATCTTGCAGCTATTTATTAGTTATCGTCACAGCTCAGATGAGCAGCATGAAAGTAGAAAATTAATGGAAAAAAAAAGCATAGGCATTAGTAAATAAAAATAATCGAGCAGACAAGGGATTATAAGGCTCTGCGGCTAGAAGAATGGCAATGCTTCAAACTGCCCCCGAAGCCTGAAATCGACGAATAAGCTAAATCTCGCCTGCATCTGCAAAACCAATCTGCGATGGACCGACCCATGCTTCATTTAAGCATGTCTTGGTAATCCATACGGTAGTCGAAATAGGGTACTCCGTAACTATACAAGATACGATTGCCGTCGTTTCTAACCCGATGGCTGGTATGCTATCTGATATGAAACAGGCCGATTGCCGAAATCCCATCCGGACCGGCACATGTTTAAACACCCAATGTTGTTTAGTATCGTATCGGCCTCTTTAGGGCGCATGACTTACAAGTCAACAAGCCTAGCAAATAGCAACTCGGCTGTAATAGACCGAAGCCCGAACACTTGGACTGATCAGCGGTGCGTACAAGTACGAACATGGGCGCTCAACACGTCGGCCAAGTGCTAGCTCTTTTCTTGCGTCCATAAAAGCCTTGGCTATTCCCCCACGTAGGCTGCCCTATGTTACCTCTTACCCCGGATCATCATTAGCTGCTGCAGCTATGCTCTTTGGCCGTTGACTTCCTCAGGCCCTAATTGCTGTTCTAATCTGCAGAGTGGAATGCACCCGGGCAAAAACTGAGAAACAAAAGTCTTTCCGCGGGGAAACAAGCATAGCAGCCAAGTACGCTACTAATTAATACGAAGCGTTTAGGCGCTGGGCTCTCCACCGAGTCTCAGATGTGATGGTGCTTATCTTGGGAGCTTGTGACAATGGTCGCTAGATTGCGGGGAAGCGAGAGACGTTAGGGATGATAACCCGCATTTTGAGGTTACATGAGTTGGCCGACATGAAGATCTTGTAGATAGATAGGCGAGATTTAGGATCAGAGTTGATAAATGCCTTCGTTTACGGTCGGTTGGAGACGTAACGTGAGCTATTTGCATGTGGTCTTTGCTAGGGTTATTTTTACATACATATATCTACATGTGTCCATGCTACTGCTTCATTCTGGTTGACAACTTGATTGCATGTAGCCGTCTATTTCTGCATTGAGAGTCTTTTACTGTCATCCTTCGGGCAACACCCGGCATTATGGCCAAGAAAGAAGAGTCGTCGCCTTATGGCGATGTCGAAGCTCAAGATGCCATTTCTGTTGCTGCCGCCCCCGTCAGCGCCTTCGACAGTTACGATGCTCAAAAAGCGGAAAACGAGCAGCAACATATCGGCACGCTGGATCGCCGCCTCAAAGCTCGCCATGTCCAATTTCTTGCTCTTTCTGGAGCCATCGGCACGGGTCTCTTCGTCGGCAGCGGGCAGGTCCTTTCTTTAGCAGGTCCTCTCTCTGCATTTCTATGCTACATCATCACGGGCTTCAACCTGTACTGCGTAATCAATAGTTTGGGCGAAATGGCCGCCTGGCTGCCGATTCCGGGCGCAGTACCGGTTTTCGCTTCTCGGTTTGTCGACCCGGCGCTGGGATTCACGTTGGGATGGAATTACTGGTATCAGTTTGCTATTGGTGTGCCGATTGAGGTGTCGGCTTGTGCCATCATTGTGGACTTTTGGCCAAACGACGTGCCCAAAGCTGCGCTTATCACCGTCTTCTTTGTTGCCATGATTATTGTTAATTGTCTTCCCGTACGGATATATGGAGAAGCCGAGTTTGCATTTGGAGCCATCAAGTTGACTACCATCATCGGGCTGATCCTCCTCATGTTCATCATCACGGTGGGCGGATCTCCATCTGGAGACCAAATCGGCTTTCGATATTGGCACCACCCGGGTCCGATGAACGCTTACTTGGAAGGCGGTGCGCTGGGCCGCTTTCTGGCCTTTTTCAAAGTCTTCATCCAAGCCACTTTTGCCTATGGCGGCAGCGAGATTGTGGTAGTCGCATCAGGCGAGACAAAAGACCCACGGCGAAACATCAAGCGCTCTGTCCGACGAGTGTTCTGGCGCATTTTGCTTTTCTACGTGCTTTCCATCTTCCTCGTTGGACTTTGCGTCTCATCTGAGGACCCTAACTTGCTCAATGCCATCAATAGCTCTGCTCCCGGCGTCGGCGCGAGCCCCTTTGTCATCGCTATCAAGAACGCAGGCATCAAAGTTCTCCCTCACATCATCAACGCAGTCGTACTATCTTCTGCCTGGTCTGCCGGCAACTCGTTCTTTTACGCCTCCACGCGAGTGCTCTATTCAGCTGCTTTGGATGGCAAGGCGCCTGCCATCCTCAAGTACGAAAAGTTTGGCGTGCCGTATGCCTGTGTGGCCTTGACAACCGCGCTGAGCTGCTTGGTCTACCTCAACGTCAGCAATCAGTCTTCTGAGGTCTTCTTCTGGATCAGCAACCTCAGCGCCGTCAGTACCCTCATAGTCTGGGCCAGCGTATCCTTCATATACCTCCGTTTTTATTACGCTCTGAGATACAATGGCATCGACCGTGATACTTTGCCTTACAAATCCCCGTTTCAGCCGTTTCTGGCGTATTTTGCACTAGTTTTTTGTCTTGTGATTGCGCTGTTTAATGGATTTGACTGCTTCTTCCCCGGCCGATTTAGCGCAAAGTCGTTTATCCCGCCATATATCGATATTCCCATTTTCTTATCCTTATTTTTCGGCTATAAACTCGTCAAGAAGACAAAGTTTGTTGGATTGGCAGAGATGGATCTCTGGTCAGGCAAGGCCGAGATTGATAGATTAGAGTCAACGTGGGTAAAGCCAGTACCAAGAAATTTCCTAGAGAGGATATGGTTCTGGATTGCCTAAGTTGGAGGAACTGGGACTGAGGATGTTCTATTTTCATTTGTCATGTTATTGAAATGTATCGTGGTGTTTTGCCCATCATAGAGCAAGAAAGACATAGTAGCTATAAGTAGTTTCCTCGCCGCGTCCTCTGCGAGGTTACAATGAAGACATGCATACAATAAGCGCAGCTCTAGCCGGTGCACACTTCTAGCCAATTGCTATTAAAATTTCTCGTATTAAAAGAAGACGATACAGTATATTTACATATATTAGCAGTGTAGCAAAGTATGAATCGACGGGCTCAAGGAGTCTGATTGAAGTCATAACTGTTCCCAAAACCGCGATTCAGGTAACCTTTCAAAGCCTTTTCACGGCTAACCCAGTCTACGGGAATATCCAATCCCAGCTGACCCTGTTGGTCAAGCTCCTCCAGAACCGGTTTCAGATTATCTCCAAATTCCAGTCTCATGGTGTTCCTGTACCATGGGGCAAAATGGATCATGGCAAGCATAATCCGGATTTGATCAGATGGGTTGGGCATACCAGCATGCCATAGCCTAAGGTCTCGCAACACAATCGAGCCCTTCTTCACAATAGGCTGAATGGGCGGACGGACTACCTCTCGATCACGCAGATGATTCTCCATGATGCGGCCACTTGCTCGCTCTCCATGTGCGCCTTCTTGAAAGCTAATATCCGTCTTGTGTGTTCCAAGCCACAGCTCGGTTGATCCATTTTCGGGAGTCATCGTCACGAGTGGAACGTTGACAACGAGAGCAAAGGGATGCGCCGGGTGAGCAAAGTCGGCATCTGAATGCACCGGCTGGCGCTGGGGGGGTGCCCCCGGGAGAGGAGGCATGGCTGCGTTGGCAGAGCAGAATGTCCATTTTGGCCGAGGACCAAGAACGGCTGAAGTGATTTGGGTGGCAATAGGGTCTATGAGAAGATGCCGTGTTAGAAAAGGAAGCTCTATTCGATCTAAACTGTGCGAGGGATATGTCTTACTCGTGAATATTGATGGGTAGAAAAACTCTGCAACGGGAGGTGCATCTTGCTGTAAGTTTCCCTGATTGTAGTTGAATGGCCCCTTGTCTCCCATGTTTTGGAGCACGCGAGCATCCTGGACCATCTTGGTGTTGAGCTGATCAATGTCTTCGTGCGGCACGACATCTTCAATCACTACGAGGCCATCTTGATGCATGTGTCGCACCGCCTTTTCCAGATTGCGCTCGTCGAGTCTGGCGTTCTTGATCTCACCAACACTGGGGCGGACCACGGCCGGCCAGTGAAGGCTAGGAGATGAAGCAGGCTTTGCTACTGTGGCCATGCCTCGACTCAACAGCCGCGGAGCTCGAAAGCGCACTGCAAGCATGGCGATTGGGATATTCTAGAAGTTCTGATAAAAAACGTTTTCGGTATATTTAGGTATAATGATAAGGAATAACGAAACTAAGAGGATCACCTGCGATGCAAAAATTCACTTATATATACTTCTGCCCACCCGTGGGAAAAATTCCATTGATGATGCTATACTGAAACCCGAGCTCGGAATTCCCTTCCCACTTGGTGTCTTCACTAAGAAGCGGGGGATAGATGGCTTAAGATCCAGACCCAGTGTCCGCTTCCCCAGAAAAACTCGGAGATTCGAATTCCGCGGCCCAGGAGTCCTTTAGACTGGAAATTAAGCGTTCAACGGGCCATCCCACAGACCGTTTGCACGCGGATAGGCGACGAATGACTTCTTGTCTAGTGGCCTCGGACCGTATGAACTTGCCGCCTAAAAGGGGATTTGCAGTGTCAGAATGGAGACCACGGGGGAGGCGGAGAATGAGTGGTTAGTAGAGGGAGGAGCTTACAATATGCAATAGGGCCGAAAGAGTTCACGAGGACAGACGGAATATTCGCTGTGAATGCAATTCCGCAGATCTCGAGAGCGAAAGCTTCCAACAAATCCTCCTTTTTCACATCGCCGATGATCTTATCGCTGCCATCGCAAATCTCTGGCAGCATTGGGAGCTGATTCAGGGGTGCAAATGCGGTAAGTATATTGAGTGCGAGGAGGGCATACTGCCTTGCAGAAGCTAATTGTGTTGCCAAGTCAGTTACCTTGGGTCAATAATGATAATTTCTCTCAATAATAGACATTGTTATAAAACATACCGTGAAAATCTTGTAGAAACCAAAAGTGTGGTAGTTCGCCAACTGCTGATACAGCCACACGTTGGCTTCTTGAGAATGGCTTGATGTTTGATGGGACGTTTTTGAGCCAAGTTTTAACCATGGAGAGTAGTCTCTCCCAATCAGGTTCCGAGACTTGATAGCTGAAGGCCTTGTTGATAACTTGACCAAGGATGAGTGTAATGGAGTGGAGCTGGTCTTGGTTGCCCGTCAGACTGGGAGCGGACGCCATTGTCACGTCCATTTTTAGTGGACAGCTTTCAAATAAGCTAAAAGTAATATCCTCGCGGAGATAGTTCCAGAACCCGGCAGCGAGGAGGCTTCCAGGGGGGCTCGCTGCAATGGAGTCTTCACATGATGCCAATGAGTATGCGCCTTGAAGATGCCTGTTGGGATCGATATCCTCTTTTGGACGTCAGCTCGGATTTCGAAATCTGCATTACGGCATTAATGGAGGGATCTTTTCCTAGCTCACCATTGAGGATCTCGTACGATCGTAATAAACATACGGCCGCTAATGCAACCCCGTTTCTCAACAACTCAATCTTTTCGTCCAATAGAATCAGGCGATGGACGCATTGCCCATGATAGAACTCAGCTACTGCCTTTGCAGGCTTAGATTTCGTTGTTTGGCTCACGTGCTCTGCAGACAAGGCAATAATGGCACTGAAGAGGAGCGGTTCATCTAGAGCAAGCTCAGGTACCCTTGTGGCAAACAGACGTGAGGCATCGCCGAGGTCATACCACTTTGCAGGCTCTGCGATGTAGTTGAGGAAGTACCAGGCCACATCTGGTGACTGGAGTGCATCTCGCGGATTTTCGGGAGGGGGGAATTTCTTTTTTTCAGCGGCTTCTATAAAAGGAATTTGTTTAGCAAGCTCGAAAGATGAGGTGCTTGAGAATCCGGGGTAGAATGCATAGAAGCCGCCATAAAGACCGAAATAGGGTGCTCACGTACCTTTAGAAAGATTTCCCGTCCCTGGTTGATAAGAATAGGCTAGAAACCTGGACGATTTTCGAAGACGCGCACAGTATCTTCCCGATTTCTTGCATTGGCCGCAGACGGGGGCGGCTTCATCACCTGCCAGACAACGTATATTACATTAGTATATCCCGAGCGAGAATTACATTGAAGGCCAGTTGTGCATAGAAGAATGTGCAATCTTTAAAAACCACTTTGCACTACTCACATTTAACCTTACGACGACGGCATGTGTCGCTGTTTAATATGGGGCCAATGGCCGTGATGATTAGTCGCTGCAGAGATGAATCTCATCTATTTTAAATATGGAATCACCACATACCAGGCTATTGTATGAAAGCATTAGCAAGAGGTATGAAGCGGGTGGATCAGATGAAAAATGATAGCCACACGCGGTCCGCTGTAGCATTACCGCATACAATACCGAGACGCTTATACGGCTCGATAGCAAAACAGCCCAAGGAGCTAAAGGCCATATACTCACCTGCGTTATTCAGTGCTCGAGGCATTCGATCCTTGTTATACCATATGCCGAATTGCTTTCTGATGCAGCCCTGTTGGCGGCCAATAAACTGTCAAGTGGCGATGGAAGACAATGCAGCCTTACCCCAAAGCCGGTCAGAGGACGCTGACATTCAGTACCACTTTTTTACGGAGAAAGAGAAGCAGAGAACGTAAACTGAAGACTAGCTTTCGAAAACGGCAGGCCTGTCGTATGATGTAGAAATCTTGTGTCGACCCAACTCCCAACTCACGAGCGGCAGAATCTCCTCTATTCTCGCCTCTTGTCCTAGTTGTGAACTAAAAAGTCTGGGGCTTTTAGCGCTTAACCGACAACAAGGGCTGGGGTATTAGTGTCTGACTACCGCTACGCTAGGTGGCTGGACATTCCAAGCTGCATTATTTCCTCGTGAGGCGATTGGCTGAGTTCGATGTGATGGGGTTCTGCGGTCCTGTTTATGACTGCGATTTTCTAATCCTATCATCACTACAAATATGCGGTGTAACTGTATCCATTAACCGAGGGATATTCCTACAGTAGACGTGATACTAGATACTTGTGTGAACATTCTACTATTATGGGCTGCCAACTACTTTGCGCGAGTGTCCCTTACTCGCATTTGTCTAACCAAGGCTATACACGCATTTATAAGATTCTTCATACGCGTATATATGAAGGCACCTATACGTGAAACTCTATTCTGCAGCGATTAGCTCAAATGCGTAGCTGATAGTGAAGGAGATTACGGTTTAAGGGCTTTGTTGACATGATTTAGCGACGACAAAAGCTGTGTCTTATGCCCACGATGACTTATACCTGTCCGGTAAACCTATAGAGAACATTTTTACAGTTATATTTTATACCGAAGCAATACATACTGCGGTTGGACGATCTTACGTGCATCTATTTTCTATCCTACTGTTGTCTTCGTAGTTAACTTGAATTGTTGCGATGATAGTATAATAAGTTGGTTAACTAAGATTATACTGGGATCGCTGGGAAATGCTACGTGTTACATGCGCATCCAATGTTTTCAGCTCATATCACATTGCCTTGGGCTTTTAATTGCTCGCTACGAGTCAGCTGCCGAAATCCCATACAATTAAATAATCAAGATGCCGATGGTTGTAATTTCTATTAAATCTCATAGAAAGCCGCCCCATCTGTACTTCGATATACTAGAACTGAGGCATACGGGACAGCTCGTTCAAGGTTGTAATACAGTGAGATAGAGGAATAGCAAACAATAATGCCGTTTCTGCCTTGCAACCCTAAACTATTCGAGGCATCTGACTATGCATTCTTGGTAAAGTCCATGTTGTGTTAGCATTGTCGACGTATATCGCGTAATATACACAACTTCAAACAAAGTGTGAGGCTAAAACGTTTCTGAAGTCTTGTTCTAGGAGCTGTAACTTTTGGTTCCAAGGACTCTATTTTGGATGATGCATGCGGGGTGAACACAACTGCAGGGACTATACATCTAGAACATGCTAGCGTCAGCATGCGAAACTGTCAAACACGTAGAGATCAAAGGTTAAGTCGTATAGGTTTATCTGCTTGTAGCTAGTAATTTGACATGCTAGAGTTTACAATATGCTTTCAAATCATTTGGTCATCTCGGTAGTGTTTTAGAGCGGTAGCATCGATGCTGGGGAATCCTAGATTGCTACCTTTTCACGGCTAATGATGCCGAATACATCTGGCTCGGAACGAAGCGACATATATAGCAGGCTAGCTATCACAACAGGAGTGACAGAGGATCAAGTGGGTTAAATGCAATCTGTTGATAGATAGCAGCTAGGACTATATTTATCTTTGCCCTTCTTTCACCAAGCTGGGGCTTTGCTTCTTGTTCTATATATTCGTTTTTTGTGGCAACTGTATTGTAGCCAGTAGTTGCGGCACAGCTTCTTTGTTTTTGCCAGACGACAAAAATGTCCAATGAGCCTTGATTGTTGGTCCATCTTGCAGACCAGCGTCATGCTCAAGCGTGAGGCTTGTTCTCAGTGAAATCCGTGCTCTCGGATGAGGCATGGTATTCTGGCCCAATAGCGCGGTCTTACCGATTTAATAAATTAACAATTATTAACATATCGTTGTTTCTTCAAGTTTAAATTATATGGAAAAATAGTTTATGGCTGTATATATTGCTTTACCAGGTGATTTAGGGATTGACGGGCCAACTGCAGGGCAAAGCTGAACATTTAGTCACTGAAAGCGGAACCAACACGCATTGATGCCATGACCTCCTTACAGTGTAGCCAAATAACACAATCACTCCGTTGACCGGAGCTTTGACAAGAGCTGTGAATAAAAGGTATGGAATTGCTTGGGTGAGTCATTCCATAATTTACCAAACACATCAGCTTTAGAAGAGTCGGATCAGTTGATTAATACTATCACACTACCAAGCCGAGCTGTCTCTTTTCCCTACTTGCGGGACAACTCTTGTTCTTTCTTTCCTTCGTTTTTTCTCTAAAGAAAACTCTTTGATCCTGAAAATTAGATAATTGAGGGCATGCACCATGGCTTCCGAGGGTCGCAAACAGCCGCCTTGGATCCCCCCCAAAACCCAACCTGACGCCCAACTGCCCCAACTGAAGATCTACAATAGTCTTACAAGGACCAATGATGAATTCGTCCCAGTCGACCCGACAGGGAAGATGGTGACGTGGTACGGATGTGGCCCGACAGTGTATGAAGATGCCCATCTGGGCCATGCCAAGAATTACGTCTCGACGGACATCATCCGCCGCATCATGAAGGACTACTTCGGCTTCCGCGTCAAGTTCGTGATGAATACGACTGATGTCGATGACAAGATCATCCTCCGGGGCCGTCGGAAGCACCTGCTCGCGCGCTTCAAGCAGGAGCATGCTTCTGAAGACGACTCAGTGAGTGATTTGGTTTTGGCAGAGACCAAAGCCGCATTTAGTCACTACATTGAAAAGAATCTTCCGTCTCTGCCCTCGCATACAAGCCCAGAGAATTTTCCCGAGGCAGCGTACAAGGCATATGAAGCAAAGTCCGAGCTTTCACCTCTGGCCGACGCCGCGACAACAAAACAGAGCCAGGCTGTTACTGTCGCCGATTTGCTGTTGGGGGCACACATTGGCACGGCTCGGTCGGCTGCTGAGGCCCTGCGAGCCCCGGGAAAGTTGCCAGAGTTTCTCGCCAAGACGGACGATATCTTACTCCCATATCTCGATGCCTTGCATGGTGCAGATATAGACTCTAATAATCACGAGATATACCTGGAGCTGTCTCAGAAATTCGAACGCCGCTTCTTGGAGGATATGAATGCGCTTAATGTACTGCCCCCCGACCAACTAACTCGTGTGACCGAGTACGTTCCCCAAATTGTCCGCTTCGTTGAGAAGATCGTGGCAAATGGTTTCGGCTACGCTTGCCCTGATGGCTCCGTATATTTCAATATCGACTCGTTTGAGAAGGCTGGGCACAGCTACTCCCGGCTGGAACCATGGAACAAGAACGACCGTGTCCTCCAAGCCGATGGGGAAGGTTCACTGTCCAAGGGAAAGTCAATGAAGCGGAGCGAGAATGATTTTGCGCTGTGGAAAGCGAGCAAGCCAGGCGAGCCAGCATGGCCGAGTCCATGGGGTCATGGGCGACCAGGATGGCATATCGAATGCTCCGCGATGGCCTCCGATGCGATCGGGAAGACGATAGATATCCATTCCGGGGGTGTCGATCTTCGTTTCCCTCATCATGACAACGAGCTCGCACAATCGGAAGCCTACTGGTCCACTCCGGACTGTCATGTACAGTGGACGAATTACTTCATTCACATAGGGCAACTGAGGTAAAAATGTCAAATTCCGATTCCGTTGTACAAAAGCACTAACATATCCTAGAATTCGAGGCTTGAAGATGAGCAAGAGCCTCAAGAATTACACTACCATTAGAACTTTTCTCTCCCATAAGGATTGGAGTGCACGTTCTCTCCGAATTTGCTTCCTCCTCGTGCCTTGGCAGGATGGTATTGAGGTAACAGACGAGCTTATGAAGACCACAGTCGGTTGGGAAGGCAAGCTCAATAACTTCTTTCTGAAGAGCTTGGACGTTGAGAAACATCTTAGCCCCAAGACTGCCAGAATGCAAGAGCTTGGCGAAGACCAGCAATTACTGAGCGCCTTGGATAAGGCGAAAGCCGATGTCGACAAAGCTCTTTGCGATTCCTTCAATACCTCAGCAGCCATGAGAATCCTCTCTGACCTCGTTACTGAGTTTAACTCGGCAGAGGCACTTTCAGACCAGACAGTCATCTTGCTCGCCCGGTGGGTAACACGCATTGTCACGATATTTGGTCTGGATCCTGAGGGAGACCTCAGCAAGCCGGATAGTATCGGGTGGTCAGGCCTCGATATTCCCGTGTCAGCAAAGCCCTACATCTACCCTGCTTCTCAATTGCGCGACAAGGTTCGAACCTTGGCCTGTTCCGGCTCGGTCGACCATGCAGCTATAACGAAGCTCGCTGACGGAATTACGATGGTAGCATCAACACTAGTGGCCGAGTCATCCAAACAATACGATCAGGTGCTGCAGCAATTCCGCACAGACGTCAAGGCCCTCGCAGCCCATCAAGCTCCGGCAAAAGACCTGCTCGCCTTGTGTGACCAGCTCCGTGATGTACACCTCTGGAACCTAGGCATCTATCTGGAGGACCGCAACAACTCTCAGCCTGCTTTGGTACGACCCCTCGATAAATTGCTCATAGAGGCGCGAGCAGAGCAGGAAGCAGCTAGCACTGCCAAGGCAAAGGCAAAGCTGGAACACCAGGCCAGGGAAGCTGAGAGAGACAGAGAGCTGCGCGAGCGCGCTATGGTCGACCCCCTGCTGATGTTCAAAACCTCGGAATACTTGGAATGGGACGAAAACGGCATTCCGACTTTCGACGCAGCGGGGAATGTAGTATCCAAGAATAAGCACAAGAAGCTGGTCAGAGAGTGGGAAAAGCAGAAGAAGAGGCACGAGGAATGGCAGGCGACGCAATAGACAGCATAGAAGAGGAGATGGAAAATGACAATGCCTACTCTGGCGAGCCGTCCTTTTTTACCAGTATCTCCATTCTCAAATCAAGGTAACCGACAATGTTAAAAGATTGTTTGTGATTAGAAAGGTAGTAACAAATGAGTGATGATTAAAGAAGATGGATAAAATACGTTCTGTAAGTAGGTATATACAGTTACCGTGCTATACAATGCATCAGCAAATTCAGATTCCTACGTCCAGGATGGAGTGCTTTTGTGGTTCCAGTCCAACTCCATCCCATGTGGCAAGCCCATCTGTTGTTTGAACAGCTTTTCAGAGTGCCACACGCGCATACAAATCAAAAAATTTAAGCCCACCGACTTCCTAGATCTTTATACAGGCCACAACAGCAGTTGAGAAGAGCGACATCCAGGATTCAATTTACTCATACAGGTGTTTACAGTGGAGTTTACCTGTATCAGGCAATTTGTCGGATTAGTAACACCAATTCAAGTACTAGCTATTATGGTCCAACGGTTAAGACATCAGTTTGTGGAACTTCTACAAACCACTGAAGACCGAGGTTCGACTCCTCGTAATGGCACGATTACTCTTTTTACCTGGCTGCTTTCTTTTAGTCTTTTTGCATTTCGTGGATGTCTTACTGCGAATACCTTGATTTTCAATTAACAGTATCCTGTTTGATGCGATAGGAGAATGGCACCTCATTTTATATTCTGACGAGCTTCATAGAGCAATTTGACTATTCTGTAACATCTAAATACTAGTATATAATATACACACATGTTTGTTCGAGCTATGCGGAGCGTTGTTTAATTCCTATTTGTCAAGAGGACATGTCTAAACTGTTTTTTATGTTAAGCGGTTTAATAAGCGCAGCAATTGGATAATAATGTGGATTGATGTCCACGGAATATGGCACCAGTTACGACTTGACCGAACATAATTCGATGTCAATTTGAAAACTAACTAGTTGAATAACTTTCCCGTACAGCCAGGGCTATACGTTTAAGAATTGAAGACCACCTAAGCAGATAAATTTGTGCACAGCCCGGCTGTACTCACCCATTCATTCACCACTTAGACCCTCGGCTCTCCGTGCCAGCAGCAGCCAACACCAACCAGTCCGCGACCGCCACAAGGCAATTCAATTCTAGCATCGTTAATTCCATTGCAAAAGCCCAGAGTGACTGCGTCACAAGTTCCGCCAACCCATTCACATGGATTCTCGGGGAAGTGGCCGAGTCTGCCGAACCAGTTGTCGAACCAGTTATCGGGCCAGTTGCCGGGGAGGTTGCCGGGGATGTTGCCGGGGATGTGAACGGCGCTGGCCTGGCATCCTGCAATGGGGTCAGTATATCAAAAGGGAACTGATTCCGCTTTACAATGGCGACGAACCGTAGACGGCAAAGCTGGAGATGTTAGTAACTGATTTATCCTCGGTTGAAAAGGCATGCTTACCCGATAATAGCAGCGAAGGCGGAGGTACGCATATTGAATTTGAACTTGAGCTTAATGGTTGGTTCTTGGAAAGATGTGATTGAAACTGAATGATTAGAAGTATTTGATGATTCTGTTTGCATTACTGGGGAGAGAGTACGCATTATATATCCGACAATTTGGCAGTCATTCATCGGATAGACAATTGCTACTTTGAGCATCACTAGAGGTAGTCGTCATTCAATGCGATAGAATTCCTGAAAAAAAGACCTCCGTTCCTGTCAATCAGTCAGAATAAGGTTTTTTTGACTTACGGCATATGTTATAATGCAACTTGTAAAGCCTACATAGATGAAGTACTTGTGCCCCTTATGCTACGATGGTGAGACTATGCATATCCTAATATGACTATTCCTATACCATAAAAGTCTTTTTTCACATCAGGTGAGATGTTTCTTGATTCAGTACGATTATTCAACGGCAGCAGTGATTGGACGGACTCTTAAGACATATATCAAACCCTCGTGGGGAGAACATTCCACTGAATATATAGAGGCGGCTAGATTGCTCCGGCAGACTGCACTTGGAGCATTTAGGGCTAAGATCGTTGCTGCAATCCCTTTTTTTAACATATCAGAAATGTAATTGTGCATGTGATCCTGTATAGGCGGCATATGACTTGAATGCCAAGACGATTGGAAAGTAAACCATACATAGGCCCAAAGTGGCACATGATTGTTGTACGATGATAATATGCACGGTGCGCCTGTGAGCTGTCACATAAGAAAGGTATGTTGGTATGCTGTTGTTGCCAGTGTAAACATCTTCCAAAAAGGGGTTCAATTTGCTAAACTAGTGTTGCCTATTACGTAGTCAAGAGAAGTTCACAGGAATGCATTCGCAAGCTTATTTACTGAGCCCGTTGGAAATAGAACTCAATGGGAGATGGAAGCACTTTTAATTGCGGAGTAGATTTATCTTGTTATCCAATGTATAAATTGCTTAATTAGACTTCATCGAGATATATGGTAGTTTGATACAAGGAAGAAGATGATGAAGAAGGGACCTCTTAGTACACAACAATGAGAAAAGCAGCAATCATAAAATTAGCATGGAGAAATACACAAGATAATTTCTCTTCGAGTTTTGTTCTTGCTAGTAGCGTCTCCTTGCTAACCTGTAATTGTGCTTATTTGGTCTGGGGCCACCACTTAGCAGCCTCGGCAGCCAGCAGCTTATTGCACTCCGGCAATTCTATCAAGGTGTAAATTGAGCACGGACGACTCTCCACTACTTATCTTGACCCTGGAGTACGAAAGTCTTCGCTAGGGTTGAGAAATTGCCCCTATGGGTTTATCTTCGCCGCCGTTTGGTCCGCATAATGATATGAGGGTGGGTTTTGACCCGCCTCGGAGCCGATTTCTAGACTCCGTTGCCACGGTGCGTAACTTCAGAGAGATGTGATAATAACTATGCTTTCTCTCTATGAAGTGTCATATCGGTGAAAAGCTATACAAATCATCTCCAAAGAATAAAAATATCTACAACTTGGGTGAAAAGCATTTAACAGCTAATACCAATTTGAGAATGGAAGCTTCTTAACAAGCTACTAATGGAGCGATGGCGCTGCTTAGTATAGGTGGTTTCCACATGAGTCATCAGCTTTATTAAGATACTACTTCATGAACGACGACTGTTGAATCAAGCAACGCCAGGTAGAAAAAGCACCGAATTGCAGCTCTGTCTCTCGGCACACAAAGCTTCCACAATGGACACGTCGCTGGGACCACTCGCGGCATCAGTCGAGCCGGCCCTTCTCCCGCCAAGAACGCCTCTCCACGGCCGCTACACATCTGTAGTCCCGCTCCACCCTCAGCACTGGCGAGCGATTTACAGACATCTCGGAGGAGGGGAGAACGCCTGGCGATGGAAATACATGCCCCTGGAGGGCCTCCTCACCGAGGAGATATGCGAGGCGACGATCGCGGCATGGTCTGCCTCCAAAGATCCCCTGTACTACACGGTGCTTTCGGGTCCTGCTTCCGATCCCGCTTCCGAGCCAGCAGGCATCCTGTCGTATCTGGCAATTGTTCCAAATCACCGTAGAATTGAGATTGGATGGGTGATATTTGGAGATGCCCTAAAACACTCTAGGGAGGGGACAGAAGCATTTTTTCTCTTCATGAAGCATGCGTTTGTGGACCTGGGATATCTACGTGTCGAGTGGAAGGCCAATAATCTCAATGCAGCGAGCTTGGCAGCAGCTCGGCGACTGGGATTTACATTTGAGGGAGTTTTCAGGTGAGACTTGAGATGAAAACTTGCTGCAAATGATCCATTGTGGATATGCTAATTGCTTGGCGAATATTCAGGAAGCACATGATTGTAAAAGGCAGACACCGGGATTCGGCGTGGTTGAGCATCCTGGATGACGAATGGCCTGCTGCTCGGAAGGGGTTCGAAGCATGGCTGGAAGAGTCCAACTTTGATGAGAATGGAAAGCAGAAGAAAGGGCTGAGCGAATGTAGAGATGAGTTGCAGTAGGTGTTTCCGTAGACAGCGGATTGGTTGGATAGACGCTTCATAGACTAAAGGGACGCTGATCCCGAGACTTCTGCATCTGTGGCAATAGATATTAGATGATATGACGTCGCAGCCTGACGTGGCAACTGAGGCACAAATTTGGCCTTCAGGGCTGATGAGCTGTAAAAATTCCCCGATATGTTGTTAATGTATTTCTGCTGAGTTTCAAGATATTTTTAGGAAGTGCCTGTAACTCAATGAAGGCGTTGCGGAGAAAGGGAACGACCAGAGTCTAGAATCATATTTCCCCGGCACTAATAAAAGATTAACACCTCAATTGTGTAGAGCTGAAGTTGTTATGGCGTTTTCCAAACACAGCTTCCGGCGCCTTGTGGCCAAAGTTTGCCCGATGGCGAGGAGCTCTGCGCCGGTCCGTTCTGGCGTGGCCGAATCAATAGCTGGAAGCACTTGGACGGACGCGCGTTGCGAACAATTGACAGCTGATAATTCTCAACCGAATACGAAACTTGATTTACTTGGAGTTGATGGATGTATAATTCTGAAACTCATTGGCAGTCAATGAAAAATACAGCCTCGTTTAGATGCTCAAGATGTAAGTGGTTGCTGTTCAAACATGTAGTTGTCACATGAAGAGTGGCTGCTGTTGCTCTAGATTACATGTGCTAGAATTTCATGCTCATTATACTTGCCTGCCAATGGACTGGGCTCATAAAAAGAGCCGAGACTAGGCCAGGGCTGATCTGCCAACTTGCTAAAAAAAACCAACCACCAAAAGCCACTCGCTGAATGGCCGAGCCTTGGAATGGGGCGTCGAGGAATCCGGCAGCCACCACAAGGTGTCATTGGACGCCATGGCTGGGGCCAATGGAGCACCAGGCGGCACCTCCGGTTCGCCTGGACTCGCAAGACGGCAGCAAAGACTCTTTTTTGAAAAGTTAGGAGCGCTGTAAGCAGACAAGAGCCAGTTGAGCGAAAATACGTATTAGACGCGGACGGCCCAGAAATAGCTCGTACTCTCATTACACGAACGGCTGGACGGCAGGCGATGCGATAAACACGAAAGCGAGGCTAATTCCCTGGCTTTTCTTTATTTTGTGGCTTCTTGCTCCTTGTTTGGCCCCCCCTTTAAAGACTGGTCTTTGCTCTGATCCAAATTGCTCAAAGAGAGAGTGAGAGAAATGCAAGACTGATTCTCTTGCAGCCAAGCGAGAAATCAGGAGTAATAACCTTGGTGATGAGGATCCAAGTGCTGATCTCTCTCGCCGAGCGGATCGTCGGTGTAGCTCTCGCTCATCGCTCATTGTTATCCATCTAATTGTTACGTCTTCGACTATTGACCACTCATCTCCATTTCTATTTACCCGTCAAGTCGACAGTCTGGTTCCCAAGGCGCTTAACACAGCCTCACTCAACCTCTCTACCTTATCGACGCGCTCTGCCTCCCATGGCATCTACCCACAGCGACACAGCCTCAATAGAGGAACCACGGCGCGCTCCGTCAGAACCTATTGATGCGGCTGCAGGAGAGCGACCAGCCGAGACAGCGGCCACCGGCCCTGATGCCGTTTGTGCCGACGATATCTCCAATGCTTCCAGCACTACCAAGAATGGTGGTGATTCAGATGGCGTGCAGCAACAGGTGCCCCAGCAAGACAAACAGCGGCGGCATCCAGAAACACAGCAGCAGCAGGTTCATCAGCGCGAGGGAGTTTCCACGCCCGTGTTGACTGAAAAATCCGACGCTTCCATTGCAACGCCCAAGACAGCCGTCTTGCCGCGTGCCACGACGTTTGGATCGACCTTCACCACATTAACTACTGCCTCCTCCACCTTTGGCCTCCTTTCCGCTCCTCCTGCATGCGACATTCCTGAATCGACGCCACCAGATTGCATCGCCCTAGTCAGGGCTGAGAAGGGAGACGGCTACGTGCCTCAGAACAGAGGGTTGAAGAACGACCTTTACCGTGCTGTCGGGTTCCTGGAACTGGCTAATGCAGGCGACTTCGCTGCCAATGTGTGGAACTCGTACCCCGTGCCGGTGTATGCCACCGTCTTTATGGCGATTGGAGCAACATTCGCCGGCATCATGTCCGTCTATGCCCTTCTGGACTCGCGGCGTGCCTTTCGGAATGTCAAGTTCCTTCGCAAGCAGCGCCTCGAGTTGAAGGAGGCGCGAGCTCGCAGAGCGGCAAAATCACTGCCAACCAGAGACTTGGATGTCCTCTTGTCTGTCAACTTTCGCGAGCTTGGTACGGAAGGTGTCAACCGCTGGGCGCTCAACATGTTCATGGGCGTCGGTGCCGTGCTTATCTGCGTAGGCACGTATCTTGCCATTGCTGGAGCCAACCCGGGCATCTTCTTGGCCAGTAACCTGCTATCTGGATACATTGGTAATGCCCCAATCGCCATCTTTGGCGCCATCAACTCCGGCTGGGCGTACTACATCTTCTGTAAGTCCCAGGGGCACATCAACGCGGCTAAAAAGGCCATTCCCGGTACCCCATCCCTGGCTCTCATAAAGAGGCGCAGCAGGAACCTGCAGGTCTATACTGGCATCAACGGCACTGCCACGATTTTAGGAGGAGTCGGCTCCATGATCACCGCAACACGGTGGTGGGGCTACGTGATACTAATACCCGTCATCTTGGCCTCGGTGTTCTGCAATTACTGGTGGCGTACCAGGGCTGGCTATTCTCGCAGAGACTTGGTGCCCTATGGATTGTCGATTTTCAGCATCGACGAGCTGTCTACAGCCTTGGAGTTTGCTGCCAGAGCAGAGGCCAAGATCAAAGAGCAAAAGAAGACACCGATCAACTCCTTTGTTTCGGATCCATCGTCTCTGCGGTCCGTACTTACATTTATCCAAGAACAGGAATTGCTTGAACCTTTTTGCCTGCGGCTTGTTAAAGACGCAGGCTTACGAACGACAATTGGTTATCCCAATAACCCTGCGGAAATCGAAATCAAAGTCGAGTCTCTCCTAAATCTCCCCAAAGAGTGTCACCCGGCAATCATTCAGATCGCCCAGGACACAGTTCGAAAGATCGGATCGACGCACTTCAAATATCGAGAACGCTACGCGGCTGAACTGCTTGGCACATACCTTGCCATTTCACGGCAGCAAGCGAAACGAAGAGAGAAAACTGAATCTCAGTCTGAGAAGTCTAGTCGGCGATGAGGAACATGGAACGGATATATTTACTTTGAGTTTAGACATTTTATGCATTGAAAGCAAGCGAGCGAGTCGTCATCATCTTGATGATCTTTTTCTTCCTATATTTTTAATGCATATATCGGCGCAGGTGAAGGGCTTCTTCACAAACCATTAGACAATGATGCAGGATGGCATAAGTAGTAGTTATATACTGGAAAGAAAACTATATGGGATTGCCTTGAAAGGCCATGTATTGACCAATCTATTCCTGCGTCTCTGCGAACTTATGATTCGGTCGAGCACGGTTATAGCTCCAAAGCGCTCTGCAGTCAACCGCCTGAGATGTTTACGTGTACATATGGAGGGCCAAGAGCCACATACGCCTCTGGACACAAGAATATACCAGAAACGTGAAAAATAATACATTCTAATTAAGATGCGATAAATAGTAGATAAATATTAAAACGGACTTCTCAATCTACGCCGCACACAAACTAAATCTGTCCATCCGAGAGATAGTGTGATCCCCCAGCACAACGGTATCCAGCAGCCTGCTTGACCCAATGATATCCAGCAGGGCACACTCCAAGGGCCTTTAATTTCTCTCTTTTCTGTGCTTCTTCTTTCCGGCGTTTTTCTTCCTCGATTAGCTGGCGCAAGATCCTTTCTCGAGCTTCAGCCGCTGCGCGTCGCCGAGCCTCCTCTTTCTTCCGAGCTTCCTCGTCTTCGGCAATTACTTCGCGAACAATCTTTTCTCGAGCCTCTTCAGCCGCAAGCTTCTTGGCAGCTTCCTTGAGCTTGAGGTATTCTGATTCCTTTCGCTCTTCTTCTGCTTGATCTTTCTGGAGCTGCTCCCAGACTTCGTCGCTTACACCAGCGTCTCGTACGGCTTTGCCATTGCGGTCACTCTCGGGCGATTCAGGCGATATAACTGCTCCTACACCCGACCTCCCTTCACCCGACCCCCCTTCACCCGACCCCCCTTCATCCGATCCCTCGTCATCAGCCGAGTTGCCTCCATTTGTGGTTTGCTGAGTAGTGGCATTCGTATGGGTGCTAGTCGATAAAGTTGGCATAGATGAGGGTGTTGGTGTATGCGAAGAGTCTGCCTCCTTATCTTGAGACCTTGAAGGAGTAGACTTCACCATCTTAGACTGTCGGTCTTTTAACATCCGATTCAATGCCAGGGTCACTTGCTTTTCTTCCAGTTTAAGAACTTCCGCTTCCAAGTCAATTGCATGAAAGACATTTCTGGCAAGCTGCTTTACGTCCCTTGCACTAGCCCACCCCTCTACACTGGTCAATGACTTTATGGTGGCCATACACCTAGTGAGAAATAATGCGGATGGACGTTCTAAACAGCCAATGTCCATGTCCTTGCCCTTGCTTATAAGCTCTGCCTTTCTCTTTCGCAAAAGATCGGCAAGCAGCTGGAAACAAGCATCTGGCTTGAGGGGCTTGAAGTCGATGTATTCAGGGAAGCGGCTGGTCAGTCCAGGGTTCACCGATAAGAGCCGATTTATATCGTGCTCATAACCGGCCAAGATAATAATGAGTTTACCTTGATATTTGGGCTTGGTAACACAGTCGACAATCTCATCAATAGCTTCTTTGGCGAATTTGCCCTCAGCGAACCGGTAAGCTTCATCGATCAAAAGCACTCTTCCAAGTGACTTCTCGAGAACCTTTTGGACTTTAGGCCCAGTATGGCCGACATATTCGCCTATCAAGTCCGTGGCTGAACACTCTTCTACCACAGCCTTGCTAAGAAAGCCCATGTCGTAGTACACTTTGCCCATTTTTCGAGCCGTAGTTGTCTTTCCTGTTCCTGGTGGACCTCGGAAGAGGAAGTTGAATGGGACGTCTTCTTTCACATCTAAGCCAGCAGCTTTCAACTGTCGAACTCTCCGCTGGATGCTCTCGAGCTTCTCAATAACTTCCTCACGCCCAATATCATCCTGGAATAGTGCTCTCACATTCGTCTCCTTTCTCGTTGTTCTGTCAAAGTCTTCATCAAAGTCCTCCGCTTCAATTTGGTCCTCCCGTTTCAGTTTTCCAGCGGAGAGTCGCTTCTGATAAGAGGCTTTGGCTTTGCTTAGAAGATTCTCAATCGCACCGCCATTTCCAAAATGAGCCCTGTTGCGTTCCCTAATGAGAACATCGAGTGCAGCGGTCTTGCCCTCTCCAGTAGTAGTAAAGCCGGAAGCCTTTAATTTAATGTCCAGCACTTGTCTTAGGGCATTGTCATCAAAATCTGCAAAAACAAATGGCGTGTCCACTGAAAACCGACGGCTGAGCCCTGGATTGACATTTTGGAACATTTCTTCCATTTGCTCCTGGTAGCCTATTAGAATGACGCAGCGGTCATCACCAGGCACATTCTGGACATCTGCGACTATCGTGTCTATGACGGACGTCTTGAAGGGATCAGGCGCATGGCTTTTCCCGCCATATAAGCCGTATGCTTCGTCAATTACAAGCACTTTTCCCAAGGTTGCCGCTAGAATACCCTTTGTCTGAGATTCTGAATGTCCTATATAAGCGCCGATAAAATCAGCTGGAGTTCGGATGACCAGTTCTCCGTTGGATAAGAGGCCAAGAGTGGCAAGAATTTCTCCGTAAAGCTTAGCAACTGTTGTTTTGCCTGTACCCGGAGACCCCAAAAATACTCGATTCAGCGTGAATTGTATGAGAGGCCCTTCTTTGAGTTCTCGCTGGTAATTGGTTGTAATTGAGTCGAGTAGCATTTTCACTTCGCCCTTGACTTCATTCAGCCCAACCATCTGGTTCAAACTTTGCCACGCCTTGCAATTCTGCAGGGATATCGATGGCTCTTGACCAATTATATCCTCTTTGGTAAACAGGAAATCATTCGTATTTTTCCCGGATCGCTGCTCAAGTCGTATGCGGGTTGCTTGCCTCTTGCTTATGTTTGCCAACGCGTTTTCCATAGCACGGGCATTCCCGAATCCTTCTTTGCCTCTGCCCCGGCCGACTCTTCGGGCAGCGATACGAAAGTAGAGACCATCCAGACCGTCTTCGACATCCATCTTGTTAGCGTATCTGCGCTTTACCTGGCGCTTGAGAATTTCCCGCAGCTCTTCATCAGTGTAGTCTTCGAAGGTCATTGTGATAGGAAATCGACTAGGAAAACCGGGATTGTGTGCGAAGAATGTCTCCATCTGTTTAGAGTACCCAGCGAGAACAAAAGTGATCTTTCCACGGAGATTCTCAACCTCAGCAAGCAGGTAGTCTAGGACCGCTTTACCACCAGGGCTGTTGCCAGATGAGAGCTGATAAGCTTCGTCGATGAAAAAGACTCCTCCCCCTTTGTCTTTCATCTTTTCAAGCAGATCTTCACATCCTTTGACTCCCATGTTGGCTAGCTTGGAGCCTGTTGTCTCTTCAAAGCACTTTCCAGAGATAGCTCCCAGAGTAGTGAGGAATTTGCCCCATATACGAGCCACAGTTGTTTTACCGGTTCCAGGATTGCCAAGAAGTGAACAGCTGAATCTCGCATCAGAGAGAGAGACACCTTGTCGGATGCCAAGGTCGAATTCTGACTTTTTGGCGAGAAATTCTGCTTTGACTGACTCTAAACCAATGAGATCCATCAGTTCATCCAGGGCATCATTGTGAACTCCAGTATTGCGTTTCATCATTTCCCATTCTTGCGCTGCAGGGCCAAGGCTGTCGAAACTAGCAGATTTCTTCTCTTGAAGCTTTGCGGTATCATCTGGCTTGGCTTCTGCTGGTTTTGATGCATCTAGCCTTGCTTTTGCATCTCGCAGAACCTGCAGCTGTGCTTTCTTCTCCGCAAGCTCTTTTGCTCGATCTTCCTCTTCTTGGTTATACTTCATCCGGCGCTGGTGAAGGTCAATTTCGTCGTCTATATCCTGTAGCTCACGGCGATATTTCTCTTGCTGCTCTATCCTTCTTTTCTCCATCTCAAGGTCTCGTTTGGCTCTCCGTCGTGTTTCTTCGTCTTCTCTCACACAGGAGTTGCAGGCTTCATTTTCTTTCCCACACAGATGCTTCACTTCGTGTCCGCGCTCGCAAGTTCTCTGCATCATTTTTGTACATACCACCTGTGAATGGTTGGACATACGATGGCATCGGCGTTTGCATGAATGCATCCCGCACCTAAGGATTGAACCACTAACATAGTTAGCAGATGCTCGGATCAAAATCTTATACCTGAAAACATACCATATCTGAGCGCATCCCCCATCGGGACAGTGCTCAGCAAAATCTTGAGGTTTCTGAAGTAGAGCAGATCGATCAGGGTGCTGTTCGCAGTGAACAGGCAGTCCATCGAACAAGAATCCTTTTTCCTTCATCGCGTCGAAGTAGATTTTCCACATTTCGTGGCCCTTCTTACTAGCTAAGAAAGTATTCATATTCCCAAAGAGAATAATACCGTTTCTTGCTCGTGACAAGAGCACGACTAGTCTCTCACGAGCTGTGAGGAAACCAACGTCGCCTGTCTTGTTGCTTCTGGCTAGCGATATGACCACAATATCACTTTCTTCTCCTTGATAATTATCTGCGACCTATCAGCATATGTACTATGGACTCTGTGAGCATGATTTCTTACCAATGGTCGAGAGACGCAATTTTCCCTTCGTACTCCTGGCAGCAGCCTGTGTCATTAATCCTGCGCGTACTAGTTCGTGAGTGTCCAAATCATTCAGATAGGGATCGTTTATCTCGCTGAGCTTTTGTCTCAAGAGTGAAAGCTGCCCCATATACGGAGTCAGAACAACTATATCTTCAGAGCTGTAACCTTGTTGACTCAGGTACTTGACCGTTTTCAAGACCATGTCGGCCTCAAACGTATTTTTCTTGCTGGCCTTTGAGCCTGGATCCCGAGGATCGGCAATGCTATCCAGTTGCTCCTCCGGCTGTTCGTGATTTACAAAGATGACTCTCTCCCGCAATCCACGTATTTTTTCACGATTACGTGTTTTTGGCACGTCTTTAAGCTCCTCGTAGGCTAGAAGTCGTGAGAATTGGGAGATATCCGGATGACTGCGATGCTGCTCCTGGAGAGTCGTAAACTCATGGCCTTGTCTAATGAGTCGCTCAAAGAGGGAAACGTTGAGATCATAGCCTTCGCCCTTTTCCACAGAGAGATTGTAATTGTTGATCTTGGGACGAAGCTGCTTGTGGTCACCGATAAGTATCAGTTGTTTGACAGATGGGCTGAGAGATGTAATGACGTGTGCCTCAAGAATTTCGCCGGCTTCTTCGACAAGGACAATATCTGGCTCAGCCGCTCGTATGATGGATTGATACATTGCCGCGCCTGTGGTAGTGCATCCAATTATTCTCTTGCTCTTGACAATGCTTCTCTTGTTTTCTTTGAGAAGGCTGTCTATTTGACGATAGACATTATTTGCTGTCTCTGCTTGTTGTGCAAACTCATCAATCTGCTCCTGTCGAATTTGGCCTTTCCATTCATCATGGAGTTTCTGTCTCATTTTTCGTGGCATTTGCCAAACCTGGTGATTTTCAGGAGTCATTTGACCAGTCAGCAAGCCTAGCGATGATAGCTGTTTTCCTTTTACCCAGTAATCGTAGATATCAGCAGGCCGCAGCGCCCTGTTGTTTCTTCCTGCAATCTTCTCGTCACCAGAAACTTGGAATGCATCCCAGTGCTCAAAATCAGAGAACTCTAGCATGTCCAATATTTGCTGTGACTGAATTTTTGACTTTGTTAGCTCCTCTATAATATCATCTAACATCATCTTTGACTCCAGTGTTCCCGTTCTTGTGGCACTAAGCATCGATTTAGTCTCGCTGCTGAAACGGAATTGAGGTTCCTTTGCGAGGGCATCGATTCGTAACGGTTCTGTTTTCGCAGAGGCTTTAGAACCAATTCGAACCATGTCACTCCGCGGAATGCCTATCTTCATCAAATCTTCAAGAAATTGATCCAAGGCGTGATTTGTATAACTCAGAATCAAAACTCGAAAATCAGTCAATTTCATAAGAGCCAAGGCAATAATAGCTCCAATGAAAGATTTGCCCGTTCCTGGTGGGCCTTGAATCTGCCCAACAGGGCTTTCCAGGCCGTTGATCAGCGACTTGAGCTGTGCATCTCGAACCTGCACTTTGATACCTAGTTTGCTCTCTAGGTCGAATGACTCTTGACGAAACAGCGCGCGTTTTAAACCTTGGATGAATTCGTACAATATCAGAGGGGGATCGTACTGAGATGGAGGCCCTGACGGATCGAGGATGGCATTCTCGATCGGAATCTCTGTGATTTCTTTCAAGCGATTTAATATTGGTTCGTAGGCAAATGTTGCGGTATCGACGACGTAAAATCTGAGTTTATGGTTATTCGGGCCCATGAGTGCCTGAACTGCTCCCTTTAACCCAGTATTATCGGTAAACTGTATTCCAATTCTTGGGGGGTCTTCGAGGAGCCAGTCTATATCGCGTACAATAGAACCAAAGCCGATGATGCCTTGATCTAAGCACAGAGCGCCGAAAGAATTGTGCCTCACAATGTGCTTGGAATCTTCGAGGTGCTTCTTCTTGCCTTCTTTAGTACGCATATTCGGAGGAAAGAAGATTCCCTCTCGACACTGAAGCAACAGCGTGAATGGCTTCGATGAACGATCAGTTCCAATGTCATAGTCCACCAGACTGAGACCACCGTATGTCGATGATTTGCGTCTGGCCTTTTTTTGTCCCCATGCTATCTGCAGATCCTCCCTTAGATCTGCAAGCATATCCTCTCTCAAAAGGCGGAACAGCCAGTCAAGGTGATTTCTCGCACGCGTGTCTCTGGGGACTTCAAACACATCGTCTAGCCGTTGCAAAAAAGGTTCCTCTTTCGAGCTAACCTCATGAGCGGTAGGGAAAATGGAAATTTTGCGAAAATCCTCGAAATCGTTGTCATGTCTGCCACCAGGGCTATAGCCCACTCGAACTGAGGCAGTTGCAGGGCTATTTCTAACTTGAAGTACATTGTCGATGCGGTAACCAAATGCCCGTACTGCCTCGGATGGTGACTTTGTCAGTGATAGGTTTCCAGTAAGTGACTCCACATCACGAGAGAGCACCAGGACCTCGGGTGATGACGAAGACACGATTTCCAAACAGAGAGACGCAAAAGCAACCAAGCTATTATCACTAAGTTGGTTGGATGTATAGAGGCCGAGAAATGCAGTCCAGAATGTGGATGGGGAGAGAATTTCCTTCAGCAGTTTCTGAAGAAAGCCGCCATCATTCATTGCTTTGACCTGAGGCTGGCATACTTGATTGATAAAGGCAGCCGTTGAAGTCATAATGAATGCGGGCGTGAGATTACTGCGAACGGCACTTCTCACCGTGCTAAGGCCTTCATTTGACGCAATTATGCATTCCATGCAAACTGCCGCAGATTTCTGTTCACATATAACGTCGACGGCCTCGAAGAAGAGCTTGGAGTCGTGTGAGGATTTTATAGTGCGGTCGCCTTTGATGAATGAGTAAAAAACACTCTCAAGCCTGGCAGTACGGCCAGCGTGGCCAGTTCTGGTAGCCATGATGTTGAATGAGGTAGTTGGATGCAGTAGATTGTCGGCAACGTTTGATCATGGCGAGTATTCAGAACCGGAATCCGCCCCATATATAACCACATGGGTCTATCTATCAGGCCACAAAGACAATTCCACTATCGGCGAATGAAAAGATTCAGTCAGTACGTCAACACAACTGTAGTGAGTGCCGTAAGGCAGCCTTGGTACCTGTAGGAGGCCTTGCTGCGTGTCGTGTTACACAAATGGTGGGGGGGAGCTCCGTTCTCGTTGGATGAATCTTATAGGCCTCCCGCAGCCGCGTCACAGCCTGGCCATCTGATTCGGCCACGACATGAGCCTTTCCCCTCATCAGGCCGCAGCGGCCTTTCAGAGGCCAAATGAGTCGGAACAGCCATGTTGTGTAAAGTCAGATATCAAGTGTTGGCCCGATAACGCGGCCAACTGCGCCTCAACGCGTTTGAGAGCTGCAGATAACAGTGAAGCTATAGGCCGCCCAGAAGTGCCTTCACATGATTCGCCATTTCTTGTGGGTAGCCTCCCAATTTTATTCATGAGTAAGAGAGGATGGGAGAGTAACATAAATCTTGCTGAAATGCCCGGCCCCAAAGTGTTGATTTTGCTGTGCAAACTAGAGAGCCGACATTTCTCCTTTACCAATATACCAATATACCAACATCCGAATCATGTCCTATAATAGAGGATGGCGCGGCCGAGGAAACTTCTGGAATGCCAGACCAAAAAATCCTCTTGCGCAGGTGGAAGAATCGCCTTTTCCTCCTCTCGGAAACCTGATCGAAGCTATTGATGCAAAAGCCCTTGAAGATATTGACGATGATGAATGCACTCAATTCAGCATGAAAGATGTTGAGCCTATAGCATCTTATAATTGGGTAGATCAAAAGGCTCCAAAAATAATTGTTCCCGGTATGTATGCGTTATTATGCTCCGTGAAAGGCGGGAAGTGAGTGTCTAACTTTAAATTCTCGCAGGTTGCCCTCCTCTTTGGAAGCCATTGGCCGACCATCCAAAGCTCCAAGAAGATAATGGCGTATATTATCGTGATGACAATTCGGCCTTCTTCCCAAAACATCCTCTCGAACCTGCGATCGTTTCCGTCATGAAGATGCACCCGGATGCATTTAACATCAATATTGTCGGCTGTAACAGTACTCTTGGAAACCTTTTGCGTTTCGTTCGAGGCGTTGAGTGCACTTTTCGTATGCTTGTCGAAGTTGTGGGCAAAACTGTCCATCTCGTGCGAAGAGAAAGGTCGCCAAAGGAGCAGTTGATAGGAGTCAGAGGCTATGGACATACTTTCCCAGAGGCTTATACCACATGGGCGCCTGATGTCCAGCCGTCTAGATCGCATCAGAGAATTGTTAGATGTCGGTTTGGAAAGCTTGATTTGCTGATGCGACAAAGCTCAGATGGCTACATTGGAGCAGATAAAGGCAAAAGCCCACCAACTGCTACGCCATCTTCAACTTCCGATGAGGATATTGTCAATCTTCTTGGAGATCTCTCTATCAAGTCATCGCTTGCCAAATCGACCATGTTTGGGCAGCTTGAAGTAGTCGATGGCGGTCGGCTAACACCGCAGTCATCTGCCTTTGATCTCAAGACTCGATCAATCAAGGCTATTGATAGAGACACTCTTGGAGAAGAATTGCCGCGCTTGTGGATGATGCAAATTCCCAACTTTATACTTGCGCACCACAGATCTGGAACTTTTTGCAACATTGAAGTTTCCGATATCCGAGATGAAATCGAAAATTGGGAAAAATCTCATCAGGCAGATTTGCGTCGTCTGAGCGCGCTTCTGCACCGCATAATCACTACGGCATTAGAGAAAGAAGACACCTTGTTGGAAATTGTCAGGGTGGAAGCAGGCTCCTTGGAGATTCGAGAGCGTCTTCCAGATGTAGGCGTAGCATTTTCAGCAGAAGTGAAAGAAAAGTGGTTGAAGTGGCTTGGAGACGCTGAAGAAGACACTGAAGAGGTTGATGACGATAGCGACAGTGGCAGCGGTGATTTCACTGAATGCAACGAGGAATGCGGATACTGTGGTAAATGCAGCTCTTGATCTTAGTAAAATATTAGTGGATAGCTCTAATAACTGGATTCTTTCTCCGTCGGACTTTTCGCTTGATGACGGCTTCTAGCCGTAGCTTTGTCTCTCGCTGGAACCGGCATCAAGGATGTATGAGACTGTGAGTGAGTATCGGCATAGCAGAACCAACAACTTTCAACATTCCCATTGTAAATGCCTACTAATCGCCCATAACTGCTGATAAATCCGGAGACAGGAAGGGTAGATACAGAGAGTCTTTGACTTTGCGCCTCGCGATTGAGAGCATAAACGCGGTTCGGATATCCACATTCGCCGAGGTTCTTTACATTCTATTTCATTGTTTGGCTTTTCAACAAGGTCTTATGCCAAATCTTTCTCAACTTTGACCAGCTTCGGCTTTTTAAAAGACTAGCAATTCGCAAACAAGCATCGGTCTAGGTGGGATAGTGTGAGCTGAAGGCGAGGCGGGGATGAGTAATCGCAAATAAAGAAGCACGAACCCAAGAGCGAAGGGCGAAACTGAGCGGACTTTCGGCCCATCGGCTTACAAGCGAGGATGGCAGCTATTACAGAATCGTGCTTAATTCATCGAATTAAAATCTAAGATTAACATGGGATGTTGTATCCACAAGCAAATAGGCGTCGGGCGACATCTGGCTCTTCGTAGAGCATACATGTCATGTATATAATGATCAGAAGCCCCCGTTCAATGATGTGTATCCGACAAGTTATATTCAATTCGACATCTCTTGCACAGCAACTACTTCTTGATAAAGAACGAAATATGACTACCTTTAAGAATCACGAAGAGATTCTGGAAACCGCTTTCCGCGACCCCCAAAACACCGCAATCAATTTGGAGCCCTCCAATGTAAACAGAGTCATCAAGAGCGGAGCCTATGACGCCGATCCGAATATACATTACACGAAAACCCAATTATGGGACATGGAATACAACAAGGCGTATAACCCGGAAAAATACTTGCGACACATCTTGCGGCCAGGAAGCGTTCGGATCTTCAATGTACAGAAAGATGGCCCGAGAGAGACATTTGTCCGCGTTTCAGACCAAGTAACATGGGTGGACCCTTCCAAATACAGCACGGTCATTGAGCAAGTTCTCATAGACAACGAAAGGCAGCGAGCATTCTTCATTGGTGTCCCGGAAGTCGAAGACCCAGAGGGCAAGAAAATTGTCTCGGGAGACCAAGTGCTTTTCCATGTCGAGCACTCTGCGGCTGGAGCTGAAGACGAACCGCTCAACATTTGGCGAATTGTCCACTTAGACAAGGACGAAGACGGAAAGATAAAGGAGGCGTTTGCGAAGATGGGTGCTGCACCGTACCTAAGAGAGTTTAACGAGGTGTATATCCGTGAGGATCTGGGCAAGAAGCTGATTCGGATTTGATGCGCATATATAATAGGTGGCAGTACTACACTGCATGCTGTTTCAGTATTTACATATATTTTAGCATACATGAATTAGAAATAGTAAAGTTTTTCATGAATCAATTGTTTGATGCTTCGATGTCACTTTATTGGCTCACGACGGCCTCTGAAGCTCATAGTATATATGTATTCACGCCACTCAAGTATTTAGCTATCGAATGACACTTTGAGAGACAGCTTTTGAGTTCCTAGCGTAAGAAAGGGAATGGAATAGACTTTAAATTTCGAATTCCTCCTCTGAAGTCCATTGCGTCTACTTGAGCTACACTAACTTCAGTGATACTAGGCTATGTAAACTCTGTAGCACCAGGGGTATGGATCTTGCAGCTCCTGTGTCGCCCATTGGCCAAAATAGCCCATAAAACATCTTTTAGGTCTGCCAGGCAGTACCTACATGGAAGATGACTATTCTCGAGTTTTTATAAAAAATCCAGTTACTAATTACTTTCAGTCAATTGCTTTAAACAGTGATTTATTGATTCAATCGCTACAAAACTGGATTTTCTAAGTTTGTTTACTCAAGGCCTCCCGGCGGGAAGTGCTGTTGGGGTCAAAGTAAGGTCTCTCGCCCACACCAACAGCTCGGTTGCCAAAGCGCTCACCCAAGCCTGTGTAATCGTACGTCGCAGTGTGGAACACGCTCCGGTTATCCCAGATGGCTATTAAAACACGTTAGCCCGTGGCTCAAGTAAATGATAAAGGATGATACATACCAATGTCGTTGGGGTTCTGCCAGCGGAATCGCACTTGCAGATCATGGCCATCATGGACGAGGTCCAAGAACCACTGTCGCAGTCTATTGCTCTCATCTTCGGTCACTCCGTTGATGTGCTTGACATGACCGCCAACGGGGAAGATGCTCTTCCATCCGGTGACGGGGTTGGTCCGCACGACGGGGTGAATAGCCTTGAGTTCAGAGCCAATGTTCTCGGGGGCACCACGAGGCTTGGTGTACAGCTCAAAGCCTCCACGTGCAGCAATTTCGTTAAATGAGGGTGTTTGGAAGGTAGCAGTCAGAGACTCAAGGAACTTTTGATAAGGCTCGCTAATGCGATCATAGATTTCGTAGCCAGATGCCCAAAGGGTATCTGTAACATAGTTAGAATAACTGTCGGACGTAGAAAAAGAAGCTCAACTTACCGCCTCCAGTCGGGGGAAGTTTAGTAAGGCGAAGAGAGGTGTAGTCGGCTGGAGCAGGCTCAAAGGCGATATCGCTGTGCCAGCTGGCGGCCTTTTGCTTCTTGGGGCTGAGCTCTCCTGGACCATTCTGCTTGTAGAACTTGTCGAATTGAACTGAGCTGATGGTGCTAATCTCGGGATCACTGCCACCAAGCTCTCGTTCGTTGTTCAAAACAGGGTGAATGTGCAAGGTAGATGTAGCAGGACGTCCGGTCAACCTGCCAAGGCGAAGAATCAGCTCCTTCTGGAGATCGTTGGTGAGGTTGTCTTGGGCGCGGAAGAAGACGACGCCACGCTGTGAAACTATGAAGAGTTAGATGAACTGTTTAGATTTAAAGTATCATTATGTCAAGGGTTGCTTACTAGTGACGGCGAGGTCTCGAATAAGTTCATCCGAGTTGGGAGCGTTCAGCCACTCTACAAGATTGGCCTTGGGGAATTCACGGCCAATGACAGGAGTGATATCGAAAGCCTCGTATTGATCCAAGGTGCCAGCAAGGGGGACAGGCTGCTGGGCCTTGGTCTTTATGGGCAGGTCATGGATAATAGCAGGTGCTTCAACTGCTGCGGGAGCCATTATTGCTGCTGTGTTTGAGTAGTGTCAAGGGCAATAAAGTTTCAGTATCGGATGCCAATTGAATCGATTCACAGTAACAAACTTGAGGTCACACAATGCTGCTTTGGGGCACAGCAAACACTTATATGTAAACTTTTCAAATCTTATCATCTTCTCTTAGCTGCCATTACATCTGAGTCATACCGAAAGCAACGCCCTTTGACATCAGTTTGCTGACTTGATCACATTTCCAAGTCATCTTTTAGCCGTATTCACCCAAGAAGCGATAAAGTGACGCGTTATTATACGACATCGGCTGCCAAATTGCGTCAGTGAGGGGATAGACTTTCACCAACAGTCCTCGCGACATATAATTTTGCGGACTTTGGGATCTCGGCCATTACAACATCAGACTTGTAGAGCATGCGATTGGAGGATTCGGTCGGGTCCTCGGTGCAAACAGGCGGTTCGCAAGCAACGCGTTCAGTTGCATTGCATGAGCATCTGGTTCCAGTCGGAGTAAAAGCGTCTGTTTGGGTTAGAACTCCTGCATCGTCAAGGCCAAGTGCCGGAACCTCGCGGACTAGCCACGTCTCCAAAGCGACGGCGCGGACGTCTCAAGACTAGGAGATATCGCATCATCCAATAATCGCAAATAGACTCTTTCTCCAGGCCGTGCCGAGTTCAAGCATAATCAGCTGCACTCTTGGAAACGCGGGGGTGCTGCAGATAGAGCCCCTCAGCTTGCGGAAATCACATCAACTTCTCGTGGAAGCACGACAGCAAGCATGGCCAATTGTTAGCATTAGGCTGTCTACCAACAGACATGTACTGTAGACCAGGGTCTCTGTTATGGAAGTCGCACGCGGCATGTCGCCTTCAGAGGGATAAAATCTTGTCGGTATCCCTATCTCGGCGGCCCGTATAATTCTCTGGAATTGCGTGCTTCGCGCGTGTTTTGGGGGATTGAGGATGTGCGTTTTGCCGCTCGTTGAAAGGATCAAGGTGGTGATTGCGTGATTGCGGCCGCCACTCGCACAATGAAACACCACAGATAAGGTGCATTGTCCTGCACAATGCTGCGATATGTCAGCTTCGGGGAAAAAAGACATCAAGGCGATTTAATTAAGAATTTTCGACATGATGGGAAGCATTTGATGCGAAAGAACTGAATGTTCCTGTTTATGAGCAGTTTGCCCAAGTAATCATTCGAAACACCAAAAATCCACAACGAAGGGATAACCATTCAATTAGAAAATACAGTATAGCCAACTCGGGTTAAACGCCCAACTGATAAGAATAATGCTGCCAAGAACCTGTATTCGAATACGCATGCGTATATGCATGATCTCATTCCCCAGAGTAGCGATCTGGAAAGGCTCGAGGCCAGGGCCGGGTCACCGGTCATCTCAGATACTGCTCGTCTTAACTACCAGCCGCTTATTGATACCCCAGAGAGCATATCTTAGTAGCATACATCCTAGATTCTATCGAGCCTAGCCCTCTCGTCGTAATTACTTGGGTTGTTCTCATCATACCCAAGCCGGGCCTACCGCGTTCTCGATGTCGTTTCTTGGCTCGTTGCGTGCGATCGCCACATTCAGACACCAAAGCCGGCGTTATGGTTGCATTGCTATATAATCAATCCAGAACAAATATCTCGCGATGTCTTGATACTCGCTGAAGTTACTTTCGCCTTTCTTCTAGCCCTTTCAACCTTCACAGCTGGCATAATGGCGACTGTACTTGCCAAAGGCTCGAAAGACCCGTCTTCTGTCTCGACAGTGTCGCTAGACAGCATTTCTCCGCCGCTTGGAGTTCCCATAACCGAAAGAAAGTCATGGTTTAAGAAAGGATCATCAATTGACAAAGATGCCATTGCCACTCAGGTTTGTCATTGTTCAATTGGTACTTTGAGGCAGCTGTATTGACTGAAAGGATGGCAGCTTAGCGTTTTTGATGATCCCGATACGGCGGAAAAGTACCAGCCAAGAGCAGATTGGTAAGTCGATACGAGATTGTTCAGTGCGACTTGACTCCAAGCTAATAATGTGTTATAGGGAAAATATCCACCGATTCGATCCCAGTTTTAGATGGACTTGGCGGGAGGAGCTGAAACTCATCCGGAAGATTGACTGGTACATCACGTTCTGGGCATGCATTATGTTCATGGCTCTCGAGCTTGATCGTTCCAATCTTTCACAAGCCCTTACGGATAACTTTCTTACTGATCTCCACATGACAACTAATGGTATGCTGGACCCCGTCATATACATCTGAGAGTAATGCTGACACTCTTCGTCTTGAAGACTACAATCTCGGTAATACAGTGTTCAAGCTGTCTTTCCTCATCGCAGAACTTCCATCACAACTAGTTTCGAAATGGATGGGCCCCGATCGATGGATTCCGATGCAAATGTGCATCTGGAGCATTATCGCAGGTGCACAGTTTTGGTTATCCGGTAGATCATCATTCCTTGCCACGAGAGCCTTGCTTGGAATTGTTCAAGGTGGATTTATTCCAGATGTGAGTTTTATACTGCTGATGTTAGGTAATGCAGCTGCTGATTATGATGCAGATTATTCTGTACCTTTCATACTTCTACAGGCATGCGGAATTATCGATCCGGCTTGGCTTCTTTTGGACTGCTCTGAGCTTGGCAGATATCCTCTCAGCATTGCTCGCGTACGGGCTGCTACACATGCGAGGCATTGCAGGAAAGTCTGGATGGAGATGGCTTTTCCTTATTGAAGTAGGCTCTCGAGAAACTTTATCCAATATTATCTTTGATACGCATACTTACGAACAATCTTAGGGCCTTCTGACTCTCGTTATTGGACTCTTCGCTTGGCTCCTCATGCCACCTGGCCCCTGTCAGACGGCGAGCTGGTTTAGAGGCAAAAATGGATGGTTTAGCGAACGAGAGGAGAAAATCATTGTCAACCGAGTAATCCGCGAAGATCCTGGCAAGAGTTCCATGCATAATCGCGAGCCGGTCACACCGAGACTACTATGGCAAAGTCTTAAAGATTATGATCTTTGGTTAGTCAAAATATGCCTCAAACAGAGTCAAAAATTATCTCAGCTAATAATGGAGAACGAAATAGGCCGATTTACTTACTTGGACTTGTCTTCCAAGTCCCCGCCACGCCGCCCGCGAATTATCTTACTCTTGCGCTCAAAGGACTCGGCTTCGACACTTTCCAAACCAACTTGCTCACTATTCCATCAACGGTCTTACATGGTATGCCATCTTTCAGTATTTGGGAGAGCATTATCTTACTAACTTTGCCTTAGTGTTCACAATGTTGGGTCTCACATATTTCGCTGAAGCTGTCAACGAGCTTACCATCACTGCCTTATTCGGTCAAATATGGGTGCTTCCGTTCTTGATCTATCTCAATGTCACAAACAGCCAAGAAGTCAACAAATGGGTATTCTGGGTGGTAGTCTCACTGCTCTTGGCATATCCAAATGGTAAGTCCATCCCAGTCCAGGTCTAAATACTCCATATCAGTTACGGCTGCTGACGTCCAAATGCAGCCCATCCCATTCAAGTCGCCTGGAACTCTCGAAATTCTAATGCGGTCCGACTCCGAACGGTTTCAGCCGCGTGCTACAACATGTTTGTGCAAGCTGGTGGTATTATTTCTGCCAACATCTACCAAGCAGGTAAAATTACTCTCATACATCACGTTCACTTGAACCTTGGCATACTAAAAATTGATAGACGATGCCCCTCGCTACGTCCGTGGCAATCGCGCGCTTCTCGGCATCAACTGTATGAACATCGTCATTTATCTTCTTACCAAGGTATATTTTATCGCTCGTAACCGATACCGCGAGAAGAAATGGGCTGCCATGTCGGAGAATGAGCGGCTGGACTATCTCGCTACGACGACTGACGAAGGAAATAAGCGGCTTGACTTCCGATTCCAGCATTAGACATTCGCTAGACATGGTATTAGACTTTGAAGAATCTAGGGTTATATGGTTATGTCTTTGGTTTGATAGCTATTGTGAAATTATTTGAGCGCAGATTTGCAGTTTTTTTCCCTTCAAAGTGTGGCTTTGTATTTTGATCATACGATGGCATGGAGTATAAATGTCACATAAAAAAAACAGAGATCAGTTATCCCGCTATAATACTCGATCTAACCATCTATATCGTAAACCCAAGGTGCTCTCTTTCATCGTGTGTAATCCTTCCCCATTCTAACAACAAGCGAAACATGTAAATCTGCATGTCCTCTTTCCTCAGCGCTTTGCGCGTCCAGTCTCTACCTTGTTCCGCAATCTTCTTAGCCATATCAGGCCCTTGACTGGCCTTATCATTAGAACCTCCACTGAAAAACTCAAAAACAGACCAAAATCCCGAGCCAAGCCTCAGGTCCGCGGGGACATAATGATGCCAAGCTTGAAGTCGCTCGTCATACCAGGTGCGAAAGACGGCAGCGCGATAAGGCAAGCTGCGGCTTTCTAGGAAGGGAAGAAAACGACCGCTGAAACCTGCGCCGTCCATGTCCATCAAATGACGGTATCGCCAATGCTCTTCAAATGGAACGCTGGGAGGTAGCCGGGTGGCTTCTGTGTTGGATGAATGTTTATCCATTGTCGCCAACCCCCATTTCTCATATATTTCTGATTCAACGGCACATTCCCTTCCGTCGCATTTAGATATTTCTCCAGTGAAAGAGACATTAACACTCATTGGAGACTTTGTACCAGAAGTTTGCAATGATACGGTCTTTTTATAAGCTTCGTGCACAAACCTTGGTCGCAAGAAGCCTGGCCATCGTCCATGAGCCGAAAAGCCATCCGACGGCGATCCACGCCAGAACAAGCCATTCATCTTTTCTTTCCATGCCATGCCACTGTCCTCCTTGAATTCACTCTTTTCATCAAAATTCCATGGAGATGGAATCAAAATGTCCGAGAAGCCGCCAACACGGGCTTGGCTGAATATAGGGAAGACTTCTTTTGTGCCTATCATGGCGGATGGCGAGTTGAGAAATCCATCCAGATACGCGGCATCCGGCTGATGGCAAAGATTATGAGCAAGTGATACGTTTGCCAGCAAAGCACCGCTGCTCGTCAATACGGAATGTGGACTGATGCAATTAACACAGATTTTGCTCCAATCCCACCACCGCCTGGAATTTACCGCAGAATCTGGTGGGCACGAGGGGGCAACGAAATCGTAAAAGATTGGTCTCCGAATATTGTTCGTGAATTTGGGATCAATGGCATCTTTACCGCCATTCGCTGCTCGAGGCTTCGGCTCCGGGAAGTCTTTGGGCCATGGGGAAGACGAAAATTGACTGGCTGGCCAGCCCTTCTCTTCCTTTAGGCCTTTCACTTTATCTCTATTTTTTCGGGCTTTCGCTTTCAGCTGTTCCATTTGTTTGAAAGGAACTGCCATACGACATTCGTCGGCGAGATTGATTGCCATGTCCATATCAGGCAACCACTGAGCGAACGGTTCAATCATCTTTTGGAACGAGTCCGTCATCCAGCGATGTGATCCCGGTATATATGGCGACTGCTCCACGGATCCATTCCTAATGCGCATGCCGCCCATCTCAGAGCTTCCATACGCAAAGACCCTGGTTGTCTGATCACGTATACTCCCCGCATCTAGTCCCCAGAATGGGAGCAAGTCATTGTTGATCTGGTCAAAGTGATCCACGACAGCCGAATCATGTATTCTGGCGAACTCGTGCCACTTGTCAAAATTTGGCGGAGGAGAGATACCATATCTCTTTGTGTATTCGCTTACAGCATCGGCCAATGATACACTAACTGCTGCTTGCAGCTCCCATGAAAATGCCTGCGCTGATGCTTCTGAAACAAGTGATTTGATGGCTACATCGACTGAAATCATTGGTGAGTGCTTGAAGAATAGTAGTCGCGTTACTGTTCCCAATGCAAATAGTGCAAATCCACTACTACAGATGATGAGCCATTTGGATAATTCCCGCGATGTACCGGAATCTTCATTATGATGACTATGAATTGCAAGATACCACAAGGGCACAGCTACAAGAATAGCAAGAGCCGTGTGCTTTGTAAGTTCGTCGTAAGATGAGGATGGTAGAACCGAAATGACGCTCCGAGCTGGTATCTGTGAGCCCATAAATACGGCAGTCGTCGTAAGCAGGACAAGACATGCTGGATGTAAAGAAGACAGCAGTGATATGCTGCATAATATCTCGATAGTTGCTAGTAATCCATCAATGGCAAAGTCTCGGTTCTCGAGAGCCCGAAACTGGAATGCCATGATAAACTCCGAGTCAGAAAGCCACGACGGAAAAGAGAGCAATAAAATGCTCCCCGCTGCAACAAGCGAGAGTTTGCCCAAGAAAGCAGCTATATCGACTTCATCTTCTTTCGCGGCCCGAGCCAGAAGAGACGTATGGCTTATAATAGCGGCATCGAGTACAACATTGAGCAGCTGAATGAGAGAAATGGAGCGCTCCCATCTCCATCCGATTGGGCAAATAGTGCCAGTGGCGATGATGGAGCTTTCTTCTGACGAAATGACAAAGAGAGGCCATACTATGGTGAGGAAGGTGAATATGATTTGCGATTTTGACGGCATATACTGTGTCTGGCTCCTATGGAGGCTGCCATATCGGGACGCCGAGAGCGTGAAAAGCGGTCCTACTGCCTCTGTGATGATGGTGAAGAATGGTAGAAATGCCTGCATGAAGTATTTAGCTTAGACAACAGCTGATCGACATGCCATATGTCATCAAAAGCATACCTCTATGCCAGCTCGTGAGCATTGTGTAGTTCTAATAATAGCCCAGTAGAACCACGTCCGCAGTCCGATGCAAAAGAGAATGAAGAGAAAGGACGGATGCAGGTGCCGAAAATTCTCCAGCCCGATTCTTACAAACTTGACTACCGTGCTTGTGGGTTGAACAACATCTATTGAACTCTTGTGGTTTGCGATGACAGTGAGGGTTTGGTAGTCACCTCGACGACTCTGATAATACGTATAGGCCAGCAAAGATAGTCCAGTTACCAGAAGAGTGATGACTGAGAAGTGGACTGGGCGTTCTAACATCATGTGAATCAGCTTTGATCAAGGTTGGGAGAACTGTGGTACATACCAAAAGAAGCACTGGTGTAGTATCTTGCGGACAGAAAGTACGCGGATAAAGATAGGCATCTTGTATAAGGCGTCAGTATGTGACATATACCGCAGTATTTAGACTTTGGGGGCTTTAAGGACCATCTTTGTGCTTACATTAGCGCCACTGAGTGAGGCACGATGCCGCGCATCTTAAGGGGACAAGATGCAAGTATCACGAAGTGCACACGTGCATTTGTGTATGTCCAACGCTTTTCAACTACAGCGTCCTGAATTTTAATTGCTGCCTACGTCTGACTACGGGTGAGACCACGTTATCAATCGTTGAAAATCTGTTTGCGCCAATTAGCTGGGGATCATCAGAACATGCCCCTGTTTTGCACCATTTCGGGAATGGTCATGGCTTGGCAACGATTGCAGTTGCGATTTTGCTGGCGGTAGCATTGTATGAAGCTTAGATACACGTAGGTACTTGTACGCTTTTGAAGAATACTAGCCATAGCACATAAGTCTAGACTCTCATCAAGAGGTTTCTGTAGGCTAGGTCTGGAATCCAAAGGAAGCTCGAGGCCCATTAGTATCGCGATAACCTATACACTGGTAACATATTAACCTGCCGAAAGTTCCCCGCGCATTTGCCAAGAAGTTGCCGATAAGCATCTCCATATGAGCTAGACGTTATAGGTATACCTTGGGAGAAGAACTTTTGTTTCCAGAGTGTGATGATTTTCCAAGTCGCATCGCCACTCACCATCGCCGTCAACTCCGCGCACGTTAACAACTGCCAAGCTGCGTCTTGATTGGATCACCGCCATACTGTCGGTCTTTAGACCGGATGAAGCAGGTGGGAATCAAGCCGGATAAAAACAATAAGCATAACAGCAAAGAAATTGATTAAGTCTATCTGAGGGCTTTCAGAAAGTGCAGGGTATGTTTAGGCGTTCCACCGTCGAGGGAGCGGGGTTACTTCATGTCTATGTAGGCTATGGTCTTTGTTAGACAAACGCTGTGGGAAAGAATCTTATATTAAGGGCAATCGGCAAACCGAGCCAAGGCTTCTTGATGTATTGAAGGCTCATGCTTCAATCTAGGTAAAAATTGCTGGAAGTTGATGGAAATGTTTGCACACAGGCCGCGCTGCCTCTCGGCCAGGGCCTCTGCTTTTGCAGCAGTGCTTTGTCTTGAGTTTCTCAGTCGCCATGCTGAGGCACTATCGGGAGCCTCATGGAGGGATCCTTTTGCTCCCATTGATCCCCAAGTCTGGGTAAACCCTGATGACATGACCTGGGATGATTTCAAGGCGCCGCCCGGTACTCAATGGAACGACGTGACAAAGAGAGGCTCAAGTCGCAACTTCAACATTGCTTTGATCGCAGTAGACTATAGCGACGAGACTTTTGTTGTCACCCGAGAGCCCAATTCGACTGTCTTTGGCAATCCGTTACCGACAGTATCTGGCCTCGGTAGAGGAGACGTACCTGCGTACTATCGCGATCTGCTCAACAAGCCTACCGATCTCAACCGCGGGCACACAATGCATGAGTATTGGATGGAAGATTCTCACGGCCGATACGGTGTCGATTTGACATCGTTTGGGCCGTATCGCATGCCTGCTTTGTCGTACCAGTACGGCGTCGACGATGGCTTCAACCCCGGAGCGTGCCCTACAAACAGCACTTGTAACCGCGATATCCGAACAGATGCTTATGCAGCGTGGCGAGCAGAGGTGGGAAATAGTACGAGCAACTCGTTTGAGCTCGTCTTTATCCTCTCGGCCGGACAGGACGAGTCGTCAACATGGCAAGAGTTTGGCGAGATGAGATTCTCGTCGCCGGAGGATGTTCCTGACGCATTTGGACCTCCGAAGAACACCAACGGCTCTTCGTCGCTGCCAAACTATGCTTCAACTCGATATGTTCCCTGGACGTCGTGGGCATCGGCATCTACCATTTGGCCCAACGCGGGGGGCGGTTCATCGACTCAATGCGAGAGTTCGGGAATGGGAACCTATGCTCATGAGCTCAGCCATCTGTTGAATATCGGCGACAATTATAACAACCCGTATGGTATTCCTCTGCGGCGAGATTATACCGGGCCATACTCGATGATGTCTCGGGGATCGTTCAATGGCCCTGGTGGCCCTCATACACGGTACCAAATACCGGCGCTGCAAGGAGGCTCAATGGGTTCCTTGCATACGGTCAGAGACAAGCTTGTCCTAGGACTCATCTCCAACGATACTATTGTTCGCATATCGAGAAATGCTTTGGCAGAATCAGGCCCGGTAGTGGCACAAATTACCGCTCGATCAGTCGTATCCGAGCTCATTGGTCTGAGGGTTGATATGAATCGAGATCTATCTCCTGCATGCAACGTTTCTACCGACGTCCTTTGCGATGGAGGCAGCTATAATACCTATGATGTCGAGGTTATTGATAGGATGGGCGCAGATTCATTCCAACCAGACTCGGGTGTCATGATAAGCAAGACGAGGAATAGCAATACCCAGCCATTCCAGTGGACCATTGATGCGAATCCTCAGGATATCAAGCTCGTTGATTTTATCCGGCCCAATGGCACAGCGGCCATGATTACGATGGGCGACTATCGCCAACTAGCCGACGCGTTATTCCACGCGGGCACCGGATCTGGCAGCAAATACGAGTTTGTGGACGAGGCCAACGGCCTTCACTTTTACATCTTGGACGTCCACAGGGATGAAGCCGGCGTGCTTTCCTATACCGTGGGCGCGAGATCTCTCGCTGACGCTAGCTCAAGCGAATACGGGATTCGGATGACTTCCGGCGCACCACTTGCGCACGACAAGATGAAGAGCAGTTCCATCACGGGGGGCATCTTTTGCGAATTCGAACTCACCAATAACAGCACATATTCCGGTTCTAGCAAAGGCCATGCTCAAGTTCTATCAGAGCACCTTGAGTGGGATATTTTCCGTCTGGAGGCTGATATCAAGGGAGCTGGTTGGAAGGCGGCCTTGCCAAATGCCGTGATTGCACTGAGACACGGACAAGCAGCAAAGGCCTACGTGGCGGTGCGAGCGGATATTCACGCGAAGGATGCTGTTGGGATGGTGAAGCTGACGGCTACGTCGGAGTCGGATCCAACGGTGATGGCAACGTCGTTTTGCAAGATCGACAAGCACCGTGTAGATGAGCGGCTCGTATTGAATTGATGAAAGGTTATAGGAGCGTTTGAGGGTTTAGATTATTTGTAAGGAGGTATTGCTACCCAGGGTATGAAGTATATAATTAAGCTTGTATGACTGCCGCAGATTTCAACGGTGTCTGGATACAGGCATCTACGTAATATGATGCTTGGTTGAGACCACTACCGCAAGGAGAGCAGAACTGGCAGTGCTGCTTTTCTTGATGCCACCTCCTGAGCATGATGGCGGTCAACGAGTCGGTGGCTGTGTGGAGCAGCAGATGATGCATGTAACCTGTTGATTTGGGTTAGAAAGAGGAGGCGTCGAAGGGAGGGAGCATGTCATCGGCCGGAGAGACAGTTTCGGTGATTTTCCTATCGCTGGTGGCACAGCATACGAGTTTCATGATGATCAGTTATTACTCATTTTTTGTGGATGAAAAAAAAGTCAAAGTTCTTGTCAAGCAGCGTACATGTACCCCAGACTTGGATCCGCATCGAGGTGTAAAGTCTAAAGTTGACGTTTTCGCATGGCGGAAATAGCCTGCAAAACAAGCTTTTCTTAGTGTCGCTCCTAGAAACATGAGGCAGAATTGCCAAGAAAAGGGAATCTCGGGGAGAGACACGGATCGACAACTCTATTGTCAACGTCAGCGCACGGCGTTCCAGAACCCAGGAGCTATAAGCACGGGGACCAGAAGGGCCGCAGGGCTGTGTCGCGTTTCACATTCATTTCTGCAGATACGAAGGACGAGGCAGTGTCGAGGTATCGTATAGCGGTTATGTACGTGGGTTGGGTGCCGCATGCATGGTCCTTTTGTGCTTGTCTCCTCATTATACGGCTGATTACACGTACGTGCCGCTGTGGCAGAAGTAGACTTTGGAGGGTGATGGGGAGATGACAGTATCACGTCGATTGGAAAATGGTGACGTAGACTGAGCAAGCCAATCTCGACGAATCATTCCAGCCATGCCGTTGGTCGCTTTGCATAGCCTCAATAAATGATACGATGGTATACTTCCATATGGTATACTTCTAGGGGGCATGCATCCATTTTCGAGTACGTAACAGTCGCTGATGCTCTCGTCTTGGGAATTCGGCTTGTGCAATGCGGGCAATGATTGACTACGGCTAGTATTTCTGGCGGAGACGGTGCTGACTTGGGCACTAATAAGACGAGGAGTATTGGAAACAGAAGATCAAATCTCACTCAATGACACAACGATCATCTTGAAACACCACTCTTGTTAGATTCATTGCTGTATTACGTGTAGTAGATGCTCATTCTGCGAAATGCCCGCCAACATGTACATGCAGCCTCTCCTCGTGCTAGAATTAATCGACACAACGTGGTTGGCATGAGAGACCCCATGCTTTAGCCCCCCATAAAATGCCAAATTAGACACAATAGCGCCACGTAAAGGCAAAATAGAGGCGGGCTTTGGGACAGAAAACTCTTGGCATCAATAGCCTCCAGGAACGGATGCTGCGGGCTGCAGAAAGGCGGCCAATCCTAGCGCTGCGTGGTGGCAACGCATCAATCATTTGCGATCAGACTAGCCTAGTGACAGTGCGCGCCTTTAATCAATCAATAACGTCCATGCAATTCAAGGTTTTTCCAAGAAGTGACTGAGTCGATGTGTTATGGTTTTTGACTTTCACATCTCGTCCTCGTCTAGGCTTCATCTCGTCCTCATCACTGCTTTCCTGGCGGCACCCCCTTTTGCGCGCCCATTAGGCTCCGTCTTTTCTTCTTTCCCCCCCTCGCCTATCCAGTTACTTGCAGCAGCCCTTGGAATATCTCCGATTAGGTCCTTTTCCAGCGCTTTAGGCGGGGCCTCGGATTGGATGCACCAACAATCGAACGCTGTGCTGCCAGTGCATTTCCGCACTAGCTCTCCCCCCTACTAGCGTCGTCGCGGCGCGCATCTGGGCCTGGAATTGCTGCCAGGCCTTTTTTTGGGCGCCTCCCTTTGCACGACGATTTCCCGCTTCTCTCCTCTGCTCCTCTCACTCCTTCGCAGGCAGTCGAGGAGATTCGCCAGGCGACGCGAGACGAGAGCGACACCAACTTTGACGACCGCGGAACGACGCAGACACGATGCTGCTCAACTTTGGCAGCAACAAGTACGCCGTGCACTCGCTGCTCGGCGGCTCCATCCTCTTCATCACGCTGCTGCTCTACGTCTGGAACTTCCACCTGCTCCCCGGACCTGGCGATGGCATTCGCGGCCATGGACGGCCCGGAGAGCCTGGAGGACCGCCGCATCCACATCCTCCTCCTCCTCCTGGAGGAGGACCACCGCCGCCGGGAAGGCCTCATGGGCCAGGGGGCGACAAGACCAGGCCGCCAAAGAAGCCGGTGGACGACAAGTGTCCCAAGGGCTCGATGCGGCACGGAAACTCGACATACTGCGTGCCTCAGGAGATTGGCGGCATCACCTGGCAGCGGCCGGCCGAGGCGAAGAAGATCATGGGCCTCATATTTTACGGTCGTCGCTCGACCGTTTCCATCCTGGACTGTTACTTGAAGGTACGGCGCGCAGACCTATGCACAGTCTAATGAGAACCAGCACGCTAACTCGAGATGGCGGAAACAATAGCGCAATTTGGCCAAGAACGGGGGCCTTCTCGACGGCGTCATCTTCCTCCAGCGCACCGAGAAAGAAAAAGACATCAAGTTCCTCGAAAAACTGCTGGCGAGCGAGCCCGATTACGAGAGATGGGACATTGACATGACCGAGGGCGGCTTCGCCTCCTCCTACGACCTCATTCAAGACGATGTCTTGTATGTCAAGATGGACGACGATATAGTATGAAATGGCCCCAGAAGAAGTGGACTGGGTCTTTGAGCTAATATGAATTGCCAGGTCTACATTGAAGATTCCGTCATTCCCTCCATAGTCACCACCCGAGCTCAACACCCCGAATACTACGTCGTCTCCGCCAATGTCATCAACCAACCGCTTATCAGCTGGATTCACTGGAACCTGGGCGCCATCAAGCCATACATGCCCGAGATCAACAAGGCCTATCCCGCGCCCAAGCCTGGCAGCAAGTTGGACTGGCGACCATCCGTGTTACCCTCTTGGGAAGGGCCTGACGACTTCGAGGTCATTGACTGGAACCCTCCCGACCACCAGAAACACCGATGGCTGCCCATCAAGGGCCGCAACGACCACGTCCTTGACCGCACTCCCATTCTCGAGACGGAATATGACGCTTTTGGAACGGGCTGGAAGAAGTGGCAGATTGCCGCTCAAGAGCACTATAGTCTGTTTGAGAACATTGAGAACGATGCCCTGGACCAGTACCGCTTCAAGACTTGGGACTTCCAACTGAGGCGCATGGGAATCCAGTTTACTGCCATGATGGGCAAGGATATTAATCAGGCCAAACCAATTGACGCTGATGACGAGCATCATTTTGCTGTCACAATGCCCGAGAGGACCGGGAGACGTGAGTTGCTTTCCAGGGAAGAAGATACGATCAAGTGCTAACAACGTGATCCACAGATGCTATTGCTGATGGCGGCGGTGTTGTTGCCCATTACAGCTTTGGCGCCCAAGCCGGCGAAGAGCGAATCGAACAGACAGACATTCTCGAACGATACCGAGTCTACGCCGAAGACATGATTTGCAAAGATCCCATGCTATGGGACCCCGTCATGAATAAGCACTCCGACTAATGCCAGAAGTCTAAATGGCAACATTTTTCCCTTTTCGATTTTTTTCGACGACACGTGTATTATGTACATTCTGTACGCATATTTCGGACCGATGTCCTTTTCTTCCCTCGGCGAATACGGGAGTTGGGAGTATGGTATTATTATTTTGAAAGTGTGGGTTTTTAGGAACATGAAAAGAGGTGCAGCAGTTTCGGCATTTAAAGGGGAGAAAATTCTCATAATGGGAGGGTGAGCGAGGAAAGGAAGCGGTCCATTTAGTTGGCATATTATTTTTTGGTTCTGGGCGATACCCTTTGTCACCAGGCTGCAGAAGCACAGCATTTTAATACTTAGAATGGCGGCGCTGGGTATATATCACTTTTTCATAGACGCGAAAGCCTTGTTCTTTTGGATATGGTGTTTGTGTATGGCTTTGATTTGAGGCGTGAGTGCGGCTTTTTGTGCATGGAGTGGAGAAAAAGCAAGGGAGAAGAAGCATAGATATATACGACCATCAGTGAGAATGCGATGTCGACTTGAGATTCTGAGCGCAAAGTGAGTTGCCCCTGACGATGCAGTTTCTTGCAGCTCCACAGCCGACGCACGCTGTAGGATCAGTGGCTAATGGATTTGTCCTTTCGCAGCTATACTTATTCATTTGTTCACAGCTAATCGCTGCAGCTATACTTGTTCACAGCCAATCGCCGACCTTGCTAAGTTTCAGCGTCAAGAACATCCCCGCGCTCTCAAGCTGAAGCCGTCGCTATGATGCTCGCCAGACTATTGATGCGACCAGCAGCCTCGGTCCTTACATCTAGCACTCTTGATCGACTGAGCAAACAGCGGCAATTCCCGATATCTGTCACGAATGTTCCGAGGCAGCGCAGCTACGCGAATAAGCACGCAGAATCCGCAGCGAAGAAAGGGAAGAAGAAGAAGAAAGGGAAGAAGAAGGGGGCGGTGGAGGCCAAGCCTGAACAGACAACACTATCGAGCATATTAGCCGAGGCGAATGCCTTGCTAGGGAAACTGAATAGAGTCAAAGCTGTGCCAGTCGAAGCTGTGCCAGTCGAAGCTGTGCCAGTCGAAGCTGTGCCAGTCGAAGCTCTGCCAGTCGAAGCTCCCCCAAAGGACGCGACAGAAGAACAAAGCCCTCCCTTATCAGCTGAGCAAGAAGCCCTGGTCTCACTGGCATTAGAAGGCCACAACATATTTTATACGGGCTCTGCCGGCTGTGGAAAATCTACAGTTTTGAAAGCCATTCGAGATCGCTTTCAAGCAAAGGGTCAAGATGTCCATGTTTTGGCCCCAACAGGCAAGGTGGCACTCGTCAACGGAGGCAGAACAACATGGTCTTTTGCTGGCTGGACGCCCAACTCGCACAAAATGAGCTTATCTGAATTGACAAATCCTGATTCTGGACGCAACATCTCGTTATTCGAGCGGCTGGAAGATGTCGAGATAATTATTATTGATGAGATAAGCATGGTTGAAAACGTACACTTTGGACGACTGAATGAACTCATGAAGGCTGTGAAGGAGTCTCCTCTTCCGTTGGAGGCATTCAGATCATCGTCACGGGAGACTTTTGCCAGTTACCACCTGTGAAGCCATTCCGTAATTGCTTCAGCTGCGGCAGTCAACTGGAGTACAGCTACCGATCAAAGGCATATTCATGCTTGAATCGGAAATGCAATGTCGATGTCTATCACCAATATGACAAATGGGTCTTCAAAAGCAAAGCGTGGCAAGAATGCAACTTTCGCAACGTCTACCTTGCCACCGTCTACAGACAGACAGATCCTGCCTTTATTGATTTGCTACAAAAGTGTCGACTCGGATTGCAGCTTGATGACACCGATGTAAAGCTTTTAACCAGCCCTGACGGCAAAACGGACAGCCACCCAGTGAAGCTTTTCCCGACACGAGCAGAGGTACGAGAGGTCAATGATGCAGAATTTCGCCAGCTGCATACTCCTCCGCAAATATACAAAAGTATGGATATATTCTGCTGGAACAAAGAGAAGCACCGACACTTGGAGGACAAGCGCGAAAGAGCTGCCGATGGCTCTCTAAAAGCACTGAGTGACCATAATTTCGAAGTCGAACTTCACCTGAAAGAAGGCATGCAAGTATTGTTGCTGCACAATATTGATCTCGGTAGAGAGTTATGCAATGGCACCCAGGGGGAAATTACTGGGTTTGAGCCCTTTGGGAAGATTCTACCTGAAATCTCTCTGTATGGAGAACATCTACCTGTACATATGTCAGGACTCTATGAGAAAGAAGAAGTGATTCGAGAATTCATACGCAGATGCCGCAAGGCCGGAGGCTGGCCGATTGTCAAATTCCACAATGGCATGACCAAGACAATTTATCCCGTTTGCCAATCTCTGCTTCTAGGAGAGGAGCGGCCGTACTCACTCATGGGCAGGATACAGATCCCGCTAACTGCTGCTTGGGCTCTAAGCATTCACAAATCTCAGGGAATGACGCTCAATAGCGCTGTGGTGAGCATAGGGAAAGCATTTGAAGAAGGGCAGATCTATGTAGCTCTGTCGAGGGTAAAGACATTGGCGGGGTTGAAGGTGGAAGGGGATTTGTCCCCGTTGCGGAAATTTAAGGGAGATAGAGTGGTGCTTAAGTGGCTAAAGAAGACATTTGGAGAGAAAGTTGTGATAGGAAAAAATGTTTAAGAGCCGATCGGTTTTATGTCGTTACTTCGGCTATGGACTACTTTGACAGGGATATAAGTTTCACTATTAGATTGAAGACAATCTATAAGCAATATAAGAGTCGATATTATATATTTTGAGCTCAAATATGGCGAGAAAGACTTTGCCAATTCATATTCCCAATCTCAAACGTATCGCTAGCTCATCTTGTTTCCACCAAAATCGTCATCCATACAAGCGTTCCAAGCTCATCAGCCTCTTCACACCAACGAGAAATCGCCTCATGAGAGTCAGATTGTTTCGATTCGACATCGGTACTTCGTCCATTCAACAGGAATATTGAAGACTGTATCGTGCCAAGGCACATACTCTCAACGCCGTGTTGCAGCGACACGGAGTTTTGATACCGCCTGATCCATACCGGGTCCGGGACAGGTTCCCAGAGATCTCGCGTGCATGGGAGAGGAACATTTTCGAGTCCCCGGCATTTCACATGATCTGGATCTTCCTTGAAGACGTCTAGGAGAAGTTCTATACCGTAAAGAACGCAGATTGTCCTGTGAGTAGAGTGAGTATAAAGGTAGGAGTAAATCGATTTTGTCATGTGCTGACCGGCGAGTGCCCTCCCTTAGTATCCATTCTTGCCTGATGGCACTTTCATCTGGGCCCAACGGACTTCGAAAGTCATGCATACTATGGAGGTGTCGGCCAAAGTCCTGTGTGCTATGTATTAGCCATGACGCTGCCGGAGAAAAGCTACACATACTATGATTGCTTTTATAACTGAAAGTACACCTCCGGCTTGAACTGGCCTGATATAGCGTGCATATAGTAGGGCATAAATGGTGCACGCTTGCAATGATGCCTGGACCTCATAACAATCCATGTTTGACAGCTACAACAGATTAGCATGACATTACCTGGCAATAAAAGGATGATGGAAGGCACTCACATCTTTATACAATCGCAGCACTTCATTTTCGACAACCGCCCAGACAAAACCCTTGTTTGACGTCGCGATGTTCTCCGCCATCGTTATAATCGCACGGCAATTTTCTAGAGGCCGTAGTAGACATTGGTGGCTTCCATTCAATCCGCAGCCTTCGCCTTGTTTGCACGCGGTAAAGATAAAGGGCGGAAGACGGCTGCTGTTCATCAGGTTCAAGTAATTGAAAAGCTGTCCGATTAATAATTTTTTTGTCAATTTGGATTCGATTGTTTCCCTTTTTTGAGTCACCGAGGTCTTTGGCTTGCTTCTTTCGGTGTCAGGGGTATGGCTGTCTCCAACTTGCAGCCAAGAAAGTTCGCTTGCGTCGCCTATTGGATCGAGAGTTGGCTGAAAGTAAATATTGATAGGTATATGTTTTGCTATTGGGTTCGGGGGAGCTACCAGTTGCTGTGGCAAGCTTCCCGACCCTGGCGCTACCAAGTCTTCCAACAAAGACGAAAGCCCTGGGCCAGGCTGAAGCCCAATTGAGCTACTCATATCGCCATTGATTATCTCATCAAAGGTTGGTATAAACGCATTAATACTGGAGAGCATGGATGGATCATTGCCAAAGTTCTCAACAGTTGTCGGTATTGAGCACCAATTATCCTGGCCCTGCGAGTTACTGCCATATTGGTTCAGGAAGTCATGGACGTATTCGCACGGCAGATTCCGTTTACGGCATCTACTACAAGGGTTGGATTGGGAGCATCGTGTCTTTGATTTGTGGCACTCAATACACGCCTTTCTTTTTCTTCGTGGAAACGGCATTTTGTTGAGTTAGGAGTATGTAAGTAGCATGATTCAACCGGACAGCCGCGCAGTAATCGCGTTCATCATGGCAACTCGTCTGGGAATAGCGTCGGAGTTGCTGTGGACCTGATCTGTCTCGTCGAATCACAGACGTGGAAGCGCCGATGCTTTCTAATCCACAATGCCGGCGCTATACCGGCACTCCTATCAGGGAAGTCTGGAATTGCGTGTCATTGCGGATTGAGTGTCCGAAGATCTAGTATTGGCCAATGGTTGACTCTTGTCGAAAATGAATGCGTATGAGACTGCAAACATGGAGTGGACATTACTCATCTTGTCGAATCAGCGTCTTGGAAGTGCCGAAGTGATTGACATGGCTAATGCCGAGACGATGAACTTCACCGAACCCTATCATTGAACATTCAAATAATTATAAAAGGCTTCGATTTCCAGGCGTATCGAGCATTAATGATTACATGTAACTAAGAATTCATCAAACTTCATCATCATATCATGGCACCTATCCGAGTTGGCCTCGTCGGCCTTTCGACCGCAAAAGCCTTCACCGGACGCGGCTGCTGGACCGCAGTTTCTCATCTTCCAGCTCTTCTTGCATCGCCAGAGTACGAGATTGTCGCTCTTGCAAACTCCTCCGTGGAGTCTGCAAAGCGATCCATTGCGGCGCAAGGGCTTCCAGAATCCACCAAGGCGTACGGAAGTGTTGATGACCTTGCCGATGACCCCGATGTCGATCTGATTATCGTGTCAGTCAAGGTGGAGAGCCATTATGAGCTTGTTAAACCGGCGCTCCTCAAGAACAAGAATGTTTTTGTAGAGTGGCCCATGGCGGCAAACACGGCCGAGGTTGAAGAATTGGCTGCGCTAGCAAAGAAGCACAATGTGCAGACGTTCATCGGAGCCCAAGGCAGAGCATCCCCGGTGATGCAGAAGTTGAAAGAACTGATTGCGAACAATAAGATTGGACGCGTCATTAGTTCTTCGGTGGTTGCGTGTTCTTTGAATCGCACTGTAGACGTTTGGCCTGAAAGCTTGAAATCTTACCTCGATATGGACAGTGGTGGAAACGAGTTCACTATAGTCTTTGGTCATTGTAAGTCGTTTAACAGTCTGATGATTTGCGCAACAAATTACTGATATAAGCAGTTCTTGATTCATTTGTCAATGTGCTGGGCGATCTTTCGCACATCCAATCGATTTTTAAAACGGGATACAAGACTGTCAAACTTACCGGGTCCGACCAATCTCGAGCGCAAGAAACTACCACCAAGGAGTCAGCTTCCATAGCCGTCCAATCTACCGGACATGGTAACAACATTGTTGATCCCGCATATGTCAAAACGTCGCCCGACCAAATCCTAGTGCAAGGAGTCACCAGCAATGGGGCGGTAGCTTCCATAGCTTTCCGAAAACCAAGGCATCACGGCGATGAACACGACCTACGTTGGTACATCTCCGGCACTGAGGGAGAAATCATGGTCACTAGCCCCGCATCATGGTCAATAGCTGACAAGGACGCTGAAATCCGAATCAAGAATGGAGATGGGCCATTTGAGGTGGTTGATTTCCAGGGCTATCGACTTCCTGCCGCTGAGGCACTTTCGCCAATGGCTGCAAATACACACTCAATGTATGATGCATTTGCCAAGGGAGATACGGCCAGATACGCAACGTTTGAGTCGGCAGCGAATACTCATAGGATTCTGGAAGAGATAAAGAAGGCTGCGTATATACATGCAGACTAAGATGTGCCAAAACATAGAAGATTTATGTGGGATATAGTATTTCAACGAAATATGATATATATACACTAGTTTCAAATTGTTTGAGAACGTAAATGTGGTACAAAAACTCTATCATACACCGAATGGACTCTCAAATTAAAAAGGCACACACTAGGTTGTACAAAGCCAATGCAATTCCATCACACCGCCATCAGAAGATATGGAAAGTTGGGCTTCTTAGCGAGGTCGACTGCGTGATGGAGGTCATTCCATCAGCGGACTATTTCTTTTGAACGCAATGTAAACTTCATGTTCTGGTTCATGCAAACAGAGAAGTATATCATATATAGAGACGCAAACGATTATTAAGACGATGACCATTCTTGCTAAATCATTTCAGATAACCAATGCCTTTTTACTAGTCTTTACACCAATTTGATTCTCGATTCAAGTCTTTGACATCAAACAATTAATAATGTAGCTAATAAAGCCTTATCTCTTAGAGCCTCGCGGAAAACATCACCTATCAGTGTCTCTATGCATTTTGGATTTATCCAAACCAGTATCATGGTTTGATTGATTCAGTACTATAACGGTATTACTTTCTACCGATATATTGGTCTCGACATCCAAGTTCGTAGGGCCTCAGACGTCTTAGAGAAAGTCTATTGACGGTTATGCGTACATGGCGTGTTTAACATTCCAGTACAGCCGTTCAAGCCGCTTATCGCGATATTTCGGACCAAAAGACAATAGCTTGTTGATTGTTGAAGCATTTAGTCTTATCATGCAAGGAAACATGGTGCAATATCCTCTTCACTTGGAGGGTACCTCTACATTAGTGTTTACCTTAATTAGAGGTTCAGCCACGTACTACCTCAATAATGCCAGACGTAGCAAGTTTCCCCTCTTTCAAAGACAAACAACCGCGGTTTCGAGGACAACTTCCGCTTAGTTGTCGTAGTGTCGTTGCCTACTTTGCCGCATAAAACCTTGTTTCTTCCTCCGACGGAGGACTAGCCTCTCCGTGTCGGATCCGAACAACTACCTGGGCGCCATTACACGATGTAGACGAACTAGTGACGCTCGTTCAAGGAGAAAGCCGGAACGTAAAAAGCCTCCGTTACACAACAGACGTTATATCCGGGAGCGATGTGGGTGAAGTTGGTTGGCCGTGCACGCCTCATCAACCATCCACGCATGTAGGTTCGAAGCTCGTAAGTCGTATAGAAGCTAAGAGGCATGGTGGCTGATCCGATAGCCCTCCTAAACGTGGCACGCTCGGTGCCGTTCCGACTCGGCAGGGCTGCTTGGCGGATTTCGTTGCCTCGCCACGTTCAGCTGTTGGATCTAAATTTGGGCGTTTCGCTTGGCGTAGAGCAAAAAGAAGGAGGTTGCAAAAAAGCGCCGGGCGTCTTTAAAAGCCAAGGGCCGGCTAGGATAGCGCCCAGAATGGAAAGGCTAGGCGGCTTCTCCTCATTTTCGATGGATACGTGCCTCGGCTCGTGTTGCTTAGTGGCCTCATCGATGTAGACAGCTTCCTCATGAGTCATGGGTTGGCAATGCCCTTGATCCAATCAGGAATCAAGCAGTCGCCCCCAGGTTCGTCAAAAACGCGGGGTGTGGACCAATATCTTTTAGCTGGAGCGGTCAAGCCCGTTGGAACGAGTCCGATTTAAACTACGAGATAGACAGCTGCATCAAGGTTGATTCTCAGCTCAACGTTTGTTGGCGAAGCTAGAGATTTCGTGTGGGGGAATGGGATGAAGTGAGGTTTGGCAGGGATCTCCCCACACAACTCCATTCCCCCGTACGGGGTAAGTCCAAGGGTGCTTTGCATCAATTCAAGTCAGCTTGCAAACGGCACAGTCATCAAGATCAAGTCCATAATCCGTTTTGGGTCCCTGCCGCGAACAAAAAGCCGGTGGCAATGTTGGAGGCTAAAACAAAAGGGCTTTTGTTTAGTCTGCGAGTATCATACATCAATTCTCATTTTTATTAATTCCGAGACTCTATCCCGCGGCCTAAGGCTCTTTGATTGCCGCCAGCAACTCTACGCCGGACGAGCCGTTTCTAGTAGCGAGCATTGTCTAAACTTTACTAGCCTGGACTGAAGTCCGCAGTAAGAACAGATGATAGCAACACTTCTCTAGTAAAACAACCTATCGTATACGCCCTTTACGCATCATGAGGCCAATAAAAACAACAACAATACATATCCAATATCCACCTGATGACAGAAGGCTTTCAAAGCCACTGGATGCTTGCCCAATTCGTCTCGTCGGGCAAATTAATGGGGCCGCCTGTTAGCGACGATGCCCCGGACTTGACGAGGTGTCCGTTCGTACCACGTCGCATAGATTCTCCCCGTACAAAGGAGTAGCTGATCCGTAACTTGCCCTGCCTGCCGCTGGGACTAACAGAACTGGGCTAATGGTTAATATCCGCCATGCAACCAACCCGGAGGCATAGCCTGAAAGATGTTAGACTGCGGGGGAGTATGGAGGCGGGGGCGAATGTGGGCTCTTTGTCCGGGGTAGAAGTGAAAAAACAGAGACCAAAGTGGGCTCAGTTGCGAAAGCTGCCCCAACTGGCGGACGACTAATTGACCGTTTCATGTAAGCCACCTGATGGTTGGAGCAGATAGTCCACGCAACTCTTGTCAACTATCGAAATACATCGATCCGGCGCCACGCAAGAGAGATCCAAGGCCTGGGCTTCAATATGCGTTCATGGGGGGGCCTGCAAACAAGGGTGCGGAGTTTGCAAGAGGCTGGCACGGCTTGACCGTATGATGATGGTATGCATTCCTGATGATGGTGTTGGTGTCTAGGTAGCATTCAACTATTTAGTCTCTTGCCTTTTCCTGTAGTAGAGGACATATCTCGCCTCCTTCCCTTCTCTCTTCACACCTCAATTGCTTCAACATCTACCTAGTACAAGTGAAACGTCTGGTTACACAAGACAGCACCATGACGACTCGAGAGTTGAATCGTCTACACACCCATGACTGTACGTTCTGTCCTTTGATCCTGGCGGATACAATATCCTTGTCGTGTAAAGGCAGTCAACTAACTTGTTGTGAAATGAAGTGGAGTTGGGCACAACTGAAGCCACCCAGAAACACGTTCCTCGCAATGTCGTCCCTCCCAGGCGCATCTCGCAGCGCCGACTCGACTTCGAACACAGGCGGCCTCGCTGGCTGCGGGAGTGTATAGCGGAAGCGACTGGAGTGTTCATGTATGTGCTGCCTGGAATCGGCGCCATTGCCACCTTTACCTTGAACGCCGCATCACCTATCGGCGCCTCAGCCTTTGGAAGTCTCTTCGCAATCGGTTTTGCGTTTGCCCTTGGCATTGCCTTTGCCATCATTACTTGTGCCCCAACCTCGGGTGGCCACTTCAGTCCAGCTGTTACAATTTGCCTTTGTATTTGGCAAGGTTTCCCCCTCAAAAAAGTGCCCTATTATATCTTCAGTCAGCTTGTTGGTGGATTTTTGGCTGCTCTGGTGCTCATGGGAATATACCACCAGCAAATCAACGAGATGAAGGAATTGCTGCTTGCCGCTGGCAAGCCTCTCGTTGCAAATGGCGCTCCCGCAAGTATTCTATGCTCGTTCCCCAACCCCGATCAGTCAATGGGATACGTCTTCTTCACAGAGTTCATCTGTGATTGCTTTGTCGGCTTCATCATCTGGGCAGCCATCGACCCGGCCAATCCCTTTATCTCGCCGGCAGTCGCACCTCTCATGATTGGCCTGGCATACGCCGCCATGGCCTGGGGCTTTGGAGACGTCACTCTCACTATGAACATGGCTCGAGACCTGGGGCCCAGAATCGTTGCTGCAATCTTTTTCGGCAAAGAAGCTTTCAGTTATAAGAATTACTCTCCCATTGCAATCCTCGTCAGCATACCTGCCACAATGGTGTCCAGCGCTTTCTACGAGTTTGTCTTCCGAGACAGCGTATCAGTGATTCAAAGCGGTCACGCTGTTCATGAAGACGGAGACGAGGCATTGGTGAGGCACATCACTAGGACTACTACAGTAGAAGGCATTGATGAACGGAGGGGTGACTACAAATCTTAAATAATCTTGAGGCGCTACAAAGAGACCTGCCATGCAGACAATAAAAACACATTTTGAATATATGCCCTGTTATATCTGTAGCGGACAAAGTGACTATTTATTAGCAAACAAAACTTGTAAACTCTTAACCATGTGGTACTTACTTCGATTAGAAGCACATGTCCTAGCCATGTTGATGTTCTTGAACTCTCCACGCAATCAATTACAGTAAACTCACTGCGACATGTAGTTTGCAACCTCTATTCTCTTTGCTTATTCATCCAGACTATCTTCAATGAGTACTTAGTAGCAAACCCCCACCCTTTTCGTGTCATTATGGTTCAATTTGGTGATCTTCGGTACCTGCATCCGTGATTATTAAACATGCATACAGGCATCTCAAGGTTGGGAGCGTAGCCACTACGAGACACACCCTTTCTAAGACGTTTTTGGGCAAAACGAGATTTCCTAAAGTAGCTCAGCTCTTCTCCATTACCCCAAACTTCTCTAATTTATTCTCCTTCTACTGGGAACCCCAGCAGCCCATGGCTTGTTGATTTGGCTCTCGGCAACCTGATCAGTAATCACATCTGTCATCTACACGCCGCACCTTAAAGCATATATTGACTTCTAGCGGCAGTCTGTAAACAGGGTTGATGATTAAGCTGGAGTTTTCCAGCTAACCGGAAATGCAGTTACTCGCTGACTTGCTTTTGGTCCCTTTGGTGGGATTATTTGTGCGCTTCAAGTAGCAGAGTAGAGGTAGCATGGGGAGACGAAGAGTACCATATCACTCATCTTGTATGCAGATGTGCCGGCTTGACATATGTTATTAGACTGGTGGTATAGACTGTTTTTCAGCCTCCTTGAGTTTGTGTACCTAACTAAGCAGATGAGACTAGAGAAGTTTAAATACTAATAAAAATTTAAATAGCAACAAAGCCATCTTCACAAATCATCGCTGAAACTCGAGGCTATACAACTTATATTAGCGAATGAAACGGAGTGGCAGATGACAATATTCGAAAACATACATGTGATTCTAGTTGGTCTGATTAGTTTTCCCTTTATCGCTGCTTTCTCAATGCAATTGTCAAAAAGTGCGGCGAACGGGCACAGTCTTTAGCAACTTTGGGGGGCTTTACACTGCTTACAATTCAAGCTGTGCTACACTGTCCCACCATTGTGTTTGGCGCATTCCAATGACTTCTGGAATCCCTTCAATACACGTTCTCTTCATTTCTCTTTCTTTCAGAATCAATGAGATTGAAACGGTTTAGTTCCCCGCACAAACTTGGCATAATGGCTGAAGCACAGGTGAAATTGGTCTTTATCAGCCAATTCACGTGACGGAAGGTGCATCATGCACGTTGGATGCTGACGGCTTCGAAACAGCCAACTTCAACCATCAACTTCAACCATCACTCAAAATTGGACCGAAAGCAAAACCACTTCAAATATGGGAAGCGACTGTTGCGGCCAACAGGCTTCTGCCCCGGAAATAATGGCTGCACCAGATGCGGCTCTAGCTGCGCAGACCAACGTCTGCCAGCAATCTCGCTCCGATGACGACTGCTCTGAAACTCTCAGCTTTGAGAACCCGAGTCAAGGAGATCGGCTTCAAGCCGCACTGGATGATTGCTGCTCTTCTGGGAGATGCGAGGATGAGAAAGCTCCAGATGATACTGACCAGCCTGATTGCTGCCGTGGCAAAGTCAGCCCATGCTGCGATACGTCTTGCCTCGATCGCTTGGCAATGCGAGAGTGCGAGATGAATGCTGCTGTCCTCGGCCCCGGCGCTCAGACAAACGGTGAGTAGCTGCTCTTTGAGACGCCAGCCACATTGCTAAATCATCCCAGCATGCAGCGAAGCGACTGATGGCCAGGCATGCAGCCAGCATAGTCTCTCTGTTCTCGACCGCTATGGGGCCACTCTACGGGCCTTGGGATGCATTTGCCGCGCTCTCATTGCTCTTGGCCAGGAAACCTGCTGTAACGTCCCGGGCCGCCGCTCTCCAGACACGAAGAAGTGCTCCAAGGACGCTTCGGGCCGCGAACTTTTTCGCACCTCGCTGGATGACTGCCGTCGTAGCGAACCTGTCACCAGGGATCAGGCTGCGAGAAACCGTCTTCGCCTACGAAAGGGTGCTGGTGAAAGCGCCATGTTCATCATGCCCGCCAAAGAAGCTTTTACCGACAACTGTGCGGGCTCTTGTTGTTCAAAGAGCGAGCCCGCCAAGAGCTCAAAGCCAAGTTGTTCGGAGGGCAAACCTGTCGATAAACCTTTCGCCGAAAATGGGTGTGCCGATACTTGCTGCTCAAAGGCTCCCATTGTAGATGTCAAGGCCGACACCAATGACAGCATAAAAATGCCGGCAAACAACTGTTCTGGCTCTTGCTGCTCTGACGATAGCCCTAAAGCCCTAGATATTGGGGACAATTTTGCAGAACTTTGTTGCGGAGGAGCCATGAATGAGGCCGCCATAGAGCCATCCAATACTACTTGTTCCGGCTCCTGCTGCAAGCCACTGAAACAGGATACTGCGAAAGCCACAAAGCGTGGATGCGTGGACTCTTGCTGCTCAAAAGACCGGCCGACCAGCCCTCAAGGCTCGTGCAGCGATATTTGTTGCTCTTCTGCTATGCCTGATCCTGTGCTGAACATCGAAAAAGCCCCGATTCCCGCCATCACAGACATGGAAAATCAGGGCACCGGAAAAGAGCATGTAGTTCTTAGCGTTTCTGGTATGACCTGTACTGGTTGCGAAACAAAGCTCAACAGAACCCTCGCTACTGTCCCTGCTGTCAAGGACTTGAAGACGAGTCTCATTCTCTCTCGAGCCGAGTTCAACATTGATCTTCGATTGGGATCAGTAGAGGAAGTCATGAAACATCTAGAGCGAACGACCGAATTTAAATGTGAAAGAGTCCAGAACAAAGGATCTAGCCTGGATTTTATCGTCCCCAATGAGCTCTCGAAGTTCCTCGGTCAAATATGGCTAGACGGCGTTATCGACATGGCACGCGTAGATGATCAGACTGTGCGAGTTACTTTTGATCCGAAGATAGTCGGAGCTCGAGACCTCACTGAGAAAATTTGGGGCCCGCCAGTCACACTTGCTCCTCTACGCGGTGATGTTTCGCTAGAGGCTAGCAGCAAGCATGTTCGCCATGTCGGGTATACGACGCTTCTCTCTGCCATCTTGACGATTCCGGTACTGGTCATGGCGTGGGCGCCACTTCCTGAGAAGAAAGTGGCATATTCCTCTGCTTCATTTGCCTTGGCCACTATTGTTCAATTTGTCATAGCAGGTCCTTTCTATCCCAAGGCTCTGAAGGCTCTGGTTTTCTCTAGAGTGATCGAGATGGACCTCTTGATCGTCTTGAGCACAAGTGCTGCCTACATCTTCTCGGTTGTCTCCTTTGCATGCCTCATTATAGGAACGCCTCTTTTGACTAGTCAATTTTTCGAAACGAGCACTCTCTTGGTTACTTTGATCATGGTAGGTCGATGGGTCGCCGCTCTCGCTCGCCAGAGAGCAGTTGAATCCATTTCTATCCGGTCACTTCAGGCATCGACAGCCATCCTTGTAGATCAAGAGAGCGGAACCGAACGCGAGATTGACGCACGGCTATTGCAATACGGGGATACATTCAAAGTACTCCCTGATACTAGAATTCCGACCGACGGCACTGTCATCAAGGGCTCATCTGAAGTTGATGAGTCTATGCTTACTGGCGAATCCCGGCCAGTGGAAAAATATTCCAAATCTGTCGTCATTGCTGGGTCTATCAATAGATCTGGAGTTCTGACTGTTAGACTGAACCGTTTACCCAGCGACAATACTATCTGTGCCATTGCTGCAATGGTTGACGAAGCTAAACTACTGAAGCCTAAGCTGCAGGATCTTGCGGACCGAGTAGCATCCTACTTTGTCCCGATTGTAGTGGCATTAGCGACTATCACATTCGTCATCTGGATTGCAGTGGGCATGACTGTTCGTGGGTATGATGGATCTGAAGCTGCCACTCAGGCTATCACGTACACCATTGCTGTCCTCATCGTCTCTTGCCCCTGCGCCATTGGATTGGCTGTTCCTATGGTTATTGTGATAGCAAGCGGAGTCGCGGCAGAAAAGGGTATCGTCTTTAAGTCTGCGGATGCTATCGAGGTTGCTCACAAGACGTCACACGTCGTGTTTGACAAGACTGGTACCTTGACTCAGGGAAAGCTTTCGGTTGTCACGGAGAACTTCCTTGATATTGGCAAACTTTCGCTTCTTCTAGGCCTTGTTGAAAGCAGCCGACACCCAGTCTCGGTCGCTGTGGCTGCTCATCTTAAGGAAGCTGGAGTCATAGCCTCGGCTGTTGCTGAGCCCAAGAGTATTACTGGTAAAGGTGTTGAAGCCATCGTGGGCGGCGAGACTCTTCGAGCAGGCAATTCCCGCTGGCTCGATTTGACGAATCATGAACTTGTTCAACCAATGCTTGCTCAAGGGTACACGGTCTTCTGCTTCACTATCGATAACACGTTAATGGTAGTCTACGGCCTTGAAGATGAGCTTCGACCTGACTCAGTGGAGACGATTAGAGCATTGCAAAGGCGCGACGTTTCGGTGCATCTAGTTTCTGGAGACGACGACGGAGCTGTGCAGACTTTGGCATCCAAGCTCAGCATTCCTTACGACCTTGTGCGTTCTCGAAGCTCACCCGCCGACAAGAAGGACTATATACAGAAGCTCCTTGGTACGACTACAGGTCGCAAACAGCCGGTTATCGTTTTCTGCGGCGACGGCACGAACGATGCCGTTGCTCTCGCGCAAGCAACCATCGGCGTCCATATGAACGAAGGCACGGATGTCGCACAATCCGCAGCGGATGTAGTTCTCATGCGCCCTTCTCTTGGTGGCATCCTTACTATGATGGACGTCAGTCGGAAATCCGTCAACCGCATCAAGTTCAATTTTATGTGGAGTTTCGTTTACAACGCTTTTGCAATCCTCCTCGCCGCGGGTGCTTTCGTCAATGCGAGAATTCCTCCAGAGTATGCGGGACTAGGAGAGTTGGTAAGCGTACTGCCAGTCATTGCTGCTGCGGTGTTACTGCGTTGGTCGACGATCTAGGTCTACTATGGTTGAAATCGTAACAACTTTACTCAATATCCCCTGAAGTAGCTGCTGTTAGGGATGGCAAGGGACACCTCCGACCATATTCAGGTTACAAACCGCGAGAGGTAGGAATAGTAAAGAGATACTCAATCATTAATGGCAAACTATACAAACTAAACTATCGCCAAATCAATCATAACCTGTGTACTCATCATAGCTCATGCAGCCCACTTCCAGAGTCGATCAAGCATTCCCTTTGGCTTCTCTGCATACTCTGTAGACTCATCCAACTGGCGTCCGGTATGAAGATCAATCTCTTCAGCGTTGCGGATCTTGGTCTTCTTAAAGAACTTCCATCCCAAGAATAGTGTAAAGAAAATACTAAATGACATAGTCAGTATACAGTTCAAGCAAGGAGAAGAGGGAGATGGAAACGTACGGCATGCCAACATAGGACACAACAAACTTCTGTGTATCCCAGTGGCCGTGAATGAAGACGCTAAAGCCATTGAAGATGATGACAATGATGAAGAATACGAGACTGATATAAGAGATGTAAGGCTGTAAGAAGCCCTTGAAAGCTAGCTCTTCCTTCTGGTTGATGCCCTGCGCGTGTAGAGCACGATCGAAACCAATATACGCGATACAGATGCTGCACCACGTGAATAGAGCGGCGGTCGTAACAAGGTTGGCGAACCATGAGAACACCCGGGCACTATCAGAGCTGACAGCCATGTAAGTGAGAGGCGCAAGAGCCCCGGTGCAGAGGACGCAGTAAATCGGAACTCCCCTCTTGGTGCATTTGAGTAGGAACTTTGGGGCCTGGCCACCTTCAGCAAGGGCAAGTAGATATCGACTACCACTGTAGAGCAGTGCATTGCCGGACGAAGCAGCAGAAAGAAGAACAACGGCGTTGATGATGGAGGGGAGCACCTTGATGCCGGCACGCGAGATTCCAATGACCCAAGGCGAGCTGGCAACACCGGCACCGCCGTTGAGGAGTCGATTATCAGTGTATGGAACGAGGACGCCGATGGCCAAAGTACCGAGGATATAGAAGAAGATGATTCGCCAGAAGAGACGGTTGATGGCCTTTGGGATGTTGTAGCGGGGGTTTTCTGTTTCTCCTGCTGCAACGGCAACCATTTCGATACCGGCAAAGGCGAAGCCTGCATTGACAATGGCGTTGAAGAGCCCAAGGAAACGTCCTGTGTCGCCACTGGCAATGTACTCTATCATAGCGCCAGGGTTCTTCCAGTATCTATTGCAAAAGCCCAGGTCAGCCACTGTTAGGCTTATTTTTATGGCAGTTTGCCATTGGCGTGTACGACTCACCGAAATCCAAGTCTATCATGGGTGGGACCACCTCCTAGGTCTATGACCAGCGAGAGGATGAGGAGGCCAACCAGGGCCACAATCTTGACGCAAGAGCATACGAACTCAGCTTCGCCAAAGATTCCAACGTCAATGAGATTGAAGATAAAGATGAGAACGAGAATGATGGAGATCCAGACAGCAGGCTATTGACAGTTTCTGTTAGAGAATGAATTTCCCGATACTTGTGACAAGAATGTAGCGTCTTGGGACTTACCGAAATAGTATCGTTCCAGAACTGAATAACCGCAGCGGCAGCAGATATCTCTGCGCAGACTGTGATTGCACAATTATACCACTGGTTCCATCCAACGGCGAATCCCAACGCTTCATCAACGAAACGTGAGCAGAATCTCGGCGTAGCTCCTGGGAGTGGCATCCATGTTGTCATCTCTCCAAGACATCGCATCTACACCATCTGTTAGTTGATGCTGACGTAACCCATCAAAACCAAATAAAGAAACTGATCAGATCTAAGGCGCAACTCACCATGGCGAAGATGAAGATGCTAGTAATGCTATAGCCCAATAGGAGAGACAGCGGACCCGCTTGAGCAAGGCCACCACCAATACCCACGAAGAGACCCGTTCCAATGGTGCCTCCAATAGCATAAAACTGCATATGGCGTGACTTGAGCTTCCTCTTTACCGTCTCTCTTTCAACAGGGGTCCCTTCATAATGGGAAGCATTGTTGATAGAGATGGATGCATCCTCGGACAGGTCTGAAGTTGGGTTTGCTATCTTCTTCTCGTCCATTGTAGGAGCTGTAGTCGTGACTGTTTTTGACTTGTGTGATTAAAAACATTTTTTTCCCTGAACGGCTCCATTCGTATTTGTAGTTATCCAAGACGACTTACAAGGTCCCTTTTGAGCACTCATGATCGTTATCATAGGAGTCGCTATCATGAGCTGAGCTGAGGCCTATTTCCCGATTTCGCCGACAGATGCTTCTCCAATATGCCGATGGCCGACCCACGCTGAAGCACGCGCTACGGAGTCTATTTACCGACAGCCCAGGATGCCCTTCGCCGACACGAATAATTCCAGGGCATACACGAAAGGATAGATGTGAGCGAAGAGAACAAAAGGGAGGCTGTTATATACAGATAAGGAGCGCCGCCATGGTGTCGCCCTAGTTTTGTGGCTTGAACCTCCTGATAGTTGTTTTGTCTTGGATCTAAGACCAGCAGAAATCATGACACCGGCACTAGTGGATGACGGCCAGCCTGTGAGTATCTGCTGCTTCTTTTCTGAATCCTTGTCGTCCATCTCTCTCCTTAACTTTTGATCCTCCGGACTAATTATTCGCATCCAGGCCTGGAATAGGCTGATTCGATTCGAAGATGTCAACGGCAAAGAGAGATACGGCGAACCCGTCGACGATGACCTCGATGGTACGTCGCCCTATACCAAACAATGATTCCAAAACACGGAATCATACCGGCATCTTCCCGCAGCGCTGACAGGGAATTTTTCCTTTAGTTGGAATCGCTTTACACCGTGGCCAAGATGTATATGCCAGGATTGTTCGAACCGAGTCAGCCCTGGACCTATCAGCCGTCCTCTCGGCAGACATCATTCAAGTCAAAAAGGTTAGCTGCAGCACAGGAAAACCATGTTGTGGAGGGAGCGCGCATGGGACAGCCTTGTTAACGGAATAATAAGCTGTTGGCACCACTTAAACCGCAGGAAGCGGGTACGATACGATGCATCGGGCTCAACTACCGGGAACACGCTGTAAGTAATGCCGCAAAAGAGTTACCGCAACGTTGCAAAAACACCATGTGTCGGTTTATACGTAGAGCCGAGTTGCTGAAACCCTTTTTGATAGGCAGAAATGAAGTTGTCAATCCCTGAAACCCCCACAATGTTCCTCAAGGCAACGGAAACCATCAACCACCCTTCCGGTCACATCATTGCTCCCCATTGCGCAGACCTGCACGACTGCCACCTGGACTACGAGGTGGAACTCGCCGTTGTCATTGGCAAGACGTGCAAAGATGTCTCGGAGCATCAGGCCATGGAGCACGTTCTGGGCTACATGACGGCCAACGATGTCACCGCACGGACACACCAGAACGAAGTCTCACAGTGGGATCGCGGCAAGGGCTTCGACGGGTTTGCTCCAATCGGACCGGCGCTGGTCTCGTCCAAGATCATTCCTGACCCGTCGGTTCTGAAGCTGCAGACGATCCTCAACGGCCAGGTCATGCAGCAGGGCGAGGCGAGCGACATGATCTTCACGGTGCCCAAGATTGTCTCATTTCTTTCCCAGGTGAGTTACAAGCTGAGTCAGAGGGGGGGGGGGTCCAGATTCCCGCTATTGAGTTGCTTCTTGGGCTAATAAACGATGTTGAACAAAATTACAGGGCTGCACGTTGCAAAAGGGGACTATCATCTTGACGGGAACCCCTTGCGGCATTGGCGTCAGCCGGAACCCACCCGTTCGGCTTGTTGAAGGGGATGAGCTGTTCGTGACGATCAGTCATGGCCTTGGGTCGCTGACCAATCCGATTGCGTTTAAACCATCTGCGCATTTGGAGTCTAAGCATGCACAGCTTATTGAGGCCAAGATGTAAGGAAATGGGTTAGGAACTGTTAGCATAGGATTTCACCATGCGAAAAGCGCATCTCATAGCACATAATTTGAGGGCGAAGGCGTTTAGCGTATATATAGGTATATACATGTATTTGGTTCAAGTTATATTGACAAAATTTGTAGCTATTTACTTGAGAATCATTGTCCTCCGTAATTGTCCTCCGCAATACCTGTGATCATCTGCTCCCATGTGCTAAAATCTGCTGCGCCCGGAAACGTAAACTGGCCATCTTCCCAAACAGTTGGCCAGTATATAGAGCTCATGTCGGAAGACATGGCTGGAGATTCTAGATCTGATGGACGCATTCGCCCCGAACCATCTACAGCCTGAATCCTAGGGCCAGGCGGCTCAGGTGGAGTGCCCGACGGATAAGCAGTCATCGAAGTATACCTCGAGTCCTTGGCCTTTGAAATGCACAGCTCAACCACTTTCAACTCAGCCATGCCAAATTCGTTGAGCCAGGGGTCCTGGTGCAGGTTCTCGCAATATGCTTCCAAGTCCTCCAAGATGGCACCAGCTTGCGCCGAATGAGGATTCTTTACTGCAATAATACCGAGAATCATGGCACTGTTGAATAGATTGTGAGCCCCAAAAGCCCACCGCAGACTGTCTGCGTTTGTGCTATTCATGGTACGAAGCCGTATTTTCAAATCTGCCAACGCCGAGGACATACACGCCTCGTGGCTAGTTCGAAATCGATCCGTGATTGATTCTCGAAGCAGGAATGGTCGATGTAGGACGATTCTGGCAAAGTGAAATGACGTGTGCAGATATAATCGATGCCATGGGAGAAATGGAAGAGCGTCATCCGCTGCAGTGTCTGGGTTGTCTAAGCGGAAGTATGGCGGAAGCTGTTCGCTCCACCTGACCAGGTTTGCATCGAGCTGGAGAACAGCCTCATAGCTTGCTCTTTCCATTCCGAAGCACTTCTCCTGTATCTTTCCAACGACTTGTGCAAGTCGATAAAGCAGAGATGATAGCACGCTCGGCGTTGGAAGACTAAGCGGCTGTGGCACCGCACGGTTGGCTTCTTCGTCGTCCATGTCATCCAGCCAGACGTTTTCAGGCTCGTGCGTTAAGCAAAACTGATTGTTGATTGCATACGGCCGGCCCAGTGCAAGCGATATCATACGGTCGATTGTATATATGTGGCTCCAGAGCCGTCTCCGCTGCTCGGTGGCTTTGCGAGTCATACGCCATCTCTCACCGTCAACCTGCCAAGTATGAGTATTTTACATGGGCCAAAATCATTGAGGTGGTGGAATCCTTACATGCATGCCTTGTGCTTGGGCCATTCTCGATGCGAAGCCGATTGTCAACCACGACTCTGAAACGCGTCGAGTGTAGAGTAGATAGCGGGTTACGAGCAGTCCGGCTCGTACAATATCTGTACTTTCTCCGTAAAACGACGGAGCAATGACAATTGCTCTTCTTGCTGCCCACTAAAGCATTACTTGTCAGATTATTTCCATATACGAGTTTCTTTTACACGCAGAAATTCAACTTACATAAAATCGGAGAGAGGCTTCTTCTCGTTCTCGCTGCACATCCAGCGTCGGATGTGGCGGAGAATCAAGCAGAACTCCAAAGGCCAATATTATGAATAATAGCCCCAACCATCGAAGGTCGACATTGGCCAAATCATCGAAACCAAATCGTCTCCCCCAAAACTCATCATAGCTGCTTCTGAAAGTCGCCTCATGAACTGCATCCAACGACCAGTTCACCTCTGCCAGAAAGATATTCACCAAGCGATCAACCGTTGACTTCTGCCGAGGCAGGAGACCAAGCAGATCCCAGACCTGAGCGAAAGAGCTAGACTCATCCCTAAAGGACTGCAATGTGTCTCGGCCTCGCGATATGCCTGCCGGGAGATCTTGGCCCTCTTCACTGAGTATCCTGGAAGCCACCTGGTGGCCAAAGTATGAAGAGCCATAAAAGGCTCTGGCACCCCTGTTAGCGAACAACGTCCCCAAACTAGGACTCATTGGCGGCTGCGTCACTCTCCTCGGTCTGGGAGAAGGGCTGGGCGGAGCGATGGAAACCACCTGGGGAGACTGTGAGTGCTTGAAACCACCATTGCTGTTGATGGAATCGCCGCACAAATGGGCCACTCCCCGCTGTAGGCAGCGGTTACAAGGCTGGTTCCTATCACACTTTTGCTTCCTCAAGTGGCATTGCGTACATGACGTGGGCTTCCGGCCTCGTCTGCTGCCTCTGCTGGCCGGTTTTCGCGGCTGGGCCATCATTACAGAGTCCGACATCTCGGGATATCTCCACATTCAGACCCGGCGCCGGGAGCAAATGATTATAAAACGCGTGTCGGTGTCGGCAAATGATGGACTCGAGAAGGAATAAGACGCAAGATGAAAATCGTCAGTGGAAGGGGAATTTGCCGATATACATGTATTTAGTGGTTGTTGGTAGTGGCAGCCGTATCTGGGGTCTGGGGAAGCCCCGGTTTCTGAGAAATAGCTTGGGAACAGTCGCCAAATCACCGGCTCGAGATTCGACAAGTCTGTGCGTTGGGCTGGGGAATTTCACGCCATCGTCCGAGCTTACGGCGAGCTTTCAGCAGGCTTTATGGAGAAGAAGCCGCAGGTGTGGAAACAGAAAGGTTTGGCTTCATGCGAGCGCCCGCCGTCTCTTTTGACCTTTGGACTGACTCGGGTTGACAGGAGCTGTTTGTCGTTAGTTACTAGTTGAGTTGCAGACGGCAACCAAGATATGGGCTTTGGTCGATTAGGATAGAATGAAGTGATAAAGCGTGCCAGATAGTATCCTTTGGCTTCGCACCATGGCGTCAGGCTTGATCATACGTGGAATATTATTTTGCAATGTAATTGCCGCTAAAAGACCCCTGCCCGATTACCAAACCGTTACCAACCTGTACTGTAAGCTCTCTAGATTCCATCCATTCGCCAACCCTGAACCCCGACCCTTTACATGTAGATGATGCACAGTATATACGATCTGCCCGTCTATATCCCGTCTATATCGCCTCCTATCGCTCACTATCCACCGGCGTGCAAGTGACGAACATAAGGCACCCGCGCTCCGAGGCCCAGGGCCCATGCTCCATGCCGGCGTTGCGGTATGCATACATGCCCTTGTAAAAGGTCTGGGCCAGCCTCTTATCCGTAAGATCGCCTTCGACGATGTAGACCTCCTCGATGTAGGTGTGCACTGCGGGATTCGACGTTGGGTTGGTGGCCCCCGGTTGCCATCGCTGCAGTATCGACTTGCGGCCGGTTACTGTGTCTTCGTTCAACGTCATTTCCTCGATGCCGGGTGAGCAGAGTCGCCAGGTGGAGCGTGTGGTTGGATCGTGGAATTCGAACTGCTCCATCTTTGGGGCTGTAGCTGCAGACATGTCGAACAGGGAAGCCGAGTGGTGATTTCTTGGGGAATTGATCTTTGGAGGCAGGCAGTGATATTCTGGAGAAGCAATTGGGCTGTGACGGCTTTTTTTCCGGAAAATGAATGGCCAATTGAACAGTTGCGCCTCTACGTAGCCTTTTCAATCTATCGATTCTTAGGGAAGGCTTTCTTACAAGTAATACTGGCGATGAGAGGGGAAGTGGAGCAGAATGGCCGCCATCGGCAAATGTTTGGCGGTGACACAACGCCACTGAAGCTTTATCATCAGGGAGCTGAGGAGCAAGCTTGCAGCACTAAAACGTTGCTATGCAGTCTGCTAGCTAGTATGTACATAACAAGGGAAAGATAAAGGCGACCTGTGAAAAAGCCGAAAAGGCCGACGGGCTTCGAGGTCGCGTGCCTTGAGCGGGCTTCGACTTTGACTTTAGCATACTAATCATCACGAGTGTAATTTGCCTTGACAAGATAAAGTCGGCATTTACATCATCTCAAGGATCGAGATCGATAAATTGATATCAGCTGGCCAGCTATCAAACTAACTCGGCGTTGACAACCTGCACCTTGATTAGTCGTCCAGTCCCCGGTTCTCTACGATTCGTCTAACCAGATCTCCCTCATTCAAGATGGCATCAGTCGCTCGCAGCATCCTCAAGAAGCCTGTCAAGATTTCTCTTGTACAGCTCCTTTCTGGGACAGACAAGGCCGCGAACCTGAAACATGCGGCCTCACAAGTAGCCAAGGCGGCCTCGGGAGGCTCAAATATTGTCGTCCTTCCAGAATGCTTCAACTCACCGTATGGAACCGAGCATTTTCCCAAATATGCAGAGCCATTACTGCCTTTACCACCGGTAAAAGACCAGGCTCCGTCATATTATGCTTTGTCGGCAATGGCAGCAGAAAACAACGTGTATCTCATTGGAGGCTCGATTCCGGAGCTCAACCCATCAACGAAAAAGCACTACAATACCTGTCTCATATTTGGGCCAGATGGTGCCTTGTTATCAATCCATCGCAAGACGCATCTCTTTGATATTGATATCCCAGGCAAGGTCACATTTCGGGAGTCGGAAGTTCTCAGCCCAGGCAACAAGGTCACACTGGTCGATTTCCCCGAATATGGCAAGATTGCCGTTGCCATTTGCTACGATATCCGCTTCCCGGAGCTTGCTACCATTGCCGCTCGAAAGGGGGCTTTTGCTTTAATCTATCCCGGTGCGTTCAACCTGGTCACGGGCGCTCTGCATTGGAAACTGCTGGCGCAGGCACGAGCTGTCGACAACCAGATCTATGTGGGCATGTGCAGTCCTGCTCGCGTGTTGGATTCTTCCTATCCTGCCTGGGGGCACAGCATGATTCTCGATCCAATGGCTGCTGTCTTGGCTGAGGCACAGGAGGACGAGGCCATCATTGAAAGCGAGTTGAATGAAGAAAAGATTCTAGAGACGCGAAGGAATATACCTTTGGAGACGCAGCGCAGGTTCGATGTCTACCCCGATGTAAGCGCAGGAAAAGTAGCATATGAGGAGCCTGATTTGGTTGGCTAGATTCGCAACTAGGGGGTTACAGAGTATACAAATGTGTATTATAAATACTTTATTTGTAATATCGACATCTCGTGCTACTGCTCATCATGGCAAATGAGTCTTGTGAGATAATGAACCACATATATGAAGCAAATCATTATTTAGGCTAGGAAAAAGACAATATTCATATACATCTTCCCTCAACATATCTCTAGCGGCAATTGTTCGTCGCCTTATTCCAGATTACCATCTGCACTTATAGCGATTGACCAACAGATATAAATGGTATGAGTTTAATTATAAATCAGTTTCAACGTGGTCATTCCAGTTTCCAACTCTCTGCTTTCATCATGGTATACAAATATATCTCTTTCCCGGCTGCTCTAATTTCCATTCTCAATGTTTCCGTTTGCTTGCGAATAGCGCTGCTCAACTTCCTCTTTATCCTCGTCACCTGGAAGTGTAACAAATTGGCTTCGTGTAAATGGGCGATATTTCTCCTCTTCAATCTTGCCCAGTCTGCTGTTCGATAGCTTGTTTTCGCTCAAACCATAAAATTCCTGAAAGGACGAGATGAGGGGCTTCCAGCGGTCGGGATCAATTCGGTTTGGATAGCCAGCCATCCGGATTCCATCCACGACGTGAGTTCGAAGTACTTTAAGCTCAATGGCAGCAATGGCGCCCCTCAGGTCAGGATAATCCTTCATGGTTTCGTGATTCTCTGCCAACTCGCACTCCATCTGAACGGGGCACTCTAAAATGCGGCTGGGCCGAACAAGGTCGGATTTTTGAGGGGTAAGTTGCGCACGCGTCCATTTGTCTTTGACATAGCGGTATCCTCTGTCTATCTTTGATGCAGAGGGATGCTCAGTGCCAGTCGTATCGGCTAACAGGTTGACATGATGAGTCATGGTATCATCTGGGAGGTTGACAACACATTGGCCGGTTCGAATAATGTTTTGAGGTGTCTTGCTTTCGGCAGCAAGTCCGAGAACGCAGCGGTGGCCGAGCCACCATACTGATGATACCGCAGAGATATTTTCCGTTCCATCTTCGTTCTCGGATGTGACGAGCAAGACGGGTGTCCCCCAGAACAAAATCGCAGGTGATATGACGGAGTGCGACATGGCCAAGGCTTGAAGCGCTATAATACCAAGAAGGAGTTGATTCAAGGCCAACTTATACAACGATTTCCCAATTGTACTTGTTTTGAGCCGCTATAACCTTTCTTCTCTCAAAGTAGATGTTGGTTGCCCAGGCTGAAAGTCATAGTTGAGATTAAGAAGCGAGTCATTCCCATATATTGAGCTTTATACTCCAGTTCCATATCCTTATACACTGTCAATCCAAACGACATGAGACAATTTGTAACGAATGAGGTGATGTGCTGGCCTCAAAGCGTGTTTTAGGCATGATTTCCAATGGCTTCCCAAAGTAGATCTAGGCTGGGTATTTTAGTTGCACAGTTTATTGCTTGTTAGGGAACATATCCTCAAGGAGTAGCAGCATGATATACGACTGGATGTTTTAGTATATGCCAATCTTTGTCATTCAGTATGGCTGTATTATAAAGACTGGTTTCATGATTCGGCGATAAGATGGATCGTGAAATCTAAACGCCAATGGGGCAGAACATTTTGCCATTAATCACACTTCGATGGTTACCATAGTCCAACTAGCCATATATATACTTGTATTTATAATCACTCCATCGTGCCCGCTGGGTTACATCACAGTAGTTTGGCGTCAACCTGATGACACATATTCGCTTAGCGCTTCCTATAAGTTGCGTGAAATTTCGTTTGAACACTCGGACATTTGCAAACCCGTGTCTCAAAAAAGCAATGGGAGAAGATGGAATCTTTTACGCAAACTATAAAACCGCACATCATACGTTTCTGAATACCTCTTTCTAAGATATTCATATATCGTTGCATAGCCTTTTAGCTAAATATCTGTCTCTTTCCACCCACAAAGCTATTCTCGGGTGGTTTTCATCGCCATTGGTGGAAAATAAATAGATAGCTAAGCACATCACTTCCTTGTTTTCGTATACACCATTAGGTTGAAACTGGAAACTCCTTGTTCAAAGTCAACGGCGACAATGCGGGTGCCAGACTCAAGAGGTGGGTTACCGTCTGATTTCCGCCGCTTCGGAGCTTTCTCCTTGAGATTCTTTCGCAGAAAGGTATAGTGGCCTATTTATCCCATGTAAAGATCGGATATACGATCAGTATTTTCATTTTTACTGTGGATTCTGGAAATGCCCTACACATTATAATAATATATAGTACTATATAACCATTCTTATTGCCAGAAATAGTTTATATCTGCTCTCAAGAGGCAACTGCATACACATGAAGCCTACATGAATGCTTGTTTAATGTAATTGAATTTGTGTCCTTGGTTGAAATGACGCACATCTAGTTTGTTGTAGAGATTGATTCCAAAACTGGTTCCACTTTCGCGTGTCAACTCGCATTGATAAGCAATTGCTAACTCTATGCGGCCCGCGCTGACGGCAAATCAAGTTCTGTAAAATATCAGATTCATAACGATATCAATAGAAACAGATGAGAAATTCTGTGATAGATGATGGGATGACAAATGTGGATATCAAAATAGCATTTAAACAGCGAATTCATCAATATTTCAACGAGTAGTTGGAACTAAGATAGGGTAAGCTCTTTTTGATTAAGCTCATGGTGTTGAGCGAGGCTGAGAATGTAAAGTGGATACATGTGTGGCTGGTACTTATGCGCCACAGTATACGCACGAGGCTGCGCGTTGCATGGAACAAAGTTGCCGAGTGAGCTTCCGCCAGGCAAGCCATCAACTTTTAAAAGTCTTGACCCTCGTGTTCCAAGAAAACTGTCAACATGGTAAGGAGCTTCAAACGTCGAGCCACATCTCCCCTTGTATTCAGGAACTTGCTGACCCTCTCGATAGGCTCGAAATTCGGAAAAGGCCCAGTCTATGCTCTTCCGCTTCCGTGAAGCGCAAGCAGCAGACTTGGGCATCATTGACGCCGGACGAACACGCCGCCCCAAGGTCATCACCGAAGTCGATTCGATCCCATCGTGCGAGAAATGGCGCGGCCAAGTCCTCAAGGAGATCTCGCGCAAGGTTTCTCGGATCCAGGACCCCGTGCTGAGCGACTACCAGATCCGCGACCTCAACGATGAAATCAACAAGCTGATGCGCGAGAAGCACATGTGGGAGGTGCAGATACGGAATCTAGGCGGACCAAACTACATGAGAGGAGGAGGGAAGATGTATGACGAGCAGGGCAGAGAAATACCCGGTGGAGGGAAAGGCTACAAATATTTTGGGCGAGCGAGGGAGCTGCCAGGAGTCAAGGAGCTCTTTGAGGCCGCCCAATCCAGGAAGAAGGAGGACAAGCCACTGGAAACAAGCAGAGACTTGAGAAAAAACGTGGATGCGGCGTATTACGGCTATGCTCCGAACGAAGAGGACGACGCGCTGCTACAGTACGAAGCCGAGAAAGAAAGAGAGGCATTGGCAAATCTCCTGGCGACGGGATCACAAGGAGCGCCGGACGGTTGGGAACCGTTACCCGGAGACAGCGGTGACGGCCATGGATGGGCACTGCCCACGCTGGAGGAAGTTCAGATGGAGCTTCTTGAGAGGAGAAGACGGAAGCTACTTGACCAGCTATAAGCCGATGCTTACCTCTGATCTGACGACATTTTTCACGCATCGACTGGCCTCAGAAATGCAAGATTGAACGCAGGTCCACCGTTCGACTTGGACTGCGGCCGGGGATTCAAGATACCAACTGCTTTATATTACCCTTTGTTGGACGATTCCTTTGGTACTCGAGGCTTCAACAGAGTATGAATATTTGGTCAGGATAATGCGCCTGCATCGGTCCAACTCGTGTAGCATACTGCCGGCTATATGGCGAGCGCTATTGTATCCCTTGGATACGCCCATGTCTTTCGGTATTTTGCTGGCTGGCTGGCTGCTGACTGATTGGCTGACTGGCTATCCTGGCAAGGATTTCAGAAGATTGTCAGGTCGTTGCAGGCTTGAATGCCGACACTAGGTATCATACTGTGGTTAAGAAGAGAGGGAGAGCCCATTGTTGTTTATATGCCTTCACCATGAAGCACGATTGCTCTTCTACGCACGTGGGCAGGACTTGGATATAATCTCGATGGCGTTCAGGAAAATGGATTTAATGGATTTTGTTTGGGTGTTGATGCGAAAATATTTCCTTGATATACTGTTTAGCGCAAAAGAGCAAACATCCCTTTGTTTTCATTGGCCCGGAAGAAATGATTCTTGATTGCTTACACCGCGAAATCGTCTTACTCTCTGCCAGGTAGTGAACACGGTCGGGGCATCGCAGCGAGTTGCCAGCACCATGTCCTATCAGGATTATTAGGATTACGCGGACGGCTCCTTTTGCTGGGGCAAGTCTTGGCTGCAATCATCTACCGCAGAGATGGAGAAATGAGCATGGAAGCGATTGATTGGGATGACCTAATAGTGGAGGATCCTCTCATGCCATTATGCACCGATCACTGTCAAGGTGAACCGTGTGTTCAGTCGCAATAAAGCTCGAGTCCACTAATAATCCGGGTTGAGTCGTTTCTGCGGCTACGAGCTTTGTACCGCTACCTTTAGAGTTTGCTTTTGAAAGACAAACTGGGACAATAGCACGAGTTTTGTCCTCGCTAAATGGTCCTGTCTTGGAATTTCTAATAATATCTCGAGCTGTGCTTCACTCCCATTTAATCCTTCATGTCACTATCCGATACCCGCAGGAGGCTAATCGAATCGCGGAGCCTTCCCCTCACGCAACTCTCTCTTTTTCTTTCCCTTTGCCTTTCCTGCTCTTACAGTAAATATAGTACTTCTTGAATTCCCCCTCTTTTGTTCTCGGCCGCCCCATGCAAGCAGCGAAGAGAAAAAAAAAACATGTGCAGAAAACGGCCGAACCGCCCAAAGACGTGCATTAGCTTCAGGGGCAAACTGGGCACTGGGCAGCCAACCGGGAGGGCGCCAGGGCCAGGGCGCCGCCAATTGAGGGCTGCTGCAAGGGGTGCCTGGCGCTAGAAGACAGCGGACAACGTTCTTTCAGTGGGCGCTAGCGGTGAGAGTCGCTCGTTTTGGGTCGCTGTCATCGCCAGGTACCACTACGAGATGACTGGTAAGCGCCAGTTTATGCGAGCAAATGGGACTGGAGCCATTGGGCACGCAGGCTCTCGGACTCGACATGCAGCCTGTTGCTGAATATTGTCATCTTTATGCGGGCAGCTATTCCCTGATTGGGTGTACATCATGTCTTGGATGCACTGTAGCCCATGAGTAGCACCCGGCACACTTTAATTTCGATGCAACCTCTGCCTGTGCCCCTCAATGGCAACCGGCGCTCCAAGGTCGTACCGGTACCAGCGACATCAATTCAAATTGATTCAAATCGCTCGCAGCAGATCCCTCTTTCCAGGGATGCCTGCCCTGCGCGTCGCCACTGTCTCAAGCGGCATAGCGCTGTCTAGCGCGCGGAGGAGCCCCGGAGGCCCTGCCAGGGGCCCTGCGCGAGAGGCCCCGGGCCTGCCAATAGCGCCGTTGCACGCCTTTTGCTGTGAACCGCCAGCAAATTGCGAGACGCGATGGCCTCGATCCACCCGGACGGGGACCAAGGAAGAGCTTTTGTGTAGCTCGAGCACAGGCCCAGGCACCGCGAATTAGATTGCTGCGAGGCACAGTAGTGTACAGTACCTGGGCTGCAGTAGGACTTTGCTGCCCTTGGCCGGCTGGGCGGCACCCGTCAGTTCAATTCGTATCCTCGCTTCCCCGTGGCCGCCTCGTGGAGAAGGACAGCGGCCCTGGCCAGTCAGCCATTTCTTGGGAGTTGATGCGAGGTGAATCAACTGACTGGTGCTAGTGCCAGCAGCAGGTAGCGGTACCTTGCATGTGCCCAGCCCGTCGAGCGTCTCAGGCGGCGGGTTTGCCTGCTGCCTCAGGTTTCTTCCACCTCTTTTCCGTTTGACCTCAGTCTCTTAATCGACTCGCTGAGACTTCTCTATTTTTGTTGATTCATTCTGCGGCTGGTCGCGCGGTAGCCCATCCCTCGTTTTTTTTTCCCATTGTTGCCGTCGCAATCCCCGCTGTGTCAGACTGGGCACGTCCGTTCCTTTGTTCGCTCTTTTTCCATCGAGTCTCCAATCGGGAGATACCTACTATAGACAGGCAAACGGGCAGACAGCCTACGACGAGAAACGTCAATACGAACAATCGCAACTAGCGCAGCGAAGAACACATACGAAGCTACGGCGCAGGCATACGCTATACAACCGCGCCATACCAGGCGACAGTGCATTATACATCATATCGAAATATCGAAAAGGCAAATCGCGGTCATCTTGTGTCGTCGGAGAGGGGAGCCTTTCCGTCTGTTGATGGCACCTTTGGGTAGCCAAGGGCAGAGACGACGACGATTCCAGAGACTGCAGACTGAGCAGGCGAAATTTGGGTCGGGGAAGAGTTGACGGTATTGGCTTAGACCGCAGTCGCTTCAAAATGGTGTCGTTTTTCGGCCTCAGGTTCGGTGGCGACAAGAAGAAGTCTCAGTGAGATGCCCTTCAATTTGTCTTTCCTACCATGTGTTTTACGAAAATGTCATCGCAGCTAACGCCTCTATCTGCCACAGGAGCAAGCAATCCGACAAGAAGCAAGTGGCCCAGTCGAATCAGCGATATGGCAAAAACAGCCCCAATGACAGCTTCAAATTCCCGCCGCCCCAGCAGACCTCCTCCCGGTCGGGCTCCTCGACATCGACTGCTCGAAACCTGGGCTGGCGCGCTACCCTCAAAGGCGTGCCGGCGGCCTTGTCCATGGTCGACCTCACGTCGCCCCGGAAACCCAGCATGGGCAGCCTGCGGCATGGGCTCGACGGCGGGGGCTTCAAGCCTTGGATGAAACCGAATGCGAGCATGACCAACCTTGCTGTACCGAATCCATTTGGAGTAGACAAGGTGCCGCCGCTGCCTGCGGGCTCGAGACAGTCTGCTTTGATAGATCCTCTCGACGCCCGTTTTAATAAGAAGTCTGGAAGTACTACAAACTCCACAAGTCATAGTGGAGGTGGTAGCTTACAGAGATCGGGAAGCAAGAGCCCATTGGGTCAGTCTGATCTGAAAGCCGAGCCGGAGCTGATGCCGGAGCAGGAGCCAGAGCCAGAACCAACCAGAAAGGATTCTGAGAGCCTGGCCGGATTGGGGGAGTTTGACGAGTTTGGTGAACCCGGACCCGATGTTGGCATTCGTGGTTCAGGATACGCTGGATATCCATCGCCTCCTCAGTCGGTCGAAACCGAAGAACAATGGCCTCCCGTGTCTCCGGTTGATGGAGAGGTAGGCGTAGAAGCAGATGCGGAACAGAATGGAGAGGCAGACATGAAAGCAGGCGTAAATCAGACACAGCAGCAATTTATCGTTCCAGGATTCGCCAACGGACCTGGCCCTGCTATGCTTCCCAGCCCATCCTCGTCAACATCGCGCAAAAGCGAAGATACGCGGGGATCGCCAGTTGTACAAAACGTCCACGCAAAACGGGATACGTTGACATTCATCTCCTCTCGGAGAAGAAGCTTCACAATGGTCGTCGAGGAAGAAGAGCTCGAAAAGCACCGGCAACAGCAGCAGCATCGTGTAGAAGGCCTCGCAGGCAACTTTTCTGATTTCGACTTTGGCCATGGAGTGGTGAACCAGCAGACTGTGGCCGTTGGAACGCTTGGAATAGAGCTGGTGCAGAGCCCGATCCAAATGGAGAGGCCGCATCCGTTTAAAGATGCTGAACATGTTGAAGCCGTTGAAAGTGCCAAGAGCATTGAGAAGGGCGCGAGGGCTGAAGATATGGAAGGTTCTGCTGGCGATGTATTGAGTGAACAGGATCAACAAAGCGAGCTGAGCGATACGGCATATTTGGCGTCACCTGTTGCATCACCGATTGAATCGCCAATTGATTCCTTTATGGCATCGCACTTTGCATCGCCCTTTGCATCGCCCATGGCACCACAAAAGCAATTTCGGGCTTTTAGCCCTTTCAGCCCTCAGCGACTCCAAGTGGAAATACCCGATGATGCTTCGCCATCCGCACCGGTACAGCAGCCACTGCCATCGCCTTCTGCTGTTTCCGCTGGCGTCGAAAGCCCTCGCCCAAACCGAAGACCCTCTCAAATGATGATGGAAACTCCAAATGCACTGGCATCGGTTTTGCATTCGTTCGGATCAACCCCGCCTCAGGGCTTCAATTCACGAATGACAACCGAATCTCGTGCCCGCGGCCCTCCGCAGCCGCTACAGCAAGCCGCATTCCCAAGTCTTGCCGCCCGGATGGAAACTCCCTCGCAGAGTCCCCGAACGCCATATGGCCCTGCTGCGGATGAAGGCAACTATATGCGGACAGAGGAGGCACCGCGACCACCCATGGACCGAGTGCCCATGAGCCCTTTTGCTGCTAGAACCCCTATGGAGGGCGAGTTTCCAGTCATGAAGGGGCTTCCTCGAGGGCGACAGCCTCTTCGCCCGCAGGTGCCTTTTGAGGACTCCCCAGACAGACGGACCGAGGAACGAAGCCCTCGCCCATTTTCCAAATGGGGAGGCTTTGGATTTGACCGGTCAGACACGCGAAACTCCCCACTGCCAAAACCACCACGAACTCCAAAGGGTCAGCCCCCGGCCTCACCAAGCTGGTCTCTCTCAACCCCTACATCCGATATTGCACCGCGAATTCCTAGCCCGACGTTTCCATCTCTTGAAAAAGCCATATCAGCCACGAGCGAAGATTTGGCCAAGTCGTTTGAGATGACTTTTGATGCTCCTCAGCCGTCGCCTCTTGCGAACGAATTCTCCATCCATGATGTTGCTAGCCCCAGCGTAAAGTCAAGCCCCGTAATACGCGTTGAAGCAAAAAAGGCACCTCCACGGCCTACACCCTCGCCAATCAACTTGCCGCCACTTATGAGAGAGAAGGGCCCATTAACGCCAAGTCCCCTGTATTCCCCTTCAGGATCGACATTTATCTAAAGGATTTCCTTTCCACCCAGTCACAATTTCTTTCTCTTTGTTTTTTTTTTCCCCCTAGCTTTTTTCTTGTTGTACTTAACGACCGTGTTGACATGGGATGACGGAGCAGGGTTTATTTTGATGCTTTTTGCAAGCGTTGGGTTTTTTTCTTCTTTTACAAAAAGATGTTTTCATTCACGTCATTCGTTACTATCTGTACAGAACGTACATTCTATAATTACCAGCTGGGCTAGTATTTGAGTCGATTATCGGAGGAATTGTGTAGCTACTTGAGGGAAAGGGGTGCTGTTTTCTGTTTTGCAAGAGGGGGACTGTATTAGTATAGTGAAGAAAATTTTGGCCCAGGATATATAAATATGTACATGCATAGGATGTTGCAAAAAGGATGATGTTCAATTGGACCCAACAACGCCGAGTGTGCTTAATCGCAGATTCCAGAATATACTGTACTTTTGGGAGAACAAGGTGAGAAGACGAAAGAATAAACAATGCTATATACAACAATTCCTCACACTCTACGCGCAACTCCCCCCCTTTTCCTCGTCTAGTTCAAAAACAACCTCAAATTCCCCCCTACGTTTTTCAAGTCGAGCAAAAATGTGTCGTGGCCGAACAAACTCGTCTCCTCGCTCAGCTCTACGTGTGTGACGCTGCGATTTCCGCCTAGGCATAGAGACTCGGCAATCTCACGCTGCTGCCATGCCGGGAAGAGGATATCGCTGGCAACACCCATGACGAGCGTGGGGATATCGCGGAGGGCAGACAGGCCGCGAATCAAGTCTTCGGGAGGTCGAGAGGATGCTGGGTTTGGTGGCGATGAGGGAGAGTCTGAGGTTCCGCCAAACTCGGTGCTGCTCTGAGAATCGGGCTGCTCTTGGTAGGGCTCGCTGGGAAGGGTGAGGCTACATTGGGCATCGGCGGACTCGGAATATTCACCGGCGGCGAGGGCATCCTTTCGAGCGGCGCGGCGGGCTTGAGTGCTGACCTGGTTTTCGTAGCCGAGGTCGAAGAGGTCCATGGCCTTGCTGACGTACAGCAGGCTGTTGGGGTCGTACGTCAGGCACCACTTCTCGCCGGCGTGGTCGAGATACGTCTCGATGAGGAAGTCCGGGCACAGCGCCGGGGGCTTGCTGGGATCGGCCCTCCGGCGGCCGAAGCGCTGCTCCCACTCGGGCCCGGAGCGGTACGTGACGGTGGCAATCTCGCGGGCCAGCTTCATGCCGGCGTGGGGCGGCACGCGGCCGTAGTAGAAGCCGCGGTTCCAGTTGGGGTCCATCATCAGCACCTGGCGCTGCGTGTGGCGCATGGCGATGCTGTACGGGTGGCTCCTCGCGCAGCCGCTGATGGTGGCCACGCGCGAGACTCGCTCCGGGAACAGCACCGCCGCGGCGAGCGACTGCATGCCGCCCATGCTGGAGCCGACGCTGGCGTAGAGGCGGTTGATGCCGAGGTGGTCCAGCAGGCGGAACTGCGCGCGCACCATGTCGTGCATCGTCAGGATGGGGAAGCGCGTGGCGTACATCTCGCCGTTGGCCGGGTCGACGCTGCTGGGGCCTGTCGAGCCATAGCACCCGCCGATGACGTTTGTGCAGATGATGTGGAAGCGGTCAGTATCGAGGGGAGCTCCCGGGCCAATGAACTTCTCCCACCAGCCGGGCGCTGGGTTGGCCTCTGTGGAATGGGCGTGGGACGAGGCAGACAGGCCGGTGTGCAGGAGGATGACGTTGGAGCGGTCGGCGTTGAGAGCGCCCCATGATTCGTAGGCGATGTTGAAGGAGGGCAGGATGCCGCCCCAGTCGAGCAGGAGGGGGTCTTTGCAGTGGTAGTTGAGCGTGACGCCGGAGGTGTATGAGGGCTCTGGGCCGGCGGTTGATGATGATGATGATGAGGTGCGGGAGTTTGGGTTGGCGCTGAGCTGGGCGGAGCGGGATTCGAGCTTGTCGAGGCAGGGGAAGTTGAGAGCTGGATTTGAGGGCGCGGGGGAGCCTGAGAAGAGCGAGGATGATGAGGAGAAGAGGCGAGAGTGTGTTGTTTTATGAGATGGTGATGAGGAGGTTAGTCGTGATGCTGGTGTGTAAGCCAGAAATGGTCTCTGCAGGCGCTGGCTGGCTAATCGGAGGGATTGGTGGCATCTCATTTTGGAAAGCAGCAGCAGCAGCAACCACAATGCTGATTGAATATCAATAACTAACAAGATACAGAGCAAGTGTAATGAGAGTGTCGATTCACCTCTCACTTGAGTTTTTATTCAAGATTTAGATGAGATGTTGAACCGACAAGCCGTCGCTTTGTAATTGCTGTAGGTCCGGGACATCGGCGTGGGGCGGTGGGGCGGTGGGTTCTCGGCCTCGCACGACATTTCACGTGCAGCGCTATTTCTGCCAGTTTGTCCGTGGGGAAGAATCGGGGATTGGGGGAGGCCATTGTATCATGTGCAGCTGGAAAGGCGTAATAACGGCCTCTACTGATCAAGATTGATGCTGTTTATATGATGACTACTTGGCCCATTTCCCACCGTGGCAGGTTCGTCGAGCGCTGTCCCTCTCTGTATACCCCGATTCGTGTATAAACATCGCCACTGCTAGTTTGTGCTTTCTTCAAAAGCAGCGCATCTTGAGACATGACTAGTGCTAGCAATACTTGCTCGTCCTCCGCAACTTCACCATCGACAGCATCCTCGGCTACATCAAACCTCATGGATCCATCCACCTCATCCTGCGTCTGCTCGTCCCACAAAGACCACCCATAAAAACCCTTTCGAATCCTCGCTCGGAACAACAGCGTCTTAATCTCCAGCCTCGCAGCCGTTACCGCACTGAACTCGTCATTCGCCATTGTCGTAACAACCTCGCAACTCACAAGCTCCAGCAAATACAAGCTTGATCCAAACGTAAAGTCAATCTCACCACTGAACGAGCCCCATGACCAAGACGGCGCAACATACGTAGCGTGTCGACGCGGCGTCTCCTGTGCATCTGGGTCGTGGTTCGGATGCCATCGTAAGAGCTCGCCGAGATGTTCTGCCCATAGCCCTGCGATGTAAGTCTTGTTGGTGCTGCGGCTCATTTTTCTGGCAATGGCCGAGATGGCGAGGAGCTTGTCCTGGTACCAGCCCAGACCGCGGCGCGTATAATGCGATACGAGCGTCTGCCAGACTTGGACGAATTTGTAGGGATCGTCGAGACTTGCCCAGTCAACGCTGGATGTAAGCGGATGGGACATGTTGAGCTGGGCGAATGCTTTGGAGTGTCCGATCCAGCCGTCGGATTGCAGCTGGGATTCATCGCCACGGCTTCGAGCGCAGTGGTATCTGATATTATGCGTACCGTATTCAAGCACTCGCGGCGACAGGATGGATTCTTGAAGACACCAAGATCGCTTGTCAATGGGCTCCCATGCATCTAGCTCTCTGCCTTGCCAGAGTATGACTGCGCTTGGCTGTCCATCTTCACAGGTAAAAGGCATCCGAAAGCTTTGCTCTCCAGCAATATATCGGCTATGGAGGAAGCCCTCAGGAACGGCGGTTGCTCTAGCGGCGGAGATTGTGACGTACGCTTGCTCGTAAATATCTGCCATGCGCGAAATCTGCTCTGCTTTATCCTGGTCTGAGTCTTGTATGATGCAAAGGGCGTCGACCCAGAGATGTTGTAGGCCCAAGTCCATTGTTACTTGGATAGCATCTTTGAGTGTCTGCGGCAATTGAGCGTAAGGCATATCCTTTACCCACGACTGCACGAGATGGTTGAGAAGTTTGACGGGCTGATCTCCGCCCCAGCAGTAGCTCAGAGCAATGTATTGGGGCACTTTGCTTGCAGTGTGATTTTCTTGAAGCCGTATTTGGGGATGCGAAGCGTTTCCGGAGAGATGTAGTAGGCGGCGAGGTCCCGAGGCTGCTTTCCCTGGAGACTTGGCGCTTTGTTGAAGTTGTTGACACTCTGAATGTGTTTCAGAGCATTCTTGAAGCCAGGTTTTGAGTGTTGTGAACGTCTCTTTAGATGATGGAAATAGGCAGGGTGGTCTATAGGTAACCTCCTTCGCCGCCAATTCACTAGCCCTCATCAGCCCGAAATTGTATACAGGACAAGAACTCGTAAAGGTATAAAAATGAGAAGAAAGGAAAAGAAAAACTCACCTTCTTTCCGCACAAGCGATTAATTTCCTCTCCAAAGTCCCACCATCAATGTGATCATCCAACTCATCCACCCAATCAAGCACCATCTGCTCTCTCGAGTTGTGCGTAAAGTAAGCGCGCAGGTAACTCTCCGAGTGAGTATCATCTCGACGCAGAGTCACAAGCCACTTGAACAGTTTGCAGCCTTGATCTGCCAACGATGATGCCTCGTCGTATGCGATATTGAAGACGTAAGCTTCTCCTGTGGTGGCGTAGTAGTTTTCCTCTATGAGCTCGAACCAGCCCTGGTCAGAGTAATAGTTGCCGAATGTGAGAGTTAATCTTGTTTGACAGAGGTCGCATGAATGAGGTTCTGCAGGAGCGCTCATGATGGCCGTGACATAACAAAAGTTTTATAAAGTTGAGAATAGTTGTATGGATAGCAAAGCAATGGAAAACGGCCCCGCTGAGAGGTGATCAGGTGATGAGATCTGAGGCTCAAGTTTTACCATGTTGTAGCGTTTTTGCTGACCAGTGATGCACCACTGTAATCCTTGTTTCTCCACTACATGTATTCTTCACCAAGAGTTACAAATAAATAATCATATTGTCTATGTTTCTATGTCTATTCATGATTGAAGCATTAGCAGCAGATACATAGTACAAAACGAGGCGTAGCTCTATTTGTGTCTCCAATTTCCGACAACTACAGTCTCCGTAGTGATGGTCGTCATGTGCCGTCTTGACGTTTCGCCTCATCTGAGCGAGATCCTTTGAAGCCCTCCCCATGGCTCTCCATCTCGATATCACCAGCTGTGAATTCGTGCACACTGCGCACACTGCGCACACTGCCAGCCTCGGTCCCGGAAAGCTGTTCAAACGTATGTAAATCCATGGCGCCTCTCATCGAAGCAAACAAGTATGCGCTTGGAATGCTTGCATCGCGATGCTGGTGGTAATATCGCCGCTTGGCTGCTTCTGCTATCTCATGGATCGTTTCTGCATCGGATACATTGGGTCTATAATACGACTTTGGATAAACGCTGCCGTAGAGGACGAGGTTGAATATCGGCTTCAGAGATGGTAAGCAAGCTAGTCGAGTTCCATTAGCAACATGTTTAGGAGAGAGGCAAGAAATACGGGAGCGGCGATACATACCACAGACGGTGCCAACATACGTTTCAACCCCAGTCCATATCATCTCTGTGCACTCATTCCACGTAACATCGGGGGAATTGAGGTCTAATTCAAGGACAAAAACAAGTCTGGTAATCGAGACGGCCGTGACACTAGGGCGTTGTTAGAATTGGCCGGTGCGTTTGCAGGAGGTTAGGAATAAGCCTTACAAAATCCCCAAGCCAAAGATGAACGAGGTCGCAATCTTTTGCGACAAGCGTAATCGAAGATTCCAAATATAAGGCAGTGGGAAGATCAAAATAAGTATATCTGTCGCGATATGTGGAACAGCCTTTCCGATGAAGAAGGGATGGACCTTGACACTGCATTCAAACGTGGACGGGTCCGGCGGGTTTATCGGATCGAACTGATTCCAGAGAGCGGATATTGGTATGCATTGAAGGACTGATGTTATCATCTACCATACGTTAGCTTTCATCTCTAGAAAATGATTGATGGGAGAAGAGGGCTCGAGCATACAGAACCTACTCCCCAGCAGATAACCATACCGGCCAAAATCCCAAGGATTATTTTATCCACAAGCCGGATGATGAAGATTCGCCAGTAAAAAGTAATAATTGACAGTTTGACCAAACAGAGCGCGACTGTATAAGTGAATTCGGTGGTGAATAGCCCCAACGCCCAGTCCCTGCCAGCTTCTGGAGGGCCAGCCCATATATGCTTGCAGAAGCCATTGTTCACCACTAGGGGCTTGTGAGCCATGAGATGCCATCATCTGAGAGGTCAAAGTATGGAAAACAACTCACTATATATGCTGACAGTAAACATGAAACCGCCGGAAAAGAGCTATATAGACCCCGTTAGCACAGCCTGCTTTAAAAAAGAATGGGAAGATGTTGCAGTTCCAAGGGAGATGGATGATTCATACTAGAGAGATGATGATGAGCCAATCATCCAGCCATAGCCTGACTTTGACTAATTTTCGACAACTGACGCGCAGGATCACCGCTATCACTGCCATGCCCCAAGTCGAACTCCATGCTCCAATAAGATTGGCCGACCTGTCCTGACTGAGATCAATTCCAGGTGGCGGAGGTCCCGGAAAATCCATGGTTCCAAAGGATCAATCAATCATCCCCTCAATCAATTGAAAGTGGACGCCTATGGTTTTGAAGCTCATGGTCGCTATTGCATAGCGAATTGTCGGGACGAGGATGGAGAGCCTGTCGCTAGTCTCGTTGGTTTCGCTGACAATCGGAAGTAGTTCTGCGCGGCTTTCCGCAGGCACTTTGATTCAACTGAGTAAAGGAATATGTTTTATGAATGAAAGCAGATTAAAGAAAGGGTTTCGCAACGAACGTGGAACATTCTTCTTCTGCTGCGTATTCGGCCCGGGCGGCTATAGCAGACAACGGACTTTGGTCGTGTACGCCGACGACTGCGATAAACTTTACGCCATCAACCCATCTTCTGCTTCAGCTCCTAGTTTCTTAGAAATCTTTCTGATGGCGGACATCTGCAGCATCTTGACTTGGTTAGCTGGGTCACTAGCATCGAAACACTGAGACCAACTTTCCAGAGCGATGGTGTTTGGAAGAGCTCGCCATTGGCTACGCAGTAAGCCACCTCAGCCTCAACGTCAGCTAGCTGTCGCTGGGCGAGAGGCTGCAAAATCCGATGCCGGTTACCCGCTGTCAAAAGGATGGCTTGAGAGCGATCGATCTGGCCCGGCTTTCTGGTACTTCCGATGCTCTGGTACACTAAAATGCGCGCCGCGTTTGAGGTTATATCCGTTCATGCGTGCGTTGTATACATGTGTGCTGGCTATTGGCGGCTGTTTTCCCATTGGACAGTTCAGCCCTCTTTGAAGGCTGAAGCTCAAAATTATTACTTTCTTCAAATCTGTTGTAAAGCGGTCAAAGTATTCGAGACAATTAAAGATCTCATCCCCTTTCGTATACAGATGTGCCGTACAGTAATAGTTTAGTGGCCCTCTGACGTGATTATCCTGGGGCGAGCTATCCCATCGGCCCGCGAATCCACAGATGACCAACGGCAGGCATCTCAATGGAGGCTTCTATATCCAACAGAAGATCGTATTGCCGCTAATTGAGTCATCTCGGTAAGGCCGACGGCTAATTTCGAGTAATAAAAGTTAGATGTAAGTAGTTGCTTGTCTTTTCGGAAAGAGTTGATGGATATCATTCATCATATTGATGTCCTGCAGCTTGGCATCATCGTAGCGTTCATTGCTGCCGTCGTCATTTGATCAGGTTCCCTTTTCGCTGTAGTATCTCTCCAAAGGGAATATGGAGTGGTTAGTATGTCACTGTTCTATTCTAATAGAAATAGTGCTGCTTAAAGTGTTTAAAGACGGGATCATCCTGTGCTATGTAACGTAGAGCATGCGGTATGAGGATTTAGAATGTGAAGGCATTTCATCAAGCTAAATGTATGGGTTAGATTTCGCTATAGGCGATTACTGTATTATTCTCTCTCTAGCTCAAGTATACATGCAATGAGTCCAGCATTACAAAAATCCAGTTTCCAGTCACATTGCTTCGCATTTGGACTTGGTGCCATAACTTTCCTACATATTGCTCTCCCTTTTGGTCCCTTCCTTCCTGTACCCGTCAAGATCCTTCACAAATATATTTTTCCCTCTTGAATTTTCTCAATTAGTCTGGATAGCCCAAACAAAGAGCAAGGTAAATTAGTGGCCTGAGCGTCTCCTCTCTTCACCTTTGTTTATTTTTCTTTCACCCTACAGCCCAGTCTCTACTTGGACTAATCGCAAAGCACATTAGATTCACCAGGTAGTAAAATAATCCAGCACCGGGTGAATCAAAGCTGCGGATGGGCAGCTGTTGCAGCTATTGCTGGCTGCAATCACAAGATGGCCCCAGCGCGCCCTCAGCCCATATAAGGTCTCCTTCCACCCTGTTCCGTTTTTCCTTCCTTCCATCTTCTTTCATTATTCTTATTAGATTTTTCGAAAAGATTTCAAGATATTCACAATTCTTTACTGATCAAGATGTCGCAACTATGGTAAGTTACTTGATAGCCAAGGCTCCGCCTGTCTCTTCGCTAACAGGTTAATAATTTTGGTGTAACAGCTTTGTTGTTATAGATGAGCATCCATCGAACAATAAGAAATCGGATTCTAATGCGAAGAGTCAAGCTGAAAGTTTTCTTTCTATGCAATTTGAAGACGCTATCATTAAATACTATAACATTCTTGAGTATGAATGGCGCTTCCCTAAACTATGGGGTCTCGAGCAGCAGGCAGATGAGATTCTTCAAGATCTCGTCAAAGATGATAATCTAGCTTTGGTATGTAATATGTGTTATTGCATATAGTGAAATACTTCTAAAATTGCCTTTTAGGATAAACACGCTTCTACTAGCTGTAGAGCCATCATTTTCATCAGCCACGGCTTAGGTGGATGTCTTGTCAAACAGGCAAGTCTGACCTATGTGTTACACTCATCACTGGGGCTCTCAACTGTTCTAACTGTAAATCTAGACACTGCTCTTGGCTGCGGCAAGTTCTCGATATCAGATTGTTTCTTCATTGACCAAGTCATTGGTATGATGGAAATATCCGTGGAAACCTAAAGCTTCTTCCTAACATTGCCTATAGATCTTCTTCGGAGCTCTTCATCGAGCCAAATCAGACTTGGACGCTAGAAATTATATATTTCACCGAGTATCTACATTAGCTTCTAGGGCGCATGATTCTTTTGCCTTGGCTCAGGCTCATATATCTGCCTTTCCGGCAATTCAAAGAGATTTCATTGCAATTTCGAACAATTACAGAGTTATCAATTTCATCGAGTCTCAATCTACAGAAGTAGATTATCTGGTAAGTGCGAGTAATTATGAATATTACCCAAAGAGTCACTAATCGGGGAAGAAAGGCTATGGATGAGTATTGTTCAACAATGGATGTTTCAATGGAAGAGAATATCATGACTTCTTGGAATTATACAGGATTATGGGTATCCACAAAAGAAAACCAAGCCATGAACCATCTAGTGCGAGTAATCACAGACATGATTACAATGGAGCCGAAAAGTAAGTTATTTCCAGTCATAAGAACTAGGAATCGAGGGCTAATCTCCCGTAGGCCTTTACGACCAATCCCAACTATACCTGGGCAAACTTTCTACTCGATTGGCAGATACAATTACCCATTCCTATACTCAGAGCATGCTACAAACAGAATCCGAGAGCTGGATTACGGACAACCCATCTTTCATCCAGTGGAGAAAGAGTACCGTGAATGCTGTTTTGCATATTGATGGCAAGCCCGGATCTGGCACGACGTTGCTGAGCTCATTTATCCTAAACTTCCTCAAAACAAATCTCACTTTCAAAAATCATGTTCTGCTCAAATTCACCATTACTTCGTTCGGATCCAGCTCATTACAGCTCACAGTGATGCTTCTATCACTGTCTCATCAGATTCTCGCACAACGACCCGCAGTATTTCAACGAGTATCGTGGCTATGCTCCTGGCTGTTGAATGACACTGGAGTTACCTTTACTAAACCCATCGCATATTCATTGCTTTCAGTTCTCATCAACTTACTTGATGAACCCATATTCTGCGTCATCGAAAATATACATTTAACAGCCGATCCTTCGGAATGTCAGCAGCTACTGATCGATGTGGCTACAACCAAACACTCTGCTAGCCCGCTGAGAATTCTAGTCACAAACGAGTCTTATATGCGTGCACATGCACAAGAGGCGCCGTATAACGACCAAGGCACGGCTGCCCGATTTTCAACGTTAAACGAACAAGGTGTGGCGTATCTGCCTCTTCACCTTCAAAGCGAGCAAGCCATGTTTACCTTTATGAAACAGTCAGTGCAAGAGGGCATTTTGCGTCTTACTGAAGAAAAGCCATGTTGGGTAGAATTAGAAAAAGACATACAAGAGAAGATTTGTATTGAAGGAACAACTCAACTTCTGGCAATGCATCAAATCGATCTGCTGCGATACCCTGTGCCTCCTACCACAAAGCTATCATTAAAACAGGTGCTGGAGCACCTTCCTTTAACCCTGGAGGATTTATGCACCCAAGCATTGCCACTGCCGTCAGCGTCTAGCGAGACTCAGGAAGAAAAAAGGGCTCTTTCAGCACTATGTTGGATTGCGTTCGCATTTCGACCGTTAGAGGTTCGCGAGGCCGCCATTGCCTTAGCTTTCGACAACGAGAGTATCAATTCGATACACTCATTGAAAGACAATATGTGGAGTGATATTGTAGGAGACCTATCAGCTATCCTTGGGCCTTTACTAAGAGTCGTCGGCAATCATCTTTATCCTATTCATCATACCATTAAAGCACTACCCGTTTTGGCCAGCGAAAACAGGGCCTTCCACTTGAAAGCACTTGTTACATGTCTAAAATACCTTCGAATTATCCTCACAGAAAACTACTCGGATAATGTTGAGCAAACCCACGTCGAAAAAATGCGTATATCATTTGACAATCCCGAGTGCGATTTACTCCGCTACAGCTCTATCTATTGGCCTGATCATTTTCGCATTGTCTTCTCCAACGAGCCATGCTGGGGCCAAGACGCTGATACAACACAACAAGCTGCAGCTATGAACCTTACCTACGAGTTCATCAAGTGTAAGCCGCTGCTTGATGAATGGTCTAGAGCCTACAATATATTCTTTCCAGATATTTACGGGAGTGACGCAGTCGACCTATTCGACATTACTGGTCTTACAGTTGCTTGCAAATTTGGTTTGCTACCGATTGCGCAAAAATATGCCTCCGATGATTCCAATTGCATCTCAGCCACCGAATATACAAATGCTTTGGATATAGCAGCTCGCTTTGGACATGCTGATATTGTCAAATGGCTACTTTCTAGAGGCACGCTATCACCACGAGCTATCTACCTTGCATCTATAGGAGGCCATGTGGATGTCGTTAAAGAGCTTGTTCAGAAGGATTTCCAAGTGGACCATGCTGATACTAATGGCTATACATCGCTCCTTCACACAGCCAGATTGGGCCATTTGGAGGCATTGCGCTTTCTTCTACAAAACGGGGCTTCAACCGCAAAAAAGTACCAAGATGATTCAACTGCTCTGCATTTTTCTTCACGAATCGGGCACCTGAGTGCTGTGAAAGAGCTCATGGACCGGTCTGATTGCGGATGTGTAGACAAGGAAGGATACACTGCCTTACATAGGGCAGCTGCCGGCGGATTTTTCGAAGTGGTAGTGTACTTTTACCCACGATACAAGGATATTCGAAAGCTATCGTGCGTCACCAACAATCACGACACAATTCTCCATCTTGCCGTTGTTAGTGGCAGCTATACGACATGCCAATTTCTACTACAACAAAGAGACACCGCAGTTTTGATCAATACGGCAAACAAGCAGAGAAAGACTCCGCTCCATTTTGCTGCGGAATATGGATACTTGGATATAATGAGATGTATTTTGGACATTGTCGATAACGGGCCCGATTTTGAGATAATGGGTCCATCCGATATTTCAGCCGTATCCTCAAGGAAAGCCGTTGTTGGAGAGATCTCACCTTCTCGACTCGCTGCTCAGAACGGCCATCTAGCTGTTATGACAGAGCTTCTCGATCGTCAAGCTCGCCGCTTGAAGCAAACATCTACCACTACGGATAGTGCATGGTCAAATCTAGATGATGCTTACTTATGTCTGAGAGATGCTGCTAGCTCAGGCCATATCGACATTGTAGACAAGCTTTTGAACGCTTCGGTTGTTGTCTCAAAGCCAGATGATCAGGAACACACACCACTGCAGTTGGCAGCTATATTTGGTCATTCAGATACTGTGGAGAAAATATCGGCATCAGCTTGTCAAGAAGATCAACAGGCAGCACTACTTCTGGCATTACAAACAGGCGACTCTACAGTCATTCGAAGCTTAATGAGAAGTGGCACTCCTGTTACAAGAACCAAATCTGGCGAGTCACCTATTCACTTGGCTGTTGGGTCCGGTAATATTCAGGTTTTCCAAGAGCTACTCGAGACCGAAGAAGCACGTCTTATATTCCAAGGAGAACAAGAAAACTTGATCAGTATTGCAGCGGAAAGAAGCCACGTTCCCCTTCTAGATCATATTCTCAGTGGAACGTGTATAAGCGCAAATGAGAATGCCAAGGATCGTATTTTCCAGAGACTCATGAAAAACACCGTTATATGGAAAGATAACAGAGTCTTAGAGGCTCTACTTAACAACGGCCTTTCATGCGATATGAAGGATGCCGAAGGACATCAGCCCTTACACATTGCCGCGAAACACGGAAACAGAGAGACTGTTGGGCTTCTGATTGAAGCTGGAGCCGCAATTGACAGCATCGCGTCTTCTGGGGGTACGCCACTCTTGATTGCTATTCAAGCAGAGAACAGATCGGCATGTGAATCGCTTCTGGAACTCAATGCACATCCGGATATCGCGGACGACGATGGCCTGACACCGCTTTTTCTCGCCTGCGAACATGAGGCGTATGAATTTGTTAGACTGCTACTTCAGTATGGTGCAGATATCGGTGCCATCAATCCGGGTGGCCGGACGGCGCTTCACAAGTCAGTCAAGAGCCCAGAAATGATGGATATTCTACTGGAAAAGGGTCAAGGAAAGCATTATGTAGATGTCGCAGATGCTCAACATCAAACACCACTTCTACTAGCTGCTGCATCAGGCATTAACAAGACAGTACATTGTCTCCTTGACGCCAATGCTGACTTACACCAAACCGATGAGAACGGTTATACAGCATTGCATTTCGCTGTTTTTGGGGAGCATCTAGAGACAACCAAGATTCTCATTGATAGGGGTGCCGACTGTAATAGAAAGGCCAATAATGGGCGACTACCTTTGCACTTGGCAGCAGAAAGGTGTCATTATGACGCCCTTGAATACCTGCTGCCCCTCACGGAAGATATCAATGTCTTGGACAGCAGATTTGGTACTCCTTTAGCAGCGGCAGGACGATCTTTTACACAACACGATCAAAGTATTCGATGTACTAAGCTTTTATTGCGCAAAGACGCGCAAATAAATTGCTTTGGAGGCAAATTGCACTCGCCTCTACAGACAGCCGTTTGGCACGGGAATCTTGAGCTGGTTCAACTACTACTGGAAAATGGCGCCGAAGTAAACGCAGTTGGGGGAAACTTCCAATCAGCTTTGAATGCAGCTATCAAGACTAAGCACGTGGGTATTATAGAACTGTTGTTGAGTCACAATGCCGACCCAAATATCGAATACAACAACCGCTCTGCTCTTGAAAATGCTGTTTACAGTGGAAATTTTCACATTCTAGAGGCTTTACTAAATGCAATTACGGACCTTGATCGTCAAATATTTGATAAAGGCCAGAATGCGTTCCGAATGGCCGTCAAGACGGACAAACTCGAACTTGTCGAGCTGATGATGAAGAAGGGCGTCAATGTCCAAGGTGATCATTCAGGCACACCTTTATTATCGCATATCGTCAACTCGTACAGCAAATGTGTTTTGGATTATTTTCTTCACGATGGTCGTGGGTATATTGACATCAATGAGCAAGATATAGATGGCCAAACTGCCCTTGACTGTGCTGTACTGGCAGATATCGACCTCGTTGAAGTGCTATTAGATGCTGGTGCTGATCCAAATGTCCAAGATAAATATGGTAACACAGCGCTTATACATGCTCTCAGAGGGGGAAATACTGCTGTCGATGAAATACTAGCATATGAGGATCGGAAGAGCCGAATACCAGTACGATTTGAGTTGGTTGACAATATCGGCAGAGGACCACTGTATTGGGCGTGCTACTATGGGCACAATGATTGCTTTGAACATGCAATGTTGAAACTTTCTACATTGCAATCTAAAAATGCGGAAAACTCGAAATGTTCTTTCATCTCAGCAATCCACGCAGCAGCTGCAGGAAATAGGCAAATGATGCTACAAAAATTGATCGAATATGACATTGATGTCACCCGGCCCGATAGAAATAACTGGACTGCTCTACACACCGCCAAGGCCTATTGTTACGAAAAGATTCAGAGCATGCTAGAGGATAGGGTGCGGTCTCAGGGCATTAAGTCACTCGAGACAAGCTTGAATCCCCCATCCTTGCAGCGGCCCTCGCGGTGGAATAAGCTGGACATGCATAGAGCACTTAAGACATCTGAAGACGGACTTGTGATCTTCCTTGAAGGTATTGATACTTTGACTCTATTATTAGGCTGCAAGTTTGAAGTAGCTAACGAATCAACTCCTTAGATCCGGCTGCAGAAGATACAATCAGCGGAGACTATACAGCGATAACTGACTTTTGCATACCTAATGACGAGAGGGTGTTTTACTTTGAGATTCAAATGACAAGGCTTGAGACATCAGAAGACTCAATAGGTGACCCAGAGATTGCCGTTGGATTGAGCGAGGAGCACATACACTTGGATTCAACGGTCGGCTGTGAATCTGGATCGTGGGGGTTTCTCGGAGATAGCGGTCAGCTATATGAGCGCGGGGGCAAGATGAAGAAGTTTCATAAAGGCTACGGCAGCCAGCACACAGTTGGATGCGGTATCGACTTCTCTAAGAATGTGGGATTTCTTACCAAAAATGGTCGGTATCTAGGTAAGATGACCCGAGATCCTGCAAGTTTCGGTGACCTTGAGGTGTCAATCGGTCTTATGTCTTATAGTAGCTAACTCAATATTATCTTAGGTCATTTTTCAACTGCAGTCACAGGAAAACTCTATCCAACTGTGTCTTTTGGCCAAAACCTTGTGAAGGGGTCTTGCATAACAGCAAATTTCGGTAATGATCAGGGGATAAAGTTCATGTATGACCTCGAGAAGCTTGACCAAGTGATGGAAAAGGTCAGAGAAATAGAACGCGACCGACGATGGATGTAGCATAAAGAAATTCCGACAAAGTATAAATACATCTTTATTTTGTGACTTAAAAAACAAGCAAAACATGAAATGTTATCAATGTTATTATTTTTATACATATGTAGATTAAGGAGCCTGTTGTGTCACGATTGGGACGCCGGATAACCTTTCGCTTATTTTAATTTATGTTTGGTGCTTTGCCGGGTCTATGGATCAAACAAAAAGCTTTCCCACAAATTGCCGGAATCCTGGTCTGAAATGAACGGATCAATAGCGCTCAACTGATCCAACCAATATGTCTGATCGAAGTTGTTTGGAAAATTCCGAGTAAAACTGACTGAAGAAGCCTGTTCTGAAGTTAGGTTGGGCTGAGAAGGCCCCAGTTGCGGATTTTGAGATTGAATAAGATCTTCTTGATTGAGATCACTCATCAGACTGTTGAAGATCTCAGCCGGAGTCTCGTACGGAGCTGTTCTTGCATCAACCACAGTGCTAGGCGACTCAGTTGTTGTCTTAATTCTCTGACAACAGCGCCGGACGATATCATAGCCCGACGCAGCTATTGGATTGAAAGGCTTCATTTCGAAAAGGCTCTCAACTGCTTGGTGAAGACTATTGCTGATCTTTTGTTTGGTCTCATGGTTCTGTGGTGGGAATAAGATTGTGATAATGGAGATAAGGAGCGAAGCCTCGATGGTGTAGAATGCCAGTCCAAATAGATGATATTGATGTTGTTTGGCTTGTGTAAAAGAAATTAGCTGGCAATCAAGCGTCTCAAGTGAGACTTGCAAAGCGGCTTTTCGACTCTCCATGTTGGATATGATGTGTGGTCGATGCAAAGTCATGAGAAATAAATTTGCCATGACTTGTAATTCTTCACGAAGCTGCGGCAGATACGGATGATCCAGGTCCCAGGCAGTGTCTGGGTTCTTCTGCCTCAGATATGCAGGCAACGTCTCTACTAGCGATATTATGTCTTCATGGAGCGTGTGGACAACCGAATAGTCTTTTGGGCGAGGACGATCAGCCTTGAGAGCCCGCATCTCATGTACTTTACAGGCAAGCGCATAACGAAAAAGAGGCGCTGAAGCTGTTGAGATGTTGGGACTATCATCGAGGCGCACTGTCATTGGTACAGCCGTAGAGGGATCTTCGGGTATGCTGCAATCCATGGGGGGCTTTGCATCACAGTCATCCATATGGATCGTTCGAGGGCGGCCCAGAATCATAGCCACGTATCTATAACGGTTAGGTCCCGCCATACGGTAGAAGAGAGAAAATTTTCAGCGTCTTACCCATCCCATACAAAGAGATTGATCCATAAGCGTTTCTTGATTTGCTCGTACCAAAACAGATTCAGCGTTTCGTCAAGATGGGTCTTGCTTGACTGATATACTTCTTTCTGTCTATGCAATCCTAGTTCCTGGGCAAGTCTACTCGATAGGATCGAAAAGTTAGTACTAATTTCCGAAAGATGCTCTCGTGAAACGAACACAACACATACCTAGTGGCATATCCAACAGTATGCCAAGCTTCAACAGCTTGCCCACAGTTCTTCAACCACGATGATCTGAGAAAGTCTGCTTGGATTGCAGTTATGGCAAGCCCGGGTCTCCCCAAAAGGTACAGCAGCCTATCGCCAAGATCACTATACGTGCGTGAAGTAGAAGGTTCATATGATGAACCAGACGGGCCATTCCAATCGGGTGGTAAAAATTGCAGCGATAGAGCAGTGACTTGGAAAAGCAAAGCGGGAAAGTATCGTAATTCCGTTGAGAGCTGTACGGAATCCAGATAGTTGACCGGCTCTATGTCTTCTTTTGGAGGCCATCGTGAAAATAGTTGATTGAAATAAAACCTCTCAAGAATGAAGTAATGAGAATTCACTTCGTCGAAGAATAAATTGACCAAAGCCTCGATGGCTGTTCTTGGGGGTAGCTTCGCAATAAGGCTCTCAATATCTCGATTTGACGAACTAAACTGAGAGCCGCCATTGTAGGCAGTCGAAATGTCCTGGAGTTCTTCGTTTCCGAGAACCTCGAATAAGTCAGCCATGGTCATTAGTCACATCACAGCTTACATGTATCTACCTCTTGCAAGTCAACAAAGGCATTGCTTCCAGAGACAAGAGAGTATCCAAGGTCCACATTTTCCCTTTCGCTTTCATATGAAAGGGTAGTGCCTGAGCCAGGCTGAACTGTTGGATTTGGTAGTTGCTGTTCAGTTCCTGGTGGAGACCTAAACATCAACGTCAGGATCGCAGAAGCAGATGTTGAGAAAAGACTTAAAAACAAGTAGCTAAAGCGACTTACGGTAGCGAAGTATCAAATATGCATTTATTTGGTATTTTGCGCGCCAAGCAGTTGTTGCATGGATTTTTACGATCACACTAAAAGAATGTTAAGAGGACGTCTTCAAAGCTCGCTGAAAGGTGCACGCAACTCTTTGCTTCCTGCGATAGCATTCTGAACACGAGGTTACCAATCGCTTCCGTTTTGACGCACGCTGGTTCCTGCTTTTCGAAGTTCTCATTATGATGGAATCGAAAAGTCAATGAGAGATGAATTCAAATTGGTTAAGCTGATGAAACAATACAAGGTTGAAAACTTAATAGAGAGTCGCGCGGCGAAGAATGTCTTGGAAGGGTAATCTGCGGGTAACGTCGCCCGGAGCCACCACGAGACCTAATTTAGTTTGTGCTTTGACTTGAATGATTTGTGATAGCTTTCACATTACTTGTTGCTTATGGCCGGCTTGTAAGGACGAAGTCTCATATTCATGGCCGATCATGGCTACGGTTGGGACTTCCTGTCATCGAAGCCACTGCTTTCACTCCACACCCATACAGTATGCTCCTCATCAACCAAAGATTTACAGTCGACACGTAAAAACAACAATAGTTACGAGTATAGCCAAACTTCCATTATTTGAAGAAACCACAATTGTACATGCATACTGGATTTTATCCATTATAGCAGTTGCATCTAGAGATTGAATACGACAGTCACGTCTTTCTTCAGCGGCAATCGATGCGATTAATACAAGCTCTGTTTTCAAACCTTTCCCAAGTCTGCTTAACATCTAAATCCACCTATTTGGCATCGCCGAGGTGCTTCTTCAAGAAAGGCAGCAATTGCTCAAGCGCCGGCTTAACGGCCTCGGGCTTGTCGTACAGCATATAATGTGAAACACCAGGAAGGACTACAATGTGCTTCTCCTTAGAGGCTGCCCGGCCGTGAATCTCATGAGCATCTCGGTAAGCGCCAAATCCTCCTGGCTTTTCACCAACTACGACCATCAGAGGTCGATTCATGAGCACCTCTGCATGGTTAAATGCATCCCATGCGAGGGCTGCGCTGTTGAATGAGAAAAGTCCGCTGGTACATCCATTGGGCGCTTCACCCCGGTTAGTTTTGTAGTATTCGGTGGCCTCGATAATATCTATATCGCTAGTTGCTTTATTGGCATCTTCAACCGTTGATGGGAGGTAGTTGATCACTAGTCGCTCTCTGCCTTGAGCTTCGGCGGTACGCTGAGCAGCCATCTTTTCAAGAGCGCCAACCGGATCGAAACAGGCGAAACCTTCACGGGAGAGACGGCCAAAATTGACAGGCGTAATACCAACACAACACTTGAAACGGTAATCCGTCATGGCAGCATTGATAGCATAGCCTCCTCCGCCACAGATACCAAGCACGCCAATGCGATCAGCGTCCACATAGGGCAGAGTCTGAATATGGTCGACGACGAAACGGAAGTCAGAGACGCGGAACTCTGGATCTTCGATAAAGCGAGGCTTGCCACCAGAGGAGCCCTGGAAAGATGCGTCAAAGGCGACAACAACGAAACCTGCCTCTGCTATTGCTTTTCCATAAATATTGCCTGAAGTTTGTTCTTTGCATGATCCAATCGGATGGGCGCATACGACCGCGGGATACTTTTTGTTCTCATCGAAATTGGGCGGGAAGTGAATGTCGGCGGCTGTCTCCCAAGCAATGTTGGGGATGCTAACAGTCTTGATTATCTCAGACATTGTAACAAGTGTAAAGGTACTGATGATATCTTAATTGGAATTACTACATCTAGAGACACATTATAGACACAATCAATTATATATTAACCCTAGAGAGATTCAATTTGGCGGCTTTAGTTCATGACGTAGCTAACTCCGAAAGGCATCGGCGGAGCTCTAACGAAGTTGTAACACGTAGCCAATCATTTTGAGACCCAGCAATATAGAAGTTTGTACTTTCGGCCGAAAAGTAGAGATGTGGGTGGTAGCTCTAACAACTATTTTCGGCCGAACGTAGCGGATTTAGGTCCAGTTATTTCCAGCACCTACAAAGGTAGATATTCATGGAATTAATTATTTCTACGGCGGATATAATAAGAAGAATAAACGGGTTTAAACAGAGCCGCTGTCTGAGATGAAGAAAAATGCGGACGGACCTAGGTAAAGTCCAGGGAGGGAGGAGATTGATCCGCGGTCGCGGAGTTGTAAGAATGCTATGGTTGGTGAACAATAACGATGCTGTAATACCAAATGACGGCTGGTATTCTAGTTTACTAAATCTACCAATAAAGCTTGATGGAAGACTATCTTACACTCCACCGTCGTATGATGCACCTCCTGCTGCCTTGTCAAGGCTGATACATTCCTGTAATCCCACCGCTTCAAAAACCAACTTGGGAGAACCGGTACTGTTGAAGTCAGTTTTTGGAGGTGCTCCAGCCTCTTTGAGCGTTTCCATGGCCTTTGTGACCGCTTCGAAAACAGGCTGAAGGCATAATCCGGGATATATAATCAGCTTAAAGCCAAGTTCTTTGGCCTCTTGGACAGAAAAGTCAGGGGACACTCCTCCAGGCACGTTGTTATACAGGACAGGAGTAGGCGCCATATCCAAGCAGATCTGCTTTGCGTGCTCTTTCGATGTTATGCCCTCAAGAAAGGCGATATCCGCTCCAGCAGCAACGGCTGCCTTGAGCCGGTCTCTTGCTACTTCATAGCCCTTGGATTGTAAAGCGTCGGTGCGAGCTATGATGAGAATGTCCCCCACACGCTGATTTCTCACCAGCACTGCAGCTCGGATTCGAGACAAGAATTCTTCTTCGGAGACAAGTTGCTTGTTCAAGAGATGGCCGCAGCGCTTGGACTGGACTTGGTCTTCCAGATGCAGCGCGGCTACGCCGGCTTGCATGTATTGTGCAACAGTGCGTCCAACCATTACAGGGCCTTGTGATAAAAGTTAATGCCAGGCTTCAGTTAGATAAATGCATATGTGATGTTAAATAAAGATGGAGTTATGGAGGGTTATGGAAGGTTATGGAGAGTTGTGCTGCTCTTGCGCTATAGTTCTTAAACAGTGCGTGTACTTACCACCGTAACCAGTGTCTGCATCTGCGATGAGGGGCACACTCTGGTCTAACGAAGCAATCATAGAAGCTGTTTCTTTCATATCGTTGAGAGTGGCAATGCCAAGGTCTGGCATTCCCAGCCTTGATATGGTTGTGCCGGCTCCAGTCTATAAGTGTAAGTACAGAATCTGTACCAGAAGAATGCAAAGTGCAAAATGTTACGATAGGACTGGATGACAACTAATGACAACTTACCATGTATAAACAGTCAAAGCCAGCTTTAAGAGCCATACGAGCTGTAAATCCATCATATACACCAGGACACACAACGATCTTGTCGGGCTCAGCCAACTGGGCGCGTAGAGCAGCCACGGCCGTTTGTTGTTCAACTTGATTCGTCATGATGATGTTGCAATATCTGATGCTCTAACACTCCAGAATGATACGTCTTCATAGGCTTAATTCTTTCTGGTGTCTTATACTTCCTGGAGCTTTCCTACTACGTCACTAACACTTCATTGTTGCCGAAATTCACCGCTTTCAAACGCTTGGGACCGTTTGGTGGTGGAGCTGAGATGGTGGAGTGGGCGCCTGAGACGATCCTGAGCGCCGAATTTTACCGTGTGGCGCTTCTTTTCTGCGTGTAAGCCAAGCCGTGAATGGTGCTCACTAGGTTAACATCGTGATGAAGGAGCATAAATGAAGCAACGCTCTACTATATATCAACTAGAAACACATCATATAATCTCAATATCATCACTTCATTTTGAGTTGTCCTCCTCTTCTCTTTGAATACAGCCATGTCTCATTCAACAGCAACATCATCAGACAGTCCCTCTGATCCATCAAGTCCGACAGGCCAACTCTGCACTTGGATCTCCTCACTTACATACGACGACATCAATGAGGACCTCCGTACCCGCGCCAAATACTTCATATTAGACGGCATCGCTTGCGGCTTAGTGGGCGCTCACTTGCCATGGTCTGAAAAAGCCGCCAAGGCTCTGCTGGACTTGGAGCTCACAGAAGGGTCTGCTGGTGTCATTGGCTATGAGCGTCGAATCAATGTTCTCAATGCGGCCATGTTGAACAGTTCCTTCATTCAAGGATTTGAGCTAGATGATTGGCATACTGGAGCTCCATTGCATTCCAACAGCATCATCCTGCCCGCTCTGTTCGCCGCATCTGATCATCTATCGTTGAAATCGGCCTCATCGTCTGCCAATGCTGGTCGGGATCTTATCACTGCATATATTGCTGGACTGGAAGTTGGTCCTCGAGTTGGTCTTGCTCTTTATGGGCCTCATATGTTATCCATGGGATGGCATTCCGGCGCCGTCTTTGGTCCTCCTGCGTCCGCAGCTGCTGTGGGCAAGTTCCTAGGACTATCTGCCGGTGCCATTGAAGATGCTTTTGGTATTGCATGCACACAAGCTGGTGGTTTGATGTCTGCACAGTTTGAATCAGAAGTCAAGCGTATGCAGCACGGCTTCGCGGCACGGAGCGGCCTTTTGGGTGCTATTCTAGCCCAAACAGGCTATGTGGGCATCAAACGTGTATTTGAGCGCGAATATGGCGGTTTCCTCAAGCAGTTCAGCAGTGGAAATGGAATGGAGCCGCAGTATAAGACTGAAGAAATTGCCAAGGACCTTGGCCAAAAGTGGTTGATGAAAGGCGTTGCGATAAAGCCATACGCGAGCATGGCTGGGACACACAACACAGTAGACTGCTTAACAGATCTTCGCAGTCTCTACCCCGAAGCAATCGGTGACTCTGAAGGTATTGAGCGTGTCTTGATCGAATTGAGCAAACCTGCTTTTGAGCATGGAGGCTGGGAAGCAACACGGCCACTGACAGCAACTGGAGCTCAAATGAGCAACGCCTACGTTGCGGCAACATACATCGTTGATAGCGCTGTTCTCCCGGCACAATTCTCTTCTCATATGATTGAGCGGGATATGATATGGGATCTGGTTGGCAAGACAACCTGCGAGTTGAACGAAGAATTCAGCAAACTGCGTACTCGAGTGACTGTCTGGCTGAAGGGCAGGTCGGAGCCTATTGTTGCGGATAGGGAGATAGCCAAGAGCCTCGTGCCGCCATTGAGCAATAATGAGATACTGGAAAAGTGGAGGAATATTACGGCTAATGTGATTGACGATGAAAGGAGACAGAAGATTGAAGATGTAGTTTTGAACCTTGAGGATTGCAGCGATCTCGGTATATTGGGCGAGCTGTTGATGGGCATTACGAAGAATCCAATTGGATGAAGGAGGCTAAATGCTACTCGTCTATACCTAGGTAGTACAAGAAGATAGACTAGAGTATAGTAATGGTTGTTTGACGGGTATATTTAGTATGGTACTGCTCGATGTAAAACTATTCGGCATGGCCTGCCTGATGTGGTGTTACGCGGGCTGCGAGGAATGGTTAGAGATGTTACAAATCGTCAACTTGGTGATGCAATTCTGGATGACGGAGTAGTAGTGTTTTTATAATCGGCGGTATTATGTAGTGTAATAATGTGTCTTTGTCAATATAACTAGAATGTATTAACCTCTGTTCTTTCCACTAGCGCTTAAGCTTGGGTTTGCAACTTAAGACTGATTCACATATACTGTCGCTATACTCCACATCATAAAGGCCATTCATTGAGATTCAGACTTATATCCCAGTCAAAGTCAACAAATGGCTCATCAGTTAGCGGAGCTGTCTGCTGGACATCTAGAGCGCCAGCGTTGTTGCCAGTAGTCGCATCCGCTCGCTGTTCAAGAGAGATGTCGTTGCTATTCGCCATCGAAGATGTGACTTGGGCTACACAAAGAAATTGTTGTCAGTGGAGTATCTTGAGTCGGAAGGTCAAATCAGTGAGAAACATAATGCAAGCTTACGTTGTCGCCTGTTCTCATAGGGATTCCCTGATCCACCAAACTCCTGTCGCCACCACCATAGGCAGTCGAACACAACGCTTGTGGACAGTCTACTCGAGATTCGGCTGCTCAAGCTATCTATTTTGCCATCTTTGCCCTTGAAAATCTTTTGACTGTTCCATAGCTGGCTGAATATGGTGGCACCCCTGGCACTTAGGTCGTTATTTTGTATTGATCCTTCACGCGCAAAGACTATAGAAGCAAAATAGGCCTGCTCCCCAGCCTCAAGATCTAAATGGGGCGCGAGCTCGCTGCGGTGAATCTTCAAAATTGTGCAGGATGCTAGAACAATGGTCTTCTGAATGAAAGCAGGCGCAATTTTCGGGATGCTCTCTTCTGCTTCTGACCGCTGACAGACCATATTGACGAGGTTGCAGGCAACAGCATAGAGAGAAATGAAGCCTTCGGGTTTGCGAAATGCTGAATCTACAAGGAAGTGGTATGCGAGCAGATACAAGCGATAGCATTGATAGTAAATGGAATCTAGTTTTCTCGGAAGTTAGGCTACAGATTCCATGATCAACGAAAAACGGTGGTTCTCACCAACAGTTGTCTGCACTTGCAATGCGGCTTTTGTTAATTGTGTATCGAAGAGACTAATGCAAGAGAGCAATGATGAAGAATCTTTGGAGTCGCTTCCGCTGTGCGCTCTTTTCAAGGCCTCGGTTGCACAAATCATGATTTCACACAATTTGAGATAAACTTTTGTTTCTTGAGGAGAGTCGAGCGCGCAGCTGCTCCCGCCATCATCTGCTTCTGATTGAACAGGTAGAGTGAGCGCATCATTCAAGCCTAATGGCATGATTCCTTCAGCAAGCCCAATTCTGTAGATGATAAAGAGTCAGTCAATGCTATGCGTGTGCGTAAGTCGTGGGAGAATCACATATAGCAAGTCGTGCAACATTGTCTCCATAACATGCGTCGACTGTCTCTGTCGAATCTATTGCGATCGAGTATCGTCCTGGCAAAATCCTGTCCAACGCCTGTGACATGTAGCCCAACTACCATGGCGAGATGGAGGGCCGCGCCTGCAAGGACAAGGCTGATGCCTCTGTGCATGGTGTCGACCGGAGTTGGCCACTGACATAACAGCAGTATGCCTTGTATTGTCTGGATAGGATTGTTTCGTTTCTCAAGCGCTGCGAATGCCATTGAGTTAATCTTTGGGGCAAGTCGCTCCAACAAAGTTGGATCGCCAGCATAATGCCTGCTGCCTATATAGACAATGACCCACGACAAGAAAGGTGACTGTGCGAAGCATTGGTTTGGGTTGATTACGGCATTGTTGAAAATTGGTAGGAATGGAGCATATAAACTGAAGAACCTGTCAATAATTAGTATGGGAGCCCCCTTGGATTAGAGCTGATGAGTCGTACAGGTTGAAGCAGTCTTCAATTTTGCGGCCGGCGACATCTTGTCCATCGAATAGTTGAGAAGTAGCCGGAGGTTCGATAGCCTGATTTTGAGATATAGTAGATTGATGATTGTTGCTCCCTGTAGATATTGAAGGAGATGTTTGGGGCTGTAACCCGGCAACTATACCCTCTGAAGCTGGAGTCAGAGCCGGAACAAATAAGGGAGCCGAAACCGAGTCCGCAACCATAAAAGGCACAGAAACCGGAGCCGAAGCCGAGGCTCCATCAACATCCCCAGATTGCCTTGTGGGGCTGTTCGATCTGCTGCCATTGCCCTCATCCCGATCCAGCTCGGCACGGCGCCTGAAGTCTTCAAGCTCTCTCTGCAGCTGGGATTTGGTCCGCCGAGATGCCGGAGTGGGTGCAATAACACACTCGAGTTGCATTCGGCGACATCGTGTACAAGAGCTGGGGGGTGCGGCGTTGCATTTGACCTGCTCGTGTTAGTCTCGGCCAATGCGGTGTGATGGCCGCAGTGCTTAGTTTGTGCTTACTTTTTGCAGCCTACACTCTCGGCATGCTGGACGACGGCGTACTCTCTCTGGGGGCATCTCTTCTATTACAACTCAACTTGGAGCTGTGAGCTACATGATGAGAGAGAGGATGCCGTACTTGCCGTTGTGATGTGCCTATAATCGGCGAGATCACGTGGCTGGCTTATACTGACAAGGGCACCATTCTCTACATGGACCACCTCTAGCTGCTGTAGCACCAGCCAGTCCACATATCAGAATACATGTACACAACTGCCGAATACATTAGAAGGTAGCAGTAGTAGCAGTAGTAGCGGTAGTAACAGTAGTAGCAGTAGTAGCAGTAGTAGCAGTAGTAGCCTACGCTACAGCTGGATTGCTGGATAACAGAATTGGGGTCAACTGCTGCTGGATAACTTTTCTCCAAGATAATGCCGGTGTGCTTAAACATATATCTGTGTTCGTATACATGTAGCATTCCGACTTGGACATGTGTTACTGATTCATCTACGGAGGTCGCTACCAAACAACTTATCTGACCGCCTTTGGAGTAAGATGACGCACAGATCAAGCGATTCAATATAACCGGCAGAATCTGATCACTAACCTTTAGTGGTCATACTCACTTAGTCCACTAAAGAGAGTGACCTATAGCGGCATTGAGCAACGGTTTAGTGACCAAGGTCCCTATAATTATAGGGCAACAAACGTACAAGGGCAATGGCAGTGGTTCAAAACAAACACTCATTTAAATTCAAAGGCGATCAGACAACATAGACTTTTGATAGCGACCTCCGTAGATACTTCACCATTGCATACCAGCCGCTTGGCCTCTGACCTCTACTTCTCTTCTAGCATCTTTGGTGCTGCCGCAGATCATGTCAAAGAGCTGTTTGCCAAACTTCTTAAACGCTGGTGTAATGCCCCCTGCTTCCACCAACTCCCTCTCCATCGCAGATAAACTAAAAGAAAATTCTCGATCTCCGATTGTAAGGCTATTAGTTTCCAGACTGATACTTATTTCTTCACCGTCTGCAGCAGCTTTGTAAAAAGCCGGGTCGTCCATGGTAAAGCCAAGAAGTCCGAGGCTGGGCTGATTGCGGCCGTAGATAAAAGCAAAGGACTCTGCAATGACACATTTGATATCGCATCCTGTTGGAGAAGAAAGATATTAGCATCTGGATTGATGAAAATAAAAGAGAGACTCATCACCGATATGACTCACCAAGTAATGCAGATACGGCCTGCTCTCTTGAAGAGCCGCAGCCAAATGCTTTGCCCGCTACTACCACGTTGAAGCCTTCTTTGGCTCGTGAGCGAAAGGAAGGATTTGTAAATTCAAGGCAATGAGCTCCCAATTCTTCGTTGGTCCGAGATGAGATGAGAAACTGGGCCGGTGCCAACTATAACTATTCGTTAGTCTTTTTGCACACATAGTTGAAGGGGGTTGACGTACAGCATCTGTATCAACAAAATCTCCAAGTCTCTGGATTTTCCCACGGATTATTGCATTCTCACTCTTATCTTGTTGTCCACTCTCGTCTGCTTTTTTCTCGCTGGTGTTAATTGTTTCATTACCTTGCGATGTGGATATAGCCAATTGGTTGACAACCAATTCACTCTCGCTCGTGGCTGCTTCTCCTGGACTCGCTGGTTCAACCCAATTTGGTTCCTGGCCTGATGACATTCCCCTCAATGACCCACGGCCAGTCATAAGTTCCCATCTCTCTGCTGGGATTTGATCAATGAAATGCTGCGGATTTGCCACTGCCATCGAAAATGAAGATGCCGCTACCGTAGCAGCGGAAGCGAGGTTTCCAATAGAGCCTTACATGATTGTTGTCAGCATCTGCTTTTCGCTTGTTTATGGCAAAGGTTCACTCACCTTGGCCCATACGGTTCTCAAAGTTCCTATTTTGAGACGACAGCCATACTTCGCCCTCTGAAGCACGATCCGCCGATATGCCCACGCAGTAACTGCATCCTGGAACGCCAATTTCGAAGCCAGCGTCTTCATATATCTGCGCAAGTCCCAATTTTTGCAACCTGTCGAGAATAGGAAGGGATCCAGGAACCACCTTTCGCTTCTTGCCATCTCTCAGCGGAGAGAGTCCCATCTGTAGTCCCTGTTCCAAAACCAATGCGCCAAGAATGATGTCTTCCTCTGCAGTAGTACATGCTCCAATGAAGCATCCGTCCAACTTCATACCCAGAACATCCGTAACAGGAACGACGTCATCAGGGTTTGGATACTTGGCCACGAATGACTCAACCTTGGATAGATCGATGATGTGTGATTCAGCATATACCGCGCCCTCGTCTGGGCGAAAGTAATGCGATGCATTCTTATGTCGCGCCAATTTTCTGCCATCAATGAACCCTTTAGTTATGTGATCAGGAGTGAAAATCCCTGTAACACCTCCGAGTTCCTAAACATAGAAAACCCTAAGTTAGACATATTTCCCAAATACTTTATAGACTCCTTCAACATACAGTTGTCATATTAGCGATTGCAAATCGCGCATCTGGAGAGAGGTAATTGAGGCCGGCTCCTGTATACTCGACGATTCGATCTGATGCGACTGTGTTTCTCTTGAGTTGCTGTAGCACATAGAGGATGACATCTTTGCCACCAATGCCACGGCTCGGCTCTCCAATGAACTCAATCTTGACAACTTCAGGTACTTTGAACCATGTTTCTCCGGTAATGAGACCCATTGTGACATCTGCCGCTCCAAGTCCAATGGCAAGGCAACCAACCGCACCGGAAGAGCACGTATGAGAATCCGAGCCAATGATGAGCATTCCAGGCTGAGCGCGTTCTCTGAAGAATTCGGTATGCATGATGGTATACTATATTCATTATCCGAATTAGCGAGTTTTTGATGAGCAAGTTCCGCTTGACTTACATTCATTCCTTGATACTCTGTCATTTTGAAGACTTTGCGAGCCTTTTCAGACGATTCGATGAGTCTTTGAACCGCTGGAACGCCTTTGACCCTAGGCTCCACAACGTGATCTCCGGCAAGCCAGAAACGATCGTTGCGAAAAATTCCTGGATTTCCTAGACTATCATATGTGCGTTCCATGCCCTTGATGGTGCTTTAGCTGATGTTTGTTTTGTGCCAATGAGATGCCAGATGAGGATGTGTCTTACCGCCCAAGATGCTTCTGAAGCCATGATCCAGTCTAAAGACACTCGGATTGTCTCACCAGTCCTAACATAGCCTTTGGAGTCAATGGCGTGCATGGCAAAGATCTTCTCTGTGACTGTCATCGGCGGCCTGTCTTTTGGAGCCACTTGTTGAATACTTTGTCCAACGTGTTTCTTTCGGTCGTCCGAGTTGAGTGCCTCCAGCCCTGTAACCATAGAAAATGGTGTTAGTAGACAATATGTATAGAGCATGAAATTGGACCTAGAGATTACATACACGCCGATATAAGGAAGCTGATCTCGTGTATGTCATCTTGTGTTGCTTCCTCATCTATCTTCAGACCCAAGCCTCCATGATTGGGCGACGTCAAGGAAATTTCAGATATTTGTGAAAATATCTGGCTTTCTCTGAGAGCGCCTTGTTCTGAGAGAACGAGACTTATGTTACCAAGCAACGTAATGGGATGCACGGCATCTTTGGTTACGTCGGCTTCGTTGAGCTTAATGCTTCGAGATTTGGAAAGTAGATTTGCCCATTGGGATAACAGTTCGCTACCACTAAGATGAATAACTGCCATCTTGATCGGAATAATGTACGCAATGACAATATGATAGTCTTAGCACAAGATGCCAAAAGTGATGGGTATCGTTTATTATCTTTTATAACACATAGCTTAATGGACTTAAATCCGTACTATGTCCTGGGTTCCGTTAACGCCACTTTTGGCATCATGAGCAACCGTGACCGGAAAGAAACGGCGGACTGCTTTGGCCGAGATTTGCCTGACTTGATCCACACTTTTCTCATGGGCGTTCGGCTGATTACTACTGGCCGATGATGTATGATGTATCAGCCACATATTGCGCGTAACCTCATCCATATCATGGGTTACAAAGAGAATCTCCCACGAAAGATGTCGAGGAGAAAACTGAAACCCAGTAAAAAGGCCCCACCGCTGTTCTGCTCGCTTAGAAAATGGCCATTCGGGATGGTGACAATGTATAGAACGTAGCGTCGATAGGCTCAAATGTATCGCTTCCAGTGTAGGCATGAATGGATCAGCCTGCTATCAGGCACCAAGTTGAGAGCAGCCAGCTCGAAGATGATATGGTCTGAGTGAATGTATGATCCATTGTGGCAGAGGCGGTCCTTACGCTTGTAGGTTGTCGGCGGGATCTGATGGATGGACGGTATTTCCAGGATTGACCCACGAAGGGCTGCTCTACAATAAATTGTCGATTGTCCTGCTCCATCCTGAATTCGTTTCTGCCAGCTTGGAAATGATATCCTCCTGTTGTGACGAGTTGCAACTATTCTGTGGTGTTACATAGGAACGAGTGAAGCTCTTGTCAAGATCGTTTTTACACGTGGGGAAATGCATCGCGGGATGAAGTTGAGAATGATGAACGTCAATAACTTAAATGAATATATTGATCGTGAGAACTAAGAAATCACCTAGGTTCGTAACGCCTTCTTTGCTGCATAAATCTCATTTCTCCTCAAGTCGCTTCAGTATAGCCGCCATATAAGTCTGAATATCCTCCAAAATGGCTGCGTTTTCCGCCTCCTTCTTAGCTGCGTTGTCCAAAGCTGTTTGAACAACGGCTTTGATCTGAGCTTGATGCTTGGCCATGTTTGAAGCCGTCTTTTGGACAACAGCTTTGAGCTCAGCTTGAACCAATTTACCATTTTCACTAATGGAGTTATCAATGGCCTTTTGGAGTTTGTCTATCTTTGAATCAAGGCGAAAAGAGTCTTTTTCAAGCAAGAGCTTCATATCGGATACACTCTTTGCGACGCCCTCATCCAGGTTCGAGGATGTCTTGTCTTTGGCAGATGATCTCACAGACGAATTCGCAGACGAACTTTGGTTGGTAGGTGTCTTTTCTTCATTGCGAGTGTCGGCAGACGTTGATGAAGTCGTGGAATTTGTTGATTTCATGCGTTCAAAGAGATGTTTGACGTCCCATGCCAGCGCCTGGTTGGGCTTCTTCGCTTCACTCTTCAAGGCGTTTTGGGATGGCGCCCGAGGCACAGCGCAGTTATCGAACAGTCTTTGCGGAGCACTACGTCTTCCGGGTAGCGTTTTGGAGGTGTCGGTGTTTTCAACTAGCCTCTGAGGGCCGTCCTGGCGTACAAACAGATTCGAGCCAACAGAACGGTTTTCGCGGAAGATCTCATCGAAGGAGTAGGCTGTTGAAGAAGCTTCCTCAGTTGGAGACGACGCCTCCAGGTTACCGCAGGGAAGCAACGTCGGGGGAGCGTTGGTAACCGACACAGGAGACTCTCCGACTCTAATCCGCTTTCTCACACAAGGCTGTGTAGGTCTGTCTACGGCGATGGAGAGTTGAATCGGGGTGTTCTCTGCAGCGGCGACTGATGCAGAGATTTGATCTTCTGCAGTCTCCCGTGATCTCTTATTCGTTGTTGGAGTCGAGTTGGCCTTGGAGGTCTCGCCGTCGGCTGATGTTGGGAGGTAATGCGACGCTTTGGGATAGAGTTGGAAGTATTCTTCCGAATAATCTTCCACAACTCTCATACCGAATTTCTTCTTAACAACTTCGATATACTTGGGCGGGATCTTGGGGCCGTAGAGGGCGTTGAGGATCACAAAATTTGCCCAGCTGACGGATTCCAACGCAAAGCTCTTTTTCTGGGCTTTTCGATACAGGCAGTGGGATGATACCGACTTGGCGGCGCTCACCGTCCGAAGATATTTGCCATTTTGAATGATTTCAGCCATATCCTGCCGGTCATCTGCGATCATTCTCGTATCTTGGGAGTAGAAGGCGTTTAAAACGGCCATGGTATCCTGGTAGTCGGGTGTACCAAATGCGAGGTCGTATGGGTAATCACTTGGTACCGTCACGTCGGCAAAGGTCAGCTTTGGCGGCTTCGGGACGACAGGAGACATCATGATGGGTGGAATAACCGCTAGGGGTGAAGCCATCTTCAACGTCAGGATAGCTGACGGCGATGAGCCTCAAGATGGATGGCGGAAGTAAAGGATGGGTTTCGAACGTGAAGGAGAGAAGAAGAGGAAGAAAACAATCGAGCATCAAGGCGGTGAGCAAAATTCTGCAGAACATGAACCGTTATAAGAATATACAGAAACTGCAATGCCAGGTGGTAAACAGCTGTCATTGTAGTTGACAGCTGGCGTTGGGAAATTCCGGTGCTGTTGTACAGAGCAGGTAGCTTTGGGAAATTATATAAAAAGCATGAGAAACATTATCCAGCACTCAATTTGCAGCTCAATAGTGCATATCATGCTCTCAGCAGCAGGCGTCAGAGGAAGAGGAGATCCAATGCGTAACCTCCACGATACGGAACGTAGGGGTACGCAAGTCAGGATCAAAAAGCTTGTATTCATAAGATCTGTGGTCTGACGCCACTATATATAAGATCTACTGTCCTTGTCCTTCCTTCCCTGGGGACGTCGGGGCAGGTGTCCCCCAACAGTGCAGCTAGTCTATATATAAAAGCAACTATTTAGTATTATATACACCTACCTTGCCCGTTTCCCAGTAATAGAAAACCAGAAACCAGACATAAAGCAACAAGACAGCCAGAATCATGATCCACAGGGTCACAGGGCACACTCAAAAGCAGTAGAGGTAGCTGGAACAGTAGAAGTAGCAGAAGTAGCAGAAGTAGCAGAAGTAGCAGAAGTAGCAGAAGTAGCAGAAGTAGCAGAAGTAGCAGAAGTAGCAGAAGTAGCAGAAGTAGCAGAAGTAGTAGAAGTAGTAGAGGTGGTGTTATGGGATGAGCGACAGGAGAGACTACGTCTTCGGAGGGATCTATATGGTGCAGAACGTGGGTATCTCAAATAAGGAGTAGACAATGCTCGATTCTCTCTTATAAAGAAATGTGGGTTAGCTCACGATATACCCCTGATGGGACCCCCTTCGTCCAGGGACGTTGGGCAGCGTCCCCCAATGGGTAATAAGGAGCTAGGAGCAGAAGGTGATTACGTGTAGTATAGATATAAAACAACAGAAGTAGCTGCTGTTAATTACAGATAGAAAACGTAGTTTTACTAAGAACCTGCATAAGAACGACTTTGTACATACCATCACAGCAATCTGTCCAAGATCCATCTCAGCACCTACTCCTTCTCATGCCCACCTCCAGCTTCAACCACATCCTCCACCTGGTTGACCTTATCCTTTGAAAGAATACCATCCTCATCAAACACAGTAAGCGCCTCGCCGTGCTCAAGATCCCTCTGGAACAAGGCCCCAATCTTAGTAGCCTCGCGGTCGAGAAACGTCCACGGAGAGCGCCCCTTTGTGAATAAAAAGTCCATTTCTTCAAGAGTCTTTCCGGCAGATTCGGGGTAGAAGAGGAATACGACGATGCTCATGAGGTAACACAGAGCCATGAATATGATGTAAAGCTTCCAGCTATTTCACAAGTATACGTCAGTATATGGTACATTCTCGACGAGTGAGATAGAAGGTATGCTGACCTGATCTTTGCCATCGCCGTAGGGATATACAAAGCGAACCAGAAATTCTATCTTCCATCAGCTTCTAAAGTCCCCAATAGCAGGCGCTTTGCATGTTACTTACGACAAACCAGTTCGTAGCAGTCGTCATGGACGTGGCGCGACCACGCATACTCATGCTAAATATCTCGGGAGGATACACCCAGGCCACGCAAGCCCACGTAATTGCAAAGACCGCAACATAAATATACACAAAGGCAATAATCGTGCGCGACGCAGCGGCATTTGCGAAATCGAAGTTCGTCTTTTGTGTAAGCGAATCGAAGACGGGGTTACCTGATAAAGAATCAGTTAGCAAGAGATTGACAACAAAGGATCAATAAAACGTACCCTCTGTTTTCATGAGGATGCCAATAATCATCATCGAGATGCCCATGCCAACACCACCGATAACCATGGGCCATCTCCGTCCCCATTTGTCCATGTAGTACATGTTTGGGTAAGTAAAGACGTTGAGAACAACGCCTTGGAGACCGTTTGCCAAGAGGGATGAAGAAGTCGCTCCGAGGCCAGCTTGCTGGAAGAGGAATACCGCGTAATACATGATACTACCCAAGGTCAGAAAATGATGTTGAACAATAAACGTAAAAAACTTACACATTAATACCCGTCATCGATTGCCAGAATTGCTTTTTCACCGTTAGTATTCGACTCATGAATAGCAGGCTTTCGGGAGACATACAACACCAATACCGATCCACATACGGCGCCTGTGTGTTCCAATAAGCATATCAAAGTAGCTAGGCGGCGGGTGATTCTTCTCAAAGGAAATCTTGGCCACAATTTCCGCCAGCTCAGCTTGCACATAAGGATCATTAACATCTCCTCCGGCGTGAACCTGTGCAAGCACCTGCAGCGCCTCTTCCTGTCTATCTTTCTGGACGAGCCATCTGGGCGATTCGGGCATGAACCACATGGTAATATGCAGAGTCACCGTAGCCTACCTCTCATTAGTTCTTCTCTTCAATGCGGTAGAAAACATCTAAGTTATGACTCACAATCATCTGTAGCCCCATTGGAAGCCTCCATGATGCGCTGCCGTTGATATGGCTTGTTCCGAATTGAATCCAGAACGCGACAAGAATGCCAAAGTTGACAAAACACTGGAAAACACTAATGATACGGCCGCGAATCCTATAATCTCATTAACAAGAGCTTCATTAATCCAAAGGAAACATCAACATACTCTCTCGGCGCAATCTCGCTTTGGTACATGGTAACCTATCTCCATTAGCATCCCTTGAGAGCACAAGACAATCCACCTTACCATCATCGTCAAGCATCCATTTCCAAGTCCATTGATGACTCTTCCCGCAACAAGAGCCTCGACATTATTCGCAGCAGCAGAAATAGCACAACCAATCGTGAAAATCGCAGACCCAAGCAAAATCGTCTTCCGTCGGCCCAGTCTGTCTGCAAGGAAAGCGCCCGTCAAGAGAGAGCCCGCAAAGGCTCCCGCCAAGATGGACGCCGTGATACCTCCTTGACGAAAGTTGCTTGGGTGGTTAAAGTAGTTTAAGAACTGTGGCATTGCCAAGATGCCGCCTTCCAAGTCGTTAGTCGATATAGCGCCATGGAGTTATTCGGTCGCTGCGACCCAACTTACTCATTGAGCCCGTGTCCTAAAGAGGTAAATGTTAATTGTCAATTTCCTCCATTGCGAAACTAATGACTTACATATCCAAAGGCTAAGCCTCCGGTACATGGCGCAATGCCATAAAAGTAGACTGCCTACAACAGAATCAGCGTCTAATCTCAGTTCATCTCAAACCATCACAACGTTTGCAGCCACGTACCTTTCTCACCATGTTGTCATCAACATTTACTCAATTGATCAACAACTCTGTATCTTCAATCTTCCATATCTAGACCCCGTCCCCATCATCACCAGACTCAATTATATACAAAAAGAGACAGTACAGAAATAACCGAAGAGCCGATCTGCGCACCACGATTGGATAGCTTCGCTAGATGTTTTACCCCAGACTCCACAGCCCGAAATCTGGGGAAGCTAGCCAGACCCGTCGGCTGACTAGCCGAGAGCAAAGAGGAGTTCGACAACCAAACGAACTAAGAGCAATTTCTCCGAGAACCAAAGTGCAGCTTCAACCGGCGGGTCTTTTGAGGAGCCGAACTACCGGCGAAAATGCCATGATTGGACGTTTCAGTGTAATAGAAGCGATAGCTCAACAGTATATCACCGCGTAGCTCGACCTATCATCGCAAAATGTTTGAGATATAAGTCTTCCAGAGACCCAACTTCTTTTATTTGCTTCTTCAGCGTTTTACAACTGTAGTCCACAATTCCAATCACAAAACTTCACAATGGCGCCCTCACGGACAGACACCACCACCAGCAGAGAGTTCATCGGCTCCAGCTCTCCAGCTTCAGAAGTCAAAATCACAGGCTTCAAAGCTCACGGTAAGCACATGCTCAATCACCACAACTTCACCTTCTAAGCTCATCACAAGCCAGACCTGAGATTTCCCACCAGCTTGGACCTCTCCGGCTCAGATGCCATGAACCCCGGCCCCAACTACAGCGCCGCATACATCATCCTCCAAACAAACACAGATCTCCAAGGCCATGGCTTCGCATTCACCATTGGCCGCGGCAACAACCTCTGCACAGCCGCAGCCGAGATGATTGCCGAGCGCCTCGTCGGAAAGACACTCGCCGAACTAACACAAAACATGGGCCAAACCTGGCGGCATCTCGTGTCAGATTCACAGCTTCGTTGGGTCGGTCCGGAAAAGGGTGTCATTCATCTCGGCCTCAGCACGTGCGTCAATGCCGTCTGGGATCTCTGGGGCCGATATCTGAACAAGCCGGTCTGGAAGATTGTCGCCGACATGACGCCGGAGGAATTCGTCAACTGCATTGATTTCCGGTACATTGTCGATGCCATCACTCCGGAGGAAGCCATTACTCTGCTGCGTGAGCAAGATAAGACAAAGGCGGCACGGCTAGAAGAAGCACGCATCAGCAGAGCCGTGCCAGCGTACACAACGCAAGCGGGATGGCTGGGCTTTTCTGATGAGAAGATGGTGCAGTTGATCAAGTCGAATCTTGCTCTCGGCATGGATAAGTTCAAGTTCAAAGTCGGTGGCAATCTTGAAGACGATATACGCCGGCTGCAGATTGCTCGCGATACTATCGGATACGACCGCATGCTCATGGTTGATGCCAATCAAGTGTGGAGTGTACCTGATGCAATTGAGTACATGCTACAGCTTGTCAAGTATAAGCCACTGTAAGTTTCGTCTTTCCAATTGTCTAACCAGCAAATGTACTGATATAAACCGTCTTCTCCAGCTTCATCGAAGAGCCCACTTCGCCTGATGACATTCTCGGCCACGCCGAAATCAGAAAAGCCCTGAAGCCCCACGGCGTGGGCGTAGCTACCGGCGAGCACTGCCAAAACCGCGTCATGTTCAAACAGCTGCTTCAGGCGGGATCAATCGACTATTGCCAAATCGATGCTTGCAGGTTAGGTGGCGTTAACGAAGTCATGGCCGTTCTGCTAATGGCAAAGAAGTAAGTCATGGGAAAACCAGTCACGTACCAATCAAGGCCCTCGTTCATACATCTAATCCATATTGCAGATTCAATGTCCCAATTGTACCCCACAGTGGAGGCATTGGCCTCAACGAATACACGCAGCACCTTGCCCTGATAAACTATCTATGTGTAGCGGGAGAAAAGAGTCTGCTAGAGCACATCAACTCGTTCCGTGACGTTTTGACAAACCCCTGTCAGACCAAAGACGGTCATTTCGTCACACCAGACGAGCCAGGATACAGCGTAGAGTATACGCCAGAGGCGATAGAGAAGTACACATACCCGTCGGGCAGCTTCTGGAAGAGTGAGCAAGGACAGGCAATCATGAATGAGCCAAAGATATAATTACACATTTTGTATAGATATGAAATAGATAATGTGTGGGGTGTTTGAATAGAAAGATGCTGCTCAAGCGGACTGAAAGATGTTTTGAAAATAGCCAAATTCGTCCAGCCAATCTTCAAACAGTTGCAGATTGGCGGCATCAGAAACTGCAGCATCTCCAAGCTCCAAGTCGCCAGGATCAGCTCCAAATACGGTAGAAGCAGTCTGTAGCGTCGGTGCCGTTGCCAAAAGTCCATCTTGGATATCAGCAGTAGTGACGAGCATTGATGAATGGTCAACAGTGTCATCATCTTGACTTTGTGCCACAATGAGTTTGACGGGATGGTTTTCAGCATTATTCGCTATGGGTGGACGCCTCCAACTTGGGGCTTGGATAGAAATCTCTGCTACTTTGCCAGCAGGCTGTTTTGCAGGCATATGGTCATTGAAGAATGCGACGAGAGGATCTTGCTCGGTTGCGCTGGCGTGCGCCGTTGGTTCTTGAGAATGCGAAGCTGCAAGCTTGAAAAAGTCATGGTAGAAGCTCGCGTGCCAATAAATGTCGCCGAGCTGTTCTAACAGCACCATGCATTTGTTGAATCGATCGATGTGAGGTTGTCTCCCAGATGGATCTGGCGAGGACCGCATCATAAGGAGATGGACAATGAGTGGCGGCAGAATAGCCGTAACGCTGTGATGCAATTAATAAGAATTTTTTAAAGCTTGGAAAAAAGACGTTAGTTACCATATCGTAGGGCAGTATTTAACTAGATCCAGCCTGACGAGCTCGACAGCGAGCCTCGTAGAGTCCTCGGCGGCGGCCTGAACTTTTGGCAGAGGTAATTGTGCACCACTGGGGCGACTTTCGTCCAGAACATGGTGTGACTTGTGGAGGGCGATGATAACAATGCTTCAGAATAAATTAGTTACGGAGTAGATGGTAATACCAAGTGTCGTGGCAGCCTTACTTGTAAATCAGATGCAAAAGAGCCCTGTACAGAGTGCAAATACCTCGTTTGTCGAAGTCTCTGCTATTCTCCTCATGCAACTTGGCACTTGGCACCAAATTGAGACGCCAATGTTGAAGAGTTTCTTCACAAAGGCCTATCTGTTCAGGTAGTGATCCAGCCGCTGTCGCGATGTTGTGCGGAAGCGACAACACTCCCTCCATGTATTGGCACAGTTTCACAAACTCGATAAAGAATTCCTTTACCGTTTGATCATCCTCGCTATCCCCATCCTCTTTCAGATCATCAAGCGTGAGCATAGGAACCGTGCAGTCCAGGCTGTTGATGTGCATAGGACGTCCCGTGCCCAGCGTAGTGAGCCGATCTCGAACCAGGCATGCCCACCATATTCTAGCCCAAAGCTTGTGTTGCGGCTCTTGTCCGGCGTTTCTATGTAATCCTAAGCCTTGCGAGAGGCTAATAGCTTGGTGTACCCAAAACCAAGTGTGCTTCTGTTCAACCATGGACGGGTAGTAGTGGCTCATCAGGAGAAGCGCTTGAATGTTGGTAATGTCATCTGATTCAAAATCAAAGTCGTATAAATACTAAAAAAAGTGAGTATAATCATCCATAGGGTACTGCAAGTATGATAAACGTACTCGCGCTCTTTTGTGCAGTTGATTCCTCGCCTCTTTACGCGACGTGAATCCGGCGTCTCTCAATGTGCTGGCAGGCACCGTCTAAAACCACGTCAAAATGAGCGAAACACCTTACAAATATGGGATCAACATACCGCACTGGCCGTAAATATGATGGCTTGGAGAAGTAACAGACTGGTGCCGTAAGAGTGAAGTGCGGCGTTGCGATCGTTTTTGTAGTAGCCTTCCAGAAAGCTAGACTTGTCGATGATGGGGAAGAACGGATGAAAGAGCTGGAAATAGTTGGACACAAACTCGTCCATGACTCTCTTCGGAGGCAAGCTGAGAGCCCCTTTTCGTCTCAGGTACTGTATGTCTTCTTCGTCCAGCCTGGAATGCTTAATGGCCCCCGAGTCATCCTCATCGTCCTGGGAAACGGCCAGCAGCGAGGACTGGCCGTCAGGGGCAAAGCTGCGAAAGAAGGGATAATGCGGAACCTGGTGCAACATGGCATGCTGCGGAATCAGTCGAGGCATCACCGGTGGCCTGGCTGCGTCGTCAATCGTCAGGTCGTCGCTCAACGACGGCGGCGCCTTTGCAGGCTCATTCTTGCCGCGCCTCTTCTTGCGGGCCTGGACAAGGCAGTCGAAGCCATCGAGCTGGCATTTGGTGCATGGAACGCCGGTTTTGAGCACGTCGCAGCGAATCTTGCGAGCGCGGCAGCACGAACAGGCTTTGGAGGCGCGTTTCTTCTTTTTGGCGGATGAAGCAGCCGTGGATGGGGGGGTCTGCTCGTCTGAGTGAGCCATGGATGCTTGGTTTGGCTGAGAGCGCCGAGGCCGGTGTGATGGGGGAGTAGAAGCTTCGACAAAGATCCACGACCAGATGGAGCCGAGGCTTTCAAATGATTGCAAACAGAGTCAAGACAGGCTATGAGGATTCAAGAATTAGAATTACGAATCAATCGAGGACTGTCGAGTACTCCAGCGCAGCAGTGAATGTCATTCAGGAAACGAGACGGCGCTGGTGGCTACAAGAAGGCGCTGCTACTGCTGACTAACCGGCATCCAGGCTCTCATCCCAAATAAGAGCCATCATTCGATGATGATACGGCGAGAATCAGTATTTTCTCAAAAGGCAATTAATCAATTGTCCCCTTGGCATATTCAAGCACATCCCATTCTCGCTCGCATCCACACGCAATCGACATCAACACGTTCCATCGTTTCTACAGCGCCAGCAGTCCAACCAGACCCCTGCAGCCCAGCTCCCACAGGCCTGCAGCCTCCCCTCCACCAGCGCTAAAACGCCCCATAAACCGCCCGGCGCGTCTAAGCTCCAAGCGCGCAACCTCACTTGAATTTCTTTCACCTTCACTTCCTGGCACCTGGCAAAACCGGCCTCAACAACGCCTCACTTTGATGGCAGTTCAAAACCCTGAACAGCTGCGCCAGCTGGCACACAAAAACAGCAAACTAAACGGCGTTTTGCATTAAACAGCTGCCGGAACAATGAGCTGCCCCGGAATCCGAAATTCCTTCTTCTTGCCAGGTATAAAGTTCTTGTTCTTCCTCGTTGAACTTCTTCTTTTTTTTCCCCTTTCCACATCGACCAAACCCGCATCGCGAGATCTCCTCCTCGTCGTCTTCCTTCTTCTTTTTCTTTCACATCCATCTTCTTCTTCATCCTTCTTTTCCCCTTCTTCTTCTTCCACATACTTTTCCCCTTGCTAAGCAGTTCTACTCTGTAGTCTGCGATTCTCTCCAACGACTAACCTTCCCTCCTCCCTCCAGCAAAGCACCAGCCCAACTCCTCTTCTCTCCTCTCACTCGCATCACCACCAGCCCGTGCTATCTTTCCTCTCCCTCCATCTCACAGCACCTTGGCCCAGAACAGCCCAGCGACAGTCTCCCAACGTGCTCTCCTTCCAACATGCCTCCCAACGTGCACTTCCATCTTGTTCTTCAAATATGCTTCAATACGCTTCAATTCTGTTTCAAAACCGCTTCAAAACCGCTTCAATTCCGTTTCAAACTGCTTCAAACTGCTTCAATCCGCTCCTCATCGTAAACCCATCTCCGCCTCCCTCCAGCTCGCCTTTGCCCCTCGCGCTCCCCCCCCCTTTCGCGACTTCGGACTCCGCAAATGCTCGCGGTGATGACATCTTTTCACAATCCTTTTGCTGGGAAAAGCCTCTGAGAAAAGAGCAATCTTTTTCTTCACTGGCAAATGACCGCATCACAAGAACAGAGATCTGAGCGAGCACCCGAGTCTTCTTCCCTTTTACCCTTTTTTTGCACTCTTCTTCCTTTTTTGTCCTTGTCTTTGTAGGAATTTCCCCCCCTCTTTGTTGGTTGTTCCTCGCAGTAGCCGCAATGACCGACAATTTTGCACCTCGAGAAGTCTCTTTTTTTTTTTTCCCCCGCGATGAGGGTTCAAAACAAGGACTCGTGATTATTCTTCTCCCTAGTGGGATATAGTTTTCAATCGGAGCAGGCTGAGCCACAACCAACACAAGATGTAATTCTTACCCAGGTCGGTCAGAATAGCTAGTCTGGTGATTTGAGAGGGTGAAAAGGGGAGCGAGTCGGTATCTTTTTGTTTTTCTTACGAACAAAGTGAAAACCACCTGGTGATGATTCAAGGTCCAAAAAGCCAAATTTGCAGGCAACAGCAGTAGGAGTGACAATCCTTGGCTGCGGGTTGCCGGTGAGAACATTAAGAGAGCTAATCTGAGGGTGGCCCATTAATTCACTTTGTTTCGTTTTCTTTTTTTTTCGTCTTTTTTTTCCTTCGTGTACTGAGGATGCGTAAGAAGAGGACGTGGCAAGTAGTCACTATGGCATTCAGCAAGCGTAGATAGATGAATGAACGATTGATGCTTAAAGAATAGACATGTACACAATACCACTGCACGGTGCCATTCAAGCAAAGTCTCTTCAAAGCGAAAAATTCTATTCGGCCTGTCTTCCTTTTGCTTTTAATAATCTCTACTCTCATCGTAAAAATCCTCCCCAGCCCGGTTGATATCATGTGCCATCCATGGGTGGGTATTACTTGGCCCGCCAGATGCAAATCCTACATAGTCAAAAAAATCTACAACATCCTTGCTTGCTTCGAGTCTTTGTGCTCCTTAAAAAAAAAAGTTTCTTTCGTTTCTTTTCATCTGCTCCCTTCAGTTCTTCTTGCCAACAGGCTTGCTGTACATCCATATCGCGCAGAATCCAACAAAACCCGACACCGTCGCCCCAATGCCAGAGATCCAAGGCCAGGCGCCCGAGATAACAAAGCTGCGAGGCCACTCATCGTGCGCAAAGTGGCGGACGCTGACCGTGTTCTTCTCTTCAACGTTGGTGAGGAAAGGGCGCTTGTAGTTAACCTTGAAGTTGAAGATGCCATGCTGGTCGGGGAGGGTGAAGGAGACGCCATACACGGCAGCGTCGCCAGTGGTGCGGGTGCGGGCCAAGTTGAGGCGGTGGAAGGGCGAAAGCATGGAGAACTCGAGCTGGAGAACGTCGTCCTGAGGAAGGGAGAAGGGAACCCATTTGTCCCAGCTCCACTCAGAGAGGGAGATGTTGTAAGACTAGAAAAGAAGAAGAAAGAAAATGTCAGTGCCAATATGCAAATTTGAGTTCCTTCATGCGCCACTTACCACATCGTTCTTGATACGGTAGATGCCGGGGTTCAGCTCATCAGAGTCCTGCAGCTTGTGCTCAATGCTGTTCACTCGCAGCACACCAATCTCTTGGAACGCCCAGCCCGATACTCTCTTCGCAAACTCCTGGTTATCGGTCCTGAAGCTATTTCCACCAGGCTTGCCAACCACGGCCTCAAACCACTTGTTCTGCAGCATCTCGGCAGATCCCAGAACCGTCACGCGAGCAGAGTTGCGCGCCTCAAAGACCGACAGAAGCGACAGTTGCTGGCCGGCAGCGAACAAGTCATCGGCATCCAGAACCTCGGCCTGCTCCTTGGGGTTGTAGCTGTACGCAGTGGCCGAGGCGCGAACGACGGGCGTGAGCAGAGGTCCAGAGCCAAGGACATGGCCAACAGCGTGGGGGAACGCCACAACGCCGCCTTCAATCTCAAAGTACGGCTTCAAGCCGGGGCGAATGTTGATGGGCCCTTCGACAACGAGGACGTCGTGGGATTCGGCAGCGGAGCGAACGTCGTAGTTGAAGTGGTCGATGACGGTGCCGGTGCGCTCAACGGGCAGGGAGATGTCGAGCTCGGAGAGAAGGCCGACGATGGAGGTGGACGAGGGCACAGTGGACGTCTGCGCAACGAGGATGTTTCCGTCGGCGTTGACAAAGTTGACGAGATGGCTGGGCGTCAGGTTTGGCCCCAGGCCTGTGCAAGAGTCAGCGAGCCATTGGGAGATTTGCGCAGAAGCACTGGACGCAGCTCTGCAGGTAGATGCGAGACTGGTATCAAACAAACATACCCTTGACCTTGGAAGGCAGAAACAACAGGTGGTCGTATTTCCTCTCGCCCAGGTGGAAGAGCGCCAGTCCCTCGCTCCGCGGCGTCTCGTATGAAACATCGTAGCCTCGAGCTGCAAAAGACGTAATAATACCAAAAGTCAGCTTATTCTAGTCTTCCAATTGCTATGTTCAGAGCAGAAGAGTATATCATATATGTGGCGCATCATCTCGCAGCATCTCGCATCAACGCACCCGTCAGATCGCCAAGAAACTGGCTATACAAGTCCTTCTCAGCAACATCGTCCAGCACCACCAGCAAGCGATTGCCCGCCGTGCTGACCGCCGAAACAGCCGCCGCGTACACGAGCGCAGCCACGCTCAGAATCGACCACATCGCGAACAATCAGACGAAATTTGCGTGGGCGTGGTGGAAAAGGTGCAGGTTTGCAGTGGGAGGACACCTGTAAGCTGGAAGCTGCCGCTATAGCTGTGCCTTTGGGGATACGTAGCCTCGCCGGCAACTCGAACCCGCTGTGGAGACGCTCCGTTCGTCACTTGCAGCGGTACAAGTTGCATGTATCGCAGCTCTGCTAAAAAACCGCCCGCCGTGCCGAGATTCTGCCGAGGCGCCGCAAGAGCATCACGACGAAACCTCATGATCGTCACCCGAACAGCTTTGCTCCAATTCCGCAATCCTCAAGATCCCGCAGACTCCAGTCTGAACCACAGTACGAGAATTCCCCCCTCTCTTCCATTGTTTACTCAACTCCAGATCCTGTAGCTAATCAATTGGTCTCTCATCCAGCCTCACAATGTCCGCTCCCCTCTTCTGGTCAACGCCCCTCAAGTACTGCAGCTGGGCAGCCCGCGAGCGTCCCGCCTTCTTCTGGTCCGTCGTCGTCGGAGCCGCCGGTCCTATCCTGATTCCCATCGTTCCTCCCATCCGCCACATGCTCGGCGATGTCGACCCTGCGCCGATTCCCGTGACTTATCCCGGTACGTTTTTTTCTCACCACTTGGCCAGCACATGGCCATTGAGCGGAACACTCTCATGTGTAGAGTGACTGGGGTGGATGTACGAAAAGAAGGAGGAAAAGCTATAGATGGGGCCAAATATGTGTTTAGAGAGAGCAAAGCTGACCAGAGAACACAAATACAGTCCCCGCCGGCCCTCGCAAACAAGTAACAGGCTACGACGACTAAACACGCTACCAAACAAAAGAAGACACAAAAAAATATCGAACTCCCAAGTCATAAAAAGAAAGAAAAGAGCTGGGAATCGCAAATAAAGGGGGAATTGATTCCTGTACATACTCACCAAACTACGGCGTTAATCCAAACAAATGTAAAGAAACAAGACATGAGAGGATGCTCTAAAGTCAGTGGCAGGGCAGGAGATGATAAAACTCTAAAATTCAACAAAATTACAAACGCTCTCTTTTCTGTTTTGCTTTTTTTTTATAAACCTGGTACCCATCCAAAGCTTCCTATTTTCTTTGTTCTTCTTCTTCTCCTCCTCTCCACTAAGCATATAATTGTCCAACTTTTAAAAGCACACGCCCCTTTTTTTGTAATAATCTATGGTTTACGCTGGCTTCCTGCTTGCTACGCTCACAAAACCCACTGACACATAAAAAAAACACACAATCAAATCTTCTCCCCCTCTTTTTCCCTTCTAAAAAACAACATTTGCTACTCCAGACAAATCATTCCTCGATTCATCCCTATCGCGAGATGGTGCGATACGTATTCCTCACAGATGTTCGGCGGGGCAAACTCAGGCTCTACCTGTCTCTACTACCCGCGAAATTCCACTCATACTAAGCACATCTTGTCAGTAAAAGCAGATCGTGAAAATATCCGGGAGGCATATAACTCACCACTCGCCCATCATCATCCCCGGTGTAGAGACACGTTGGCATCGGGCTAATACAAGTGATTCCCGCCATCGTATTCTCCCCCTTTTCGCTATTATAATCGGTATGATCCAGGCGCCGCAACAGCTCCAGAGTCCACTTCCCCCTTGCCATGCTCTTGCGCCACACATTGACAATGCCTCCGCGATGTCCCGTAAAGACGAGGTAATTCTCAAGCCACTCGTTCCCTGCGCCTTCGTAAAAAGCGCAGGAATGGACGTAATCTTCGGAATCTGAGCATACATTCTGTTCCAAAATGAGGGCGCCGTTTAGGGAGTAGAGGATCACGTTGGGTCCCGAGCACAGCATGATATCGCCAGATACATTGTGAATCTGCGCACATTCCACGTGTCGTACAAGAGGCAGCTTTCGGATGAATGAAAGTTGGTTGAGATCCCACAAGAAAGCCTGACCATCCGATGAAGCCGTGACAAAAGTGCTAAAGGCTTTGCCCACTGCAATGGCAGTCACCGGAGTCTTGTGACCGAACAAGCTCGATTTCAGATACAGCTCCACAGGCTTTCCAGGCACCGTATGCAGGGCATGTACCGAAATCACACAGTCCTCTCCAGCAGTGATCAGTGTCTTGGAGTCAGCAAAGGAAGCGCAAGAAATCTGGCCAATGTGGAGGTTTTCAAACAGACCAGCCGGCCGGCGATTGTCAGCAAAGAAGAAACGAATACTATTATCCGCGTATCCCCATTCCAAATACTTGTCATATGGCGGGAGGTTAAGACGGAATGGCGACGCACACAGCAGGCGGTCCAGTTTTGGCGCGTAAATAAGCGATGAGACCCTCTCGTGGCTTTCCAACAGCGGATTCGGCAGGCATGACAGAGAGAAAATGGCTGTATCCAGACGCTTGACGGATGATTTGAATTGCTCTCGCGGCGGATGCGGCTTCTGGAACACTTGATGCGGCGTTTGACCGAAATTGTGAATAACACCGGCAGATATAGCCCGCTCATTGGTATCTTTAATCTGGTCCAAATCGACCGAGCCCGCATACGAAAGGTTATGGAAAACGTTGAGATTTTCCACAGCTGCTTCGCCTCGCTGCTTGAATCCAAATACCAAGTCAATCCATTGATGCAGGTTCTCGCTCACGTACGGGCTCTCCAGCGCTTCGCGATGCTTAGCAATAAAGATTTTAGGATCGCCCTTGGCCCAGGGCGGAAGCTCGACATTATTGACCTGGGCACCATTGCTCTGGCGACGTCCAAAATCGTACCCATTGATGTTTGTCAAGAATTCGGGAAGACAAAAGAACTCGGGAATCAGCTCTCGGACGTCTGTCTTGTTGTTACACGATGATGAAGTCCACGCATCGCCAATCGACTGGAACAAACGATCTGCGTGATCAAAGCTATCTCCTTGGACGAGCAGGTAAGATTGTACAAAGGGCGGCAGTCTGATGAGGTAAGAGGATACAATCATGGCAGACGAATAATGGGTGCCGTAGTGGAACGGCGGCTGTCCAATCTCTTCGAGGGCACTAAACGTGTCAATGAAGCCCTGAATACGGTTGGGAGTTTGGGCACCCATGGGCTTTGACAAGTCGCGGAATGTTCTCGGGTCTTCCAGATCAAGATCCTCGCTGGTATAATCGGCCAGAATCCACGGGAACACGGGATATTGGGTTAAATCGTTAAAGGTCCGTCCAGCCATGGTATTGACAACCATTAGATAGTGGAAGTTGGAGATTTCACCTCTCTGCCATCGTTTCATGATGGACGTCCATGGCGATGCATTGAATAGCGTTCCCAGCCTAGATCCCAAGCCTTGTGGAGAATCTTCAAACCCCTTGAGCATGTCGAACCTCCACGCATCTTCCGGGTTGGGAAGCGCATGCGCCGCACTGGTATGTGGTGCTTTGTTTAGCATCTTCGAAAACAAGTTATCTCTGACCGCGGTAGAGATGTTGGTAAATAGATAGCTCCGACCATCAGTGAAGAAGATTTCGATGGCAACGTCTCGGAAAAGGAACCGACGTTTGGAGATGCTGATAACATCCTGCCATCTCCAATGCCTCGACTCTTGTTCTCGGCCACCGGCGTTTTGTCTTTTTTCGAGCGTCTTCGCGCCCGTTACGACTTGGGTGAACGGATCACGCTCTTCTGGCGGTGCTTGCCACACATTCACAATATCGCCATTGGCGCACTGGAACACGTTATCCATGATATAAAGTGCGTCCTTTCCTACTATCAAAAGGCCTTCACATGCCTCGAGACCTGTGACCCGGGATATGTTGTAGGCGGCCTGTATCTGGTCGCCATGCTCCAGCCGCCGCCTGACCTTGCGATTTTTGTCTTCAAAGTTCTCGTCGCCTTCGTTTCGCTCATTGGGGTCATCGATGAGCTCGAAATCGTCCTCTGCTGTGAGAACAGGCTCAGGGTTCTCTGAAGTTACTTCAGGCTCCATGGATAAAGATGTCAAATCGCTGTCATTGGCACCATCCAACAAGGCGCTGGACCGTGTTGGCGGCCGGCTTGCTGAGGCTGCTCGATCCCGTGTAACTGGCGTCGTGCTCAAAGCGGATCCACTCGTAGGAGTCGCTGACTGACTTCCTTTCGCTTTCGGCTGATACTTGTCTTCTCCCACAGGATAGTCAGGGAGGAGTCGCAAGCGCATACGGTTTCGTCCCTCTGTGCGATCCAACTTCCATTTCGGTGCTGTCGACACGCTAAACACTGCTCCAGGCCGTTGTAAATCCCGTTCCATTTTCCTGTAGCCTGCTGCGAGGAAGGCCAAGTCATCCTGCTGATCTTGCATCAAGCGTTGGTATTTGAAATACTCTGTAGTGTAGATACTCTTCATCCAAGCGCTGTTGCCAATTTCATGGTTGAGAAGAGTTTGCTCCGCCGCGGCTGCCTCCATATTCCAGACTTTCAGCTTGTCTTTGCGTTTGTTGAGACGAGATTTCGCAGACTCAAACGTGCGATGGTTCTCTGCGCTAACAAAATCTTCCCAAGTCTTTGCCATACCGCCGAAAAAAAGCATGTCCAACGCCGGCCTATGCTTATCCACCCAAAGAACGAATGCGTCGTCGTCTATTTCTGTCAGTTTCTGAAACTCGCGAACGATTTGTCGCTGCTCCGGTGCAGAAGACCAACGCATCAAAGCGACTGATTCTTCGGGCTTTTGTACCAAAACGATGCGAAGGAAATTGGCAGCAGCGATACGAATCGATAGCTTATCGTCAATGAGTTTCGTGTAAAGTTGGTACCAAAACAGCTTTAGGTATTCGTCGTCAGCCCCCAAGCACTCCAGGATAGACATTTGCCAATAAGCCATCTTGTCCATGAACTCTTTAGCCTCTGACTCCGACGTTTGTCGATTGTCCAAGTCGGAGAGCTTGAGCAGAATTGTTCGCAACAAGCAGCTGCGAATCGTTGATATGGCTTGGCTGCACAAACGAACGCTTTTCAACGCCGCAATCTCGGGCCGTTGCAGAAATTCTAGCAGCATTCCGTTGAAGTCAATCATGGCTTCTGCGCCGTTCAGAAACCAGCCTTCAAAGATTGCCTCGCAGAGGTGAGTACAGAGCCGGCCAAGATTTGTCAGAATCCTGGGCTCGCATATCCCCTGGCGCTTCGTCTGGACCATGTTTGTCACCTCGGAAATTGCCTTTTTCAAAACATATGACTCAAAATACGCCTGGTGTTCTTGGAAACCAGGAGGCATCTTGGTGAAGAGACCGAAACCCGAAAATTCTTTGCGGACGAAAATTTGATCCATGAAAACCCGCATAACTAGGTCCGTTATCCCATCTAAGATGGCATTACCAAAGCCGCCAACAACGATCTTTTGCTGTTGAGGCAAAGGCTTTGCCAAAAGAGAAGACAACTTTGGCTCCTGAACGTTTTTCTGAGCAGTCAAAAGCACAAAGGACGATGCTCGTCTTAGAGGCGTTCCTTTTGGCGGCGTTGACTGTGGTGACGGCACAAGGTCGATGTTGGTCGTTCTAACAATAGGTGCTGGCATAGAACTACCACCCATGGGTCTAATAATAACGTCGTTGCCTTCAAACGTCAGAGCAGAGTCTCGAGAGTTCAGTTCCACGTCCGGTGTGACTGCATCGGCGCTAACAATGACCGGATAGAGAGCTGCCAAAAGCAAACGAATCCACTCAGACGAGAGAGCAAAGTCTCTGAATTCGGAAGACCGCTCGTAGAGATTTTGCAAAACCTGGATGGCATTTTGAAGGAACACAGCGTGTGCACCCACTTTCTCTCGGGACATTGGGACTGTGAAGATGGTCAGAAAAAAATCAATTTCCAAGACAAAGGGAAAGAAACATACACCTAGGTTCTAAGCCTCTGACAAGATCTGAGCTCGCTCTGGGTCTTGTCTCGTAAGCGGAAGACGGTCTGGGTAATCCGTGAGATGGTGTAAGACTGGTAGCTGGAGAATCCGGGTCTTCCTGGTACTTCATTACGTCTTTGAGACCATGCTGAAGCATTGATGTGATGATAACCAGGGACTCGGGATAGACAACTTTGCGCTTGTCAAACTTTTCAGCCAGAGTATGGAAATCAGCCCTGCTATCCAGGTTGACATCAGCCACATCCTGCCCAAACAAGATGCAAAAGCATATGGTCCATAAAGGAGGAAGGTCCCAAAATCGTTTTAATCGATTTGCCATGATTGTAAATCCGCCAGATTTGCCAGCAAACTTTGATGTGTAAGCAGATCCATGAACAACAAGAAGGCGAGCGAGGATTTTGCATCCATGAATGACAGTCTCAGAGTCATCGTCGGCAAGCAGATACAGCAACCACTGTTAAGAGATATTGTCAGTCTATAGTCCATGCACTGCTCTCAAACAGCAACGCGTTGCCTCACCTTATTAGTTACCGTCTTGGCAAACTTTTTGATGTTATTGAAGCTGCCTCTTTCGCAAAGGATCCTAGAGTAAAGACTAAGGACATGGGTTCCAAGTTGCTTTTTCGATACAGTTCTAGTGCCGCTACTCAGGCCACTGCTATCACTTCGATCCCGGGTCCCGTTCTTGAAGGGGCCGGGTGTGCTAGATCTTGAAGTGGCCAAGGACAGTCGTGGTGTTCGTGAGCCTATGGAGGTAGGCAAATGAAAAGCATAGGTGATGAAAAGTGACAAGGATCTCATAACTTCTTGACTCAAATTGGACCTGACGAGGGCTTCGAAAGCCCCCATGAATTGCGGAACGACCTCTTCAGAGATAGCCTCGCCTTTCATGGCGTCCAATAGTCGTTTTACAATTCCTAAGGCAACAATAGTTAGGGACACATTGCCAATACTGGAAGAAAAGAGGCGATCCTATCACTTACTCATGCGAATCAACCTCCTACTGTTGAAATCATGATGTTTACTGTTAACGGCAAAAGTCACAAATTGTTTATAATAGAGCTCCTGGACGCGCGGCCCTGCTCTGCGCCAGATATCCAGGTCGATGAGGAGGATGCGGTATGCCAAGGGGTTAATGATGAAAGAGTCAATAGGATCGGAATGGTTATATCCGACAAATCCCAAGACCAGGCTGAGGATGCGGAACGCAAGGCTTTCACGCTCTTCGTGCGAGACCGAAAGACGGAACGTCGGCGCATCGCCGGCAGTTCCAGAGCCACCATATCCGATCTTGAAGCGTAAAAGCATCCCCAAGACGCTATATCCGTTATCTCTCTCCATGGCTTCACTATTTCTCCAACTCTTACGAATGCAATGGAACATGATCTCGATGGCGTGGACAGTTTCCTCGACAGTTGTTGCTTTTTCTAGAAGCTTGAGAGCCAATGGTGTGAAACCGGCTAGACGCCAGAGGTTCTCATCAAAATATGAAGGGACGGTCACGATTGGAGACCCTCTAAAGGAAGCAATCCCCTGGCTTCTGAACAATGCATCCGTGAGGCTTGGCACCGCACAGTTGATGGCGAGTGGAGATGCTTCCTTGCTTGACATGCGGAAAAGATCACGGGTGGATGAGCGAGGGAGTGCTCGGAGAACTCCCGTGTCGATATACTGCACGTTTTCTGGGAAAGTGGCAGATGGGAGGATACCGAGCAATATTTTTGATTCGGGCAAGAGCGAGCTTGCCTTATCGCGCACCGCTCTGAGAATATCAGAGTTCTCGTCCTGGCCGGAATGAACAATCTCGTTACGCAAGCCCAGCTGAGCCGATGCCTCATAGGTCTGGAATCCGCCTAGAGCGTCTTGGAAGTTTCCTTGGTATCGCGGTCTTAGCGCATGGTGAACCGCTATATAATCGTCGCTGAGAACATCTTCAAATAGATGGGCAGATGCCAATGACCATCTCGAAAAGACAAGGCCAGGGCCGCTCTGGTTGGACAAATCGCGAGGGGTGCCGAGGAATGCTTGTACGGGATTGTGCTTGTTCTGATTCGAGTTGAACGAGGCAAATGTTTCTGTGCTTCCATTTGCCAATGGAGGCATATGCGGGTAATTGCAACGAATCTGCTCTGTAAACTCTCCATTTACATAGAGAGATGCTTTACTAGCGGACATTGTCTTTGGTCGACGATGAACAACGGCAATGTGGTACCATTTCTTCTCATGAAATGTCACAGACTTGAATCTCACGCTGGGTTTATTAGAAAAGACTGAGGTCTGAAGGATAAAGTTGTGGGTATCTCGTTCCAAGTACATGAGGACGAAACAAGTTTGGGAGGAGTCAAAGACTCCAAAGATGGTGGTATGCGCGGTTGGGTCAAAAGAGTCGACGCGTATCCAGGCCGTGAAGGTATATCCAGCCGAGGACTGGGGAGGGAATGAACGGCCCAAGGTAGGGAGCTCCAAGGAAGAATGGCCATGGAGCGATAGGTCAAACTGGAAAAAAGGAGGGCCGGTGTATTTGGAGGTCATTTCTAGGAAAAAGTTGGCCGCCTCCTGGCCTGGCGCTGACAACAGGAACTGGACGTCTGCAGGCTGGTTCACACCGAGGTACATGAGCGACCGACATAGGGCCAACACGATATCGCGTTCTGCCGGCGCCAGGTTGGACTGAGGCGAGAAGGCAGACTCGAGAAACTGCGAAAGAACGCCAGTCGAATGGACCGCGGCACGGTTGTATATCGAGACCGATGCTGCGCTGAGGATTGTCTCTAGCACGATTAGGGACGTCGGGCTCGGGGTGGAATTCTCGGGCCTGGGGATAGCTCGCCAGAAGCTCACGACAGCTCTGAGCAGCTCTGGATGGCGTATTATCGTCTTGGCAGTGACAACCTCGCGCACGCTTGGTCCGATGTTCCCAACTGAGCGCGCAAGCACAAGATCCCATTGTTCGTCGGCTCCATCTTCAGCTTCGTTTTCAGGGGCATCATTCTGGTTGGTACTGGTCTCGTTTTCGTTTTCAGTGTCGGCATCGGATTCCGATCGTAAGGCTTTTGCGGTGGACTGGCATAGTAAATCCAAAGCTTCGTCGTCCAGCGAGAAAGCTAGAAGCTTGCCAAACACATGGCAGCTGACCCAGACGTCAGGCTCTGCGCCTCCCAAGCCAATGCTCGCGATGGTCTGCTCCAGAGCTTCCCATCCGCCTCCCGCAACTCTATAGCGGAAGAATCGCTTATTGCCAGAGTGGTCTCGAAACGCAGCTGACAAGACGCTCAGGAAAGCTCCAATCAGCTTGAACAATGACATCATCTCAGTCTGGCTCCGCTTCCGCGGATCATGGTAGCCCGCAAAGCCACGCAGCACGTCAAGCACGCATTCGAACCCCCCCGCGAGTCGAAAGGCATCTTGGTTCATGGACGCCGGAGGGGCAGCTATCAGCTGGGCAAGGTTTCGCAGGCCCTTGGCAAGCTTGGGGATGTCGGGGTAGCCATCGCCGGTTCGAGAGGTCTGTTCGTGGATAAGATCATCGAGCAATGTCTGCAGGACTTGGACGTATTTCGGGTTGGTGTTGGCCGAAGTGGACGCCGAGGTCGACGACCGGTATCGCGTGGGAAGAGTCGCCATGATGCCGTCGTGGCCGAATTCGCATTCCAGTAGGTTTGCCCTCCAGGGCCCGTCAAGGGTCCAGGCCGTCAGCTATCCGCAACGGCATTGAAGGACAATCTGGCAAGCAGCTCGGAGCTCTGGCGCGGGGCGCATGAAGCTCTTGGACGGCGGTCAGCTGGCCCAAGGGAATGCCAGGGCGTCACGGAAGAAACGCAAGCAAGGGGCCTAAAAGAAGGAATGACGATCACGGCGCGGGAGATGCCAGAACTCGCTCAGCTCGCAGGGCAGTTTCGGGTGTTGGGGGGGATCTTGCAATCTCTCGACGGTTGCTTGCCGGGCTCTGGATGAGGTTGGAGCCTGCCAGCCGATCCGCCGTCAGCCTCGACCGTGGCTGAGGCTCGGGCGCTGCGGTTAGTGGGAGGATGTGGCAACAGCGGCGGCAGCCCCGCTAAGTGGCCCTCTACGGAGTGAGTCTGCAGGCGAGCTTCAGTGCAAGCTCCAGTGCTTCAGTGCTTATCGCTACTCAGGTCAGGGCATGCGTGGCTGATAAGGAGATAAGGGGCAGAGTGATGCCATCACATTGGATGTTGAAGTCCTACTTGTATCTACATGCAGGTGCTGATGCAGCTGCCAGGCAGACATCTCGAAAGCAGATAGGCGGGCAGGCAGCTACATGGATATGCTTAGTATGTACATGAAAGCAGTGTTTGGCGATGACAATGATGAGAACAGATGGCATTAGTATTTGGCATTAGAAGGGGATATCGGCATAGTACGCCTAGAGGGCTGTCGTATCAGGCAGAAGCTGTATCGAACGGACAAGCAGAAAGACACGCTCCATCTGACACACTTGCGAACCGTCGGAGAGAAAAGGAGTCGGCGTTTTATGAAGCGGTCGTCTACGAAGGATGCACTTCGTATCTGCATTTGATAGGATGGTGCACAAAATAATGCGCTGGAATTAGAGCTCAGCGAAGACAGAGTCCTCGGCCGATCGCGGCGCTGGCCGTAACTTGACCGTGGCTCAGATTAGAATTTGGAAGAGGCGGAAAGGGGCTGCTTTAAGTTATGGATTAGGAGAAACCTTTATGCTGGCGATGCGAGCTTGTACAAACAAGTGTAAATCAGGCGAGCGCAAAGTACCTCATGTAAGGAGTCAGAGACACGCTACCAGGTTTGTATGGAGCGGCACTCGCAATAATGTTAGCATTTCCTCGGATGAGTGCTGAAACGGCCAAGGGCTGGTCCTCGACGCTCACTGTGTCATGTAATCCTCACGTTCGTACTCGTACTGAGCTGCGCTGGCCTCCCCGGGCACGAATCGAGTCTCAAACTGACGTTGTACAAGTATCAGTACTTGGTACCTGGATAGAGCGCCAGTGTCACCTTTTTGAGGTCATCTTGGCGAATAAGCACGCAAGCGACGGTCCCTTTTCGCTGCCAAATGTCTGCCATTGCTTCCATTTTCACTCATGTTACCATCATCAGCCCTCAAATGCCTAGTCCAGATGGAGGCGTCTAATAGCTGCACCCTCTATCAATAGCACCAGATTACATGAGCTTACAAGTACCTACAGACTACTACAGTGCAAATACTAGTACTACCTGCTATCTGGTATTGAGTGCAGGCATGCAAGCCTCACGGATAGCTCACACGTGATACTGAGCAGGTAGCATTGGTGATAATACCGAGTAACTCCGTAATAAAAGGGAGGCGAATCTCCAAGGTGCTTGCGTGCCAGCTACATGCAGTAACTGCGGATAGATACGGAGTTGTGTGCAGTAATGCTCAGGTACAGGCAGTACTTGTTCCAAATCTCCGTCTTATACAGTGCATCTTGCGCATCTAGCCGGATGCAGCCACGCCAGCCCAGCCCAGCCGCCTGTAAATAACGTTGATCAGCACGGCATCACTGGACCAGCTTCTCGCAAATGGCACCTCCCTGGCCGCCGTCACGAGTCGTCCTCGAATGGGCATGGAGAGGGCCTTGGAGCAGAGGCCGGGAGGCTCGTGACAAGACGCACGAGCCAGGATTGTTTGACGCAGCATCAGAAGGCTGGGTGGCGGCCAATCGGAGTCGCTTGTATCCCCGCATTATGGGACGGGGGAAATGGGACCAGATGCACCGCTGTGGCCTGGATGCAGGGCTTATCGCCTGTTGAGCTGGCTGGTCCGGGGGAGCAAGGAGGGCGAGCTGGGCTAGCAGCGCGATGGGGCAGCGCAGCGATAGCGCTGGATTGAATGGATGATGGATGTAGGCCGGCTGGGCGGCTGATTCGTATAACACATCCATGGATGCATCAATAGGCAAGTATCGTAGCAATAGCGCTGGCTGTAGGGAGCAGCGGCGCATGGGCGGCCGCAAAGGTGAGTGATGGGCATCGGCTGCCGCTCAGGGTCGCCCCCTAAATGCCATCCCTCCAATCCCTACGCCTTTGGGTCGTCTGGTTTCGTTTGCGTCGTGAAAAGGGCTACCGCAGGTACACGGCGCCAGCACACGACACACGCGCATACAGTGCCAGCTCCCCGGCCAGGCCGTCTCAGGAGACCAACGGCAGTGGTCAGCACGGGTACAGAGTACAAAGAAGCCAGCCGTCGTTCCTTTCGGCACCGACAGCACAGATGGCGAGACAGGCGGTGATGCGCTGGTCCAAACTACCCGCCGCGCTCATCCCTTGTCTCGCCGCTGCCTTGTCTCACTCGCCGTCATTGCGGCCGGCAAGAACAAGCACCAGACATGAAAGACATCGCCAGGGCTCATTTCGGAAGAGTCATTGTTCCGTCATGGCTCGACTTGGCCCTGCAAACGCGTCGACGGTACCTGTACTTGTACTTGTGCCTGTACCTGTTCCAGGCTGATACAGGCCGACAGCCTGTGGGGCGGGAGGCGGCATGGGTGCATGTGAGTCGAGCTCGCACTCTTGGCACTGTAGCAACGAGTACCCGATGTGCTCTGGCGCAAGTACTGCAAGTACCCGCTTGTATCCCGCACAGCCAAATGGCAGCGGCTTCCGTACGGCCAGGTACAAGGCTGAGTGACCTGGCGCCAGGCTTATCGCATCGCCCCGGCAAGTGGACTGGACGCGGGCGACGCCGCTAAACTCTGTTGGGGCCGCCGTCACGCCCTGAGCACCCCCGGCTCCAGTGATGCGTCACCGCGGGCGTGAGCGCTGAGGCAGCACTGGAGCCTCGTCCCAGCCGCCCTTATCTACTGCGCCATCGCTCGTCTCTTCGTCTTCTTTCTTTCTCTTCTTCCATCATCCTTCTCCCCATCCATCCATCGCCGTCTCTTCTCCCATCTATCTGCCCATCTCGCAGGAGGCCGTTGGAGTTTTCTTGATTTCCGTCACCTTTGTTTTCGTCTCTTCTGGCCGCGTGTCGCAGGTTGACCAACTCCCATATTCCCTCATTCATCACATCTATCAGGACCATCATTATGCGGTCCGTCATCGCTCTCTCTGTGGCGGCCGTCGCCCAGGCCAGCTCGTTCCAGGTTGGCACCATTCACGAGAGCTCTGCTCCCGTCCTCAGCAATATTGAGGCCAACGCCATTCCGGACAACTACATCATCAAATTCAAGGATCACGTTGATGAGGCTGGTGCCGACAAGCACCAGAACTGGATCCAGAGCATCCACGATGAGGGCGAGCAGCAGCGCCTTGAGCTCCGCAAGCGCAGCAGCATCTTCGGCGCGGACGAGGCCTTTGACGGCCTGAAGCACACCTTCAAGATTGGTGATTTCAAGGGCTACGCTGGTCACTTTACCGAGGACATCATCGAGCAGGTCCGGAACCACCCGGATGTAAGTTCACGCTACCATTTCCATCGCCACTAGCAGGTCAATTGAGGCTAATCCATCGTTTCCAGGTCGAGTATATTGAGCGCGACACCATTGTCCACACTATGCTTCCCCTCGACTCACAAGACAGCGTTGTTGTCGAGGACTCGTGCAACCCCGAGACCGAGAAGCAGGCTCCCTGGGGCTTAGCCCGTATCTCTCACCGAGACACCCTGGGCTTCGGCACATTTAACAAGTACCTCTACACCGCTGACGGTGGCGAGGGTGTTGATGCCTATGTCATTGACACTGGTACCAACATTGAGCACGTCGACTTCGAGGGCCGTGCCAAGTGGGGCAAGACCATCCCTGCCGGCGATGAGGATGAGGATGGCAACGGCCACGGCACTCACTGCTCTGGTACCGTTGCTGGTAAGAAGTACGGAGTTGCCAAGAAGGCCCATGTCTACGCCGTCAAGGTCCTCCGATCCAACGGCTCTGGCACCATGAGCGATGTCGTCAAGGGCGTCGAGTACGCCGCTCTCTCCCACCAGGAGCAGGTTAAGCAGGCCAAGGCCGGCAAGCGAAAGGGCTTCAAGGGCTCAGTCGCCAACATGTCTCTTGGTGGTGGCAAGACCTCTGCTCTCGACGCCGCTGTCAACGCTGCCGTCAAGGCCGGTGTTCACTTCGCCGTCGCTGCTGGCAACGACAACGCCGATGCCTGCAACTACTCCCCCGCCGCCGCCACCGAGCCCGTCACCGTCGGTGCCTCTGCTCTGGACGACAGCCGTGCTTACTTCTCCAACTACGGCAAGTGCACTGACATCTTCGCCCCTGGCTTGAGCATCCAGTCCACCTGGATCGGCTCCAAGTATGCCGTCAACACCATCTCTGGTACCTCCATGGCCTCTCCCCACATCGCCGGTCTCCTGGCCTACTACCTGTCTCTCCAGCCTGCTGGTGACTCTGAGTTTGCTGTTGCCCCCATCACCCCCAACAAGCTCAAGAAGGACCTCATCACCATTGCTACCCAGGGTACTCTGTCTGATATCCCCGCCGATACCCCCAATCTGCTTGCCTGGAACGGTGCTGGCTGCAGCAACTACTCCCAGATCGTCAAGGCCGGTGGCTACAAGGCCAAGGCCCAGAAGCAGACCAAGCTCCCCGCTACCATTGAGGAGCTCGAGGACGCCATCGAGGGTGACTTTGAGGTTGTCTCTGGCAAGATTGTCAAGGGTGCCAAGTCCTTTGGCTCCAAGGCTGAGAAGTTCGCCAAGAAGATCCACGACCTCGTCGAGGAGGAGATTGACGAGTTCATGTCCGAGCTCTCCGAGTAAGAATCTTTATTAAGCATATATTTCCTTTTTATTTGTAATGGCCATTATGCGCCGATGAGTACGTCGAGTACGACGGGTTATGGAACGGGACCAGGAGAGACTATTTGTTTTGGGTAATTGGCATGCACTTTGGGCGCGAAGCCACTGAATTTAGTATCGGCTTTGCACTTTTACTTCGTATTACTGTTTTGCAACACCTACGTTTCTCAGACAGAATGCCTATACAGGAGTATCATATAATCAATACACTGCATTCTTATGCAACCACTCTGAAGATGCACTCGTGACATGTTACTCATGCCAACATTCCTTGGTCAGGCTGTCAAGGGCTGCGCTTGAGGTTAGAAAACCGTAATTTGCTGCCAATCACAATCCCTGTTTTCGTCGACAAGTGCCTACTGTGGTAATGTTTCTGCTGTAGGCTCTAGCTTAGATGTGAGGCAACGATGTCGCATTTACTAAGACGTTGTTGAATATCGCATGCAAATGAAAAGACCACGCAAACAGGACGCAGTAAGCCACAAAAGCTCAGTGAATCAAGAAATTTCAATGGCAAAAATGGCTTATCTAATTGAAGTTTTCTAAGCCCTGCTTCGATAGCTGGATGTCTAGGCAATTTTTGTTAGCAACTGCTCTCTCACACTCGGTGGTTCAATGCATCGATGCTCTGCTCAAACAAATGTTTGCCAGCTGCCAGACTAAACTCGCTTCAGGATGCTCCTGCCACGTCCGTCCAGCTGCGATATTCGCTGCGGATGCCTGAGGCGAGATTTCCTCGCTGCCTCCTTCCTCATGGTCATTGATCTGAATGGAGATGTCAGAATTTCCGTCACCCACAGATCCATTTTCAATCGTGTTTTTCCATATATGCCTCTGAAATAGCCAGTTCTATCTCGTTATCACAGCACCCATCATCAGTTGCCAGCCACGAGTCGTTTGTTATATCATCTCCCTCCTTTACCACCAAAACGAGAACATCTTCTTCAACGCCAAATCTTGGTAGCGTTTCGAATAGGCGATAACGGCAATGCTTCGCAAGAACAGCACCAGAAGTCAGGATCGCCGCCCCCTAAGTAGGAGCAAGTCATCCGTCACCATTGGCCGAAATACAGCCCATGCTCTCACCGGCAGCGAGCCGTTGGCGGTTGAAAGAGATGCGTATATTGCTGCAACTCTCTCATTCAACCGAGCCCAGCCACAGAATCACAACGAGCGAAAGTCGCCGCGCTTAGTTCGACAGCAAAGTGTGAGATTTGCCGGTCCGAATGCTCAGCCTCGGAGAATATTGGCCGCTCGTGCAAGTGTGCCTGCGGCGAGCAACTTGCCACGACATCTCATGGGGTCTCAGCAGTATTCTTTGGAGCCAGAGGATGAAGCTGCGTCACTCACATCGTATGGAAAGCTACGCAAATCGAAGTCAATGTACGCTCCAGCAATAACAAAAATACCGACATATTCTTTGGACAATAGTGACCATTCCGACGTGTTCAATGGATGGCAAACAACGTCTCGATATTCATCGTTTGCGAAAAAGGAGAACGAACCCATTTGGAGTTCAGGTGGACCATCACTAAGGGCTCCAAAATCTATGGCTTTCCTCTCACACGGCCGTGAAGGTTCGATATCACGAACAAATACCAGAATTAGCTCTGAGATGTCTGATGAGCTGACACGAAATGGATTCTATGAGCCGCCAGGGAGCTTGAGCCGCCTCAAGACTCGGCCCTCAAGTTTCTTTCGATCAAATTACAAACAGAGTCCCCACCTGTCGGCTTTTCCCAAGTCTCTTCGAAGTAGCAGCAACAATACCACAGTGCTCTCTCCAGCATCCCTTTACGGTTTAAATAACCCCTCTAGCATTCCTCCAAAGCAACCGACCTTGCGAACCACGGCTCGCAAAATCTCCAAATCGCTCAAGAGCAGAATCAAGGGGCTGTTTGGCCGCCCCAAGAGTACAGATGAAGCTATAGACCAGGCCGAATATCATACCCCGGAACGGGATTCGAATGATGGTAGTTGCTATGGAACCCAGTCAACGGTGCCAACACGATCGTCCCAGGAAGCATCCATGTATCAAGGGCCATCCCGGATGCCTTCTTTCCATGCAGTGCCGGCGAGTCAACAGCTCAAATCGCGACAAGGCAGCTTCGCAAACGTGGAAATAGAAGACTGCCCACCGACTGACGATAAATCAAGAGTTACCAGTTGGACAGACTCCACAGCGGCGACAATTACCCATCAGCCAAGGTCGGCTAACTGGAGCCGCCAATATGCCTTGTCTTCTCAAGCAGCTGAGACGGGAACTCTGCCTTCATCTCACAAGCAAGCTTCTATCCCTTTCGATAGCAATTCGCACAGAGGTCCTGCCGCCAACAGCCAGCGTGTGTACTCTGCTCTCATAAAAAGACTTCAAGAAACAAAACAACGTCAAAACCAGTCATTGGGAGAGAACCATGCTACTTTGGATGCTAGTGGAGCAGATTCGCCGCAGAGCAACTCGACCATAAGACGCCAGCCTCGTTGGATCAGGTATGAAGGATCCACCAACACTATTCGCCATGTTCAGGAAGAGGATGATGTCTTTCAGGACCGCGCTGAAAAGACTGCTATATCACGTTCTTCGTCCTCCAATAGTGTTATCAGGGGCCTTGAATCCACAGACTCGCCACAGAAAAGCCTGAGCCGCGATGACTACCCCAACGCAGCTATTGATGGAGAGTGTATGGCTCCTCTCGGGCAGAATGCTACAGAGCTTCAGGTGGCCCCTGAAACTCAAAAATCACTCATCTCCAGTCGGAGCTCGGCCTTTTTTGCCAGCCCAACATGTCATCTTTTCCGTACGACAAGCCCGTATCGCCGCGCACTACAGGCCACGATGAAGGCCACCCAAGCTGATGAGCAGCCTCAAACTCCCGGTACCAGATATCTGAGCTCTTTGTCCGCGCTTAGTCTCCCTACGCGGCGCTCGAGTACAGACGGATCCGATGACGACGAACGAATGGCATACGCAGAGAGTGTATACTCCAATTCTAATGACAAGAACATTTCATCTCCGTCAAAGTCTATGAAGCAAACGCCGATGAAGAAAGACCATGGAGATGTCACCATCTTCCTTCCAGTTGAAACACAAAGGCCATCTCTCTCGCTCTCGGCCCGCCATGCTCGAGAGGTGTCTTCTTCTAGCTCTATTGAATGGAAGACGTGGCTCAGTGCCAACGTGTCTAAGCTGGAGGCTTCATCCACCACATTGAGAACAGATTTTCCAGAAGAAGCGTCGTCTGCTCCTCGCCATTCTAAACACATTAGAGAGAAGACTGAGATTGAGCCCAAGGGGGACGACTTACTTCAAGACGTCTTGGGTAGCGGCTTGCCACTAAGGGTTGCAGCAGACAAGAATAACAGTCCGTCTGCTTTGACGACAGTATCGCAGCCACCAAAGTTTCAACTTGCGAATCCCTGGTATTCTCAATCTCCGGTTGTCAATGAAAACTCACCACCGGTAACAGGCAGAACTGTTTGCAGCAAAGATACATCTCCGGTTGGCTCAAAGGGCAATATGCGCACCATACCGTCAGTACCCAATGTCAACACCTGTGTCGCAACCAATATTGAATCGCCGCTGGAGATTCCACGAATGCGCTCTCTCAATACACTTGCTAAGCCGTGCTCTCCTATGAGCGACGAAATGCGACTTAGGCGTCAGTCGCGGACACGTCTCCGAGCTAATGATGCTTCAGCCAAGTCCAGTCCCGGGTTGACAACCGCCTTTGAGAGGCAGTTTGGAGTCAGCAAGACGGGCTCACCTGGAATGTGGAAGGCAAAGGAGCAGTCGGGTAAAGAGGATAGCACCCCCAGATGCGAGGTTGATGCCGGTATTGACGATATGGGGCGGAGAGAGCTCGATGCGCAGGTGATGGGGAGCAAGAGAATGGTTGATTTATTCTTGAGCAGTCGCCGCAAGAGAACAGCAAGTAGTCAAATGGGACGGAGCAGCGACAGTCTATCGGCTGCATTTATCTAAATATGGGAAGCAAGCAGTAATGAGGGATCCAAGGGCTGAGAGGATGAGGCCGATGAGGTCGATGAAACGGAGTTGGTGCATAGTATAAGTTATTTCTGGCTTGTGTCGTATGATTTAGCATGGTGTGAGATTAACGCAGCTAATATTCACAAATCCCTTAGGTATTATACATGTTCTGATGGGCAGGCTCGATGACATTACTTTATTAAAAGACTAGACAGAATCTCAGCAGTTTGTTTTACAAGTCTATGTGCCCTATCACTTGTTTTTGTCTTCTTCTCAGGAACAGTCAGTTTCCGTGTATCATTTATTTCAATCATTACGCATTATCTAGGCGGGTAGTATTATCTAGGCGGGTAGTATTATCTAGGCGGGTAGTAGGTATATTCTAGGTGTATACCAGGCTGGCAACCCATCCAAGTCTTTCGTACTTGTTAACTCGCTATTGTACAAGAGTGCTCTTAGGGTAGGTATATCTCTAGGCAACTCGGATAAAAAGGAAATAGGGGAGGGAAAGAGGATCTCCAAGTGAAGGCTGAATATGCCCTTCCAAAACGCTCGCAAGTCGTTCATCTATCGTTTAGTTTTTACTCTTCCTTATCGGACACTGGACTGACGTGGACTTGCCATAGCCTGGCTAGGGATTGTGGAAACTCGGCTTTGCGCTCTTCGCTAACCCACTCGCCGTACTCTTCGTGGGTGACTTTTTCGGCGAGGATGCCTCTCATCTCGCCCTTGTGCACTACGGGGTCTGTGAGAGACGAGTTGGCGCTGCGGGTGGTGCGCAGAAAGTGCCAAAAGTCATCTGTCACGCGGACGTACTCGCCCAAGGCCTCTTTGACGTTTAGACTCGCCCCTGTGGTCCAGCTCAGCAGGAGGGGTTCTATGAGGGGCGCGTCCGAGACGCTGGGGTGAGCAGTGCCGATGCTGGTGAGGAACCAGGACGAGTGGCTGGGGACGCGGTTGAGGACGCCGCGGGCGAGGTCCCTGACGGTGTCAAAGTGCGGGCGGTTGTAGAAGACGCTGTGATGCTTGGACCACGAGTTGGAGTGGACGATGAGAAGGGGCACGTCGATGAGGGCGTGGAGGGGCCCGCTCTGCTTGCCTGGGTCGAGGATGACGCCGCCGACGGCAGGGTTGATGTCTGAGGGCGCGTGCCTGAGGGTCTGCAGAGCGCCGGTGGCGCCAAAGGAGTGGCCGCCGATGGTGAGGTTGCCAAAGTCAAGGCGGTTGGCCCAGCTGTGGAGGTGGGAGCCCTCGGCGCGGGAGTTGCGGGCGAAGATGTCGTCGCCGTGGCCGTCGTTGATGGCGCGGAGGATGTTGATGGTTTCGAGCATCTCGGCGTCGCGGAAGGCGAGCTGCTCGCGCTTGTACTTTTCCGTGTCCATGGGAGGGTCGGAGAGGAGCTCGGCCTCTTTGAAGTGGAGGACCTGCTTGTCCTTTTCGCCCTTGATTCTCATGAGGGTGCCGGGACAGCTTCCGTCGCGGTGCTCGACTGCTGCGACGACGTAGCCGCGGCTGGCGAGCTCGCCGGTGTAATGGGTGTAGTCCCTCCTTGCGCTGGCATCGCCGTGGGAGAAGACCATGACGGGGAATCGTTCAAGATGCTCCTCCTTTCTCTTTCTCAACTCTAGTTTTGGCAACTCTTCGTCTGACCACTCGACTTGTGCTTCTGTGGCGGTCGTTCCCAGCAATGGCGCATCGACGTTTGCGGGAATCGTGATGCTGCCCGCAACAAGCCACAGCCCAAATGTGAAGATGGGCCGGACCAGGAAGTTGTTGACGTGCGCGTACTTTGCATATCCTGCCGCCGTCAGGCTGAGCGGCCGCGCAAACCAGTCGTGCCTCTTCCTGCGCTCCTTGATGCCCTTATCGATGGGATAGTAGACGGTGAAGAGCGTCGTGCGGTGCTCAAACGCCGGCTCGCCAGTGCTCTTGAAGACGGTCTCGGACACGCGCCGCGGCTTGGGCAGCGCAACCTCGACGTCGATGATGCCGACGCCGTACGGGCCCGAGTACGGCGGCAGCGGCGAGGCCAGCAGCGGGACGCCGCGCACGAAGCACAGCAGCGCATAGGCGGCGACGACGACGAGCGCGGCCAGGGGCCAGGACAGCGAGCAGCACGAGCGCCGGGGCCGCAGCAAGGCCAGGCAGGTCGCCGGCGAGGCGAGGATGCGGCGCCACCAGCGTGTGAACCGGCCGTTCCGGTCTGCGCGGAGCCATTTCGGCTGCTGCAGCTGCAGCCATCGGGGCTGCGTGACGGCGGGGGCGAGCAGCGGCGAGTCGGGCGCTGCAGAGTCTTGATCTGATTCTTCTGCTTGTTCGTGGACGGGCTCCAGCTCGAGCTCCGAGTCGGACGAGTCGTCGGGCGAGGGCAGCGCCCGGGCGGAGATGCGCGCGGCGGGCTTGGACTTGGAGGCCATGGCAGCTGTGCAGCGAGTGAGGCTATCGAGGGGTGGAATCGACAGCGACGAGACGAAAGTGCCTGTTGTGCGACCACTGCCGCTACAGGGGAGTCGATGACGTAGGCAGAGGCGGGAGGATGCTAGCAATCGGTACATGGTTGTTCTAGAAGGATGATGGTGGATTGTGGGTATCTTTGGGTACGGATGCAAGTACCTTTTTACTATGGAGCTTGAAAAAAAAAAGAGAAACAAGGGGGAGAAGAAGAAGGTTTGGGTAAGAAGCTGACGATGGCTCTATCGACAAAGATTCTTAATTTACGCTGAGCCTTATACACGTATAGAGAATTGAATGAAGATGGAGGTGAGATTTTGATTTTTCGGGCTTAATTGTATTACAACTTTATTTTGAAATGCCGCCGTTTACAGAGCTGCTGTGTACGAGCCTCGGCCGACTCTAGGGTATGGCAGCTTTGGGAGCTTTCGTTGACGCCAACGACGTAGTGGTGGCAAATGAATGATGGCATTGATAGCTTGGGTAGAGCAATTACTGTTGATTATGAAGTATTGGAGCATGCTTCGGTATTTACTGGAGATGTAAAGGTGATGGATCAGACAAGAAGTTTGTAAGCCCGGTATGCTCTTCCTATAATGATGGGTGGGCAAGATGAATTTTCTCTACCTCTAGCAGTAGAAGCTTGGCTGGGGCTTAAGTTGTATTGCAAAATTCATTTTTTTTTCTATTCAAATTGTTCTTGTTTCCCCCTTTCCTTTTTGCACGCAAATGTATTACGACGAGTCAATCTTGTGCTTCCCTTGCATCCTTCGTAATACCCAATGTGATGCTTACTACATGCACCCGTCACTAACACGATATCACGAGGGCCAGCATACCTACATCTTCAACTGCCCCAACCACGATCGAAAGATATGCCTACACGTTGTTTAAAATAGCTGGAGAAGCTCAAATAAAATCTACGCAGATGTAGCCATGTTCGTGGCAGAAAAAGCCACACTATACAAGGTCGTTGCTACATTCGATACAACGTGCCATGGCCATGCATCGCCTGCCTTAGCCTCGCAGCTTACAGAAGTGCTCCCTTACGATGCATTAGCGATGTGCTCGTGCATACATGTACAGTAGCAGTTGGTGACAGCTCTGATTCTGCAATGGCGTGTTGATGTCGGTGGAACGGACAAGGCCTTTGATATGATTGCTTCTCGATTTCCCAGTGCGATAGTAAAGGGCCAGCTGTGGGTGTAAGTGATCTATATGATATACCTAGACTTCTATAGCCTTACGGAAAATAAATACCATCAGTAATGATTATTCTAAAAGGAGATGAGATAAGACGAGGGATCGGGCATGGTGGGGAGCTCCGGACGCCCCGTGTTCATGTTACTACCTACATGTATTGGCAATCCCTCTTATGGCGAACGGCATCGCCTTGCAGCGTACACAGTGTACGGTACGTGTGATTGGCAGTAATCTTGCAGGCTGTTTGACTGAAGAGCAAGTTTTTGAGAGATTATTGGTAGTAATTCTGCTACTACTGATAGTAGAGGCAATCATGCAGCCAGGACGCTGGACTGCGCAGGTTGCCGTCCAAGTGCCAGAAACGTGCTGCCCCTCGGACCATTTTCGATGGTGACGAGTGTCGAACGAACCGGGGATCCCCGCACTTGGCAGATGGATATACATGCTGGTTACATCAGACGACAGCTTCCAACTTGGCCCAAATTGGTACTGCTGCCCAAGCACTTGGTGCGGAGAAGGAAAGGTGGATGTAGTAGTATCTTGTTCTGGACTTTTGGGTAGTGTACCCGGGCAGCTCCGTTGTGATCTTGACTGATAGGTGTCTACAACGTCTCTGTAGTAATATGTACTACCATCTCCATGATCGATATTATAGGCCGCGAAAAGTAATACTACATGGTAAGATGAGACAAAGCATGCAAACACGCACATGCTTTGTCTCGGAGCCTTTGCGTCGTCACAGTGTCTGGTTACAAACTGCATCATCTCTTCCTCTCCTTTCAACTGCTGGCTCGCTCGCCGGGTAAGCAATCATGTATAGTGCCAGCACTCCGTAAGAACAAAGAGGGTTTCCGTGCAAAAAAGCCCGGGCTGAAGGTGATTCATGCAAGCCGGATGCATAAAGCGGGCGAGTGGAGAGGACTGGCGGCTTGGACCGAAGCGCCCAAATGCAAATGCAGACAGGAAGCCAATTACGCTGCCTTGCTGGTTGCCGCGTGAGCCAGAAGAGACTGCATGCTTGGGAGGGAAATGCTACAGTGTTGATAGGCGGCGTTGATGCCGGATGTGCTCGTCTTCAACAGGTTATGAGTGATGCATTCAAGCTGTGAGGGTACATACATTGGTACAGGTACCTGCTACAAGTTGCTGCCCGCATTTGGCAGTTGGCATTGTCACGGCCCAAACGGTCGGTACTCTGGCTCTTCTCTTTTGACACGCTGCCAGTATCGGGTCCAAAGCACAGAATACCTGTCAGGCTACATCCCTTACTTGTCTGGTGGTATATACAGCAAACCGGTATTTACAGGTACGGGATTGCGGCGTGGCGTGACGGAAGAGGCAATGGCCAAACCCAAACAACACGCGCCTCGGACGGGCCGCAGCGGGAACTCGGTGGCTAAAGTTACCTGTGCCACGATGATAGAAGACACGTGGTATTCTAGAGCACTCTCTGCTTCACCTTTTTTTTTTTTTCAATATCGAGTCCAACTCCAAGTTGGATGCAGCAAAAGAGCCGGCCAGTGTTTGGTGGATAGGCCTCCCACTTACAGATAGCACCTGTGTTCAGTGACGCCACGCGGGTATTAGTGCATGTGCAATAGGGTATCCAGTAGTATTGCCCTATTTTGGAATCAAAAGCATCAGGCTTATATTACGAGACGAACCGTAATCCGGGTATAGGCCGGGGCCGAGTGGCGCGCAAATCTCGACGAATGGAGTCAAATATCCGTTTTGATAGCCAAGCCAAGCAAGTTGCTGGTAGATTCCAACCCCAGCGGCCCCTCCATGGATGGTACCCCACAGACAACTCCGAAAAAGGGCTGTTGGAGATGGTGCTCGAGTCGTTCGATTGCCCGTGTCAATGTACCCGTGGCAGTGCTGTAGTAGAACTGCTTGTAGGAGCAGACCGTCATGTCTGGTCGTAGAACTTTGACGTGGGCTTATCCAGGTAAAGTGATGTTGGTTCGAGCTGAAGCTCCATAATTGACACCCGTATGAACAATAGCTGAGCAATGGACAGGCGATACGAGCTTGTGAAATTAATGGCTTGGGAGGGGTCCTGAAAGGGGAGAAGGTCAGAGGTGAACAAAGACAAAAGAGGTGGCTCCGTAGAAGCCCCAAGCGGGTAGGCGGCGGGCCAGGGGTGGAAAGCAGCGGGTTGAACCTGTACATGTATCAATGTGTTCAATCATACTGTAGGCAGCTGAGCCGAGATGTCACAACTGCCGATGTCTTTTAGGAACAATTGACCATGTTACAGGCAGTAATGCTCTGTACAGGACTGGACGCACCTGGCCCGGGCAGTGTCAAAGCGCGCGCTGTGAAGCCTTGCGCCTTGTAAGGCTGAGCCCAGTCCAGCCGCAGTGATTCCATCAGCACGCTGTGCCGCCGTGGTGGGTGTGCTGTGCTGTGCTCGGTGATGTTTTCATCTCGAATCATAAACACGCAAGTAGCGCATCCCTCCCTTTTCCTCACCTCTCACCTCTCACCTCTCATTTTCTGCACCAGCAGCTAATGCCGCTCGCCTGCATGGGCAGACGCGCAGACGCTCTGGAAGCACCGCTGGAACAACTGCCAAACCCCCATGTCCAGCGTCCCGCCGTAGCATTGAACATTGCACAGTGCACGGGCTTACTGTCCTCCTCTTCCAGTCTCACATCTTCACGTCCCAAGCTCTCCGTCGTCTCCCGGCGCATGACACCACCCTGATGGCCTCTCCAATGAAGGAAAAGAGGCCCCCAACAAAGGGTCCAAAAAAGACCCCAAGAGCTGCGTCGGCAAGCCCAGCTGCAGAGGCCGCTATCGAATCAGAAAATGGCGCCCCGAGCCTACGGGAGACTAAGGCAAGCTTGCGGGTGGGATGCGCGGATGGCTTGGGATGGAATGGCACTTTTCTTGGTCAGCGACAAGCGCCGTTGGCTTCTTCTTTTTTTCCTAGCCAAGATCGAGCCATTCGCAGTGGAGATGCGGAGCAGAGATAGATGGCGAGTGGCACAAGGGCCGATACAGGTAGTCGGAAATTGAGCGAGCAATAGATGTTTATCGTGTGGTGTCTGTGCTTCGTGCAGTAGCTGAATGGTGGTTGGATATAGATGAGCACGATTCATATGCCGGATACCCTGAGCTGAGGACATGCAAGTTATTATAATAGAGACTTGCATCTTTTAGAAAGAGCAGCCTTTCAAAGAAATCCCATGACACGGGTGAATAGGTACTCTCTTCTCTGCTACATGTTACTCTTATACGCCACCACTGATATGACCAGCAGATAAGGCATTTGAGCTGCCCATGTGGACTTTAAGTGTGGCGTATAACAGAGTCAATGGATTAGACACTGCCATCTGTCAGTCAATGAAGTGTAAATTAACAACAAACCATCCATCACCTCGAGTTCACCTCTGCATTCTCTCTCTTGACGCTCAAGTAGAGATTGAGCCCAGAATGATAGCGCCGGACCCCTCCGTTGGCCCCTCCGCAGGCCTGTCAGCGCATCTCCAGCGGTGTTGCACTGTGCCGTACAGTGCCCGCCGCGCTGACCCGTTGCACCTGCCTGTGCTGCGCTCGCTCTTGCATCCTCTGGCCACTTCCAGGTTTTACTGCTACCACTACTACCACTACCACCACTACTACTACCGCCAAGGTACCTATAATTTTTTTCTTCCTCCTCTCCCTACTCCGTCTTCTCTCTCTCCTCCATCACGAATTTTTGTCAGTCTTTTTTTATTTCCCTACGCTCGTGCTCTTCTTCGGCTTCAACCCCGTCCTCGCTCTGCTCTCCAGCAATCAGTCACCTGTGCGCTAAGCCGGTTCCCGCTGTGGTTTGGCTCGGCCCCGCTTCGTCTTCATTTCTCCCGAGACCCCTTTACTTGAGCGATTCGACGCCTCTGCTTTTTTTCTCGTCTCGTCGCGCCGCGGCTTTTTCCTTTGCTCGCAACCATCTCACGTTTGCGCCTTGCTGCCGCTCCGACGAATCGCTCGCCGCCTCTCCAACGCACGGCGCTGCTTGTTTCCCCGGGGGTGAGTCGAGTCCCGCGTCTGCCTCTGCTGGCCAGCCGAGTTTGCGCTGCCCCATGGCCGGATCGCTTGATCCAGGCCCTCGCTTCTTAATCCCGCCCCCTCCACCGGCTCTGCCCAGGCCTGCAAGCCCGCAAGCCTGCAACAACTCGGCCACATGCCACTACTCCCCTTTGGCGATGTCGCATCTTCAGCGGCACCCCAGCCGACGGGCTGTTCCAATCTCTGGGCCGTGGGGATCCTGATATGACGACGTTTTTCTACTATCCATCGCCCCACAAATTGCATTTGACCGCAACTTTTGGATTTTATCTCGCATCTTGGCCACTAACACTTCCTCCGAGTCTTGCAGTCCATTCGATAGCCTCCCCATCGCCAGCCGCCTCCTCGTCTGTCCTCGCCCGGTCGATCGATTCTTTGTCCCCCGACGGAAACAATGTCCTACTACGATAACCCCCAGTGGTCGGCCCCGAGCCAGGCCCCCAACAACTGGGAACACCACGGCGCGACCACTCCTGTTCGCGCAGGTACGTTGCGCGCTCCCTCTGCCTCTCGAGATTCTGGGGCGCCGCAACTGACTTTTTGATGCCCGCAGGTGCCAACGGACCACAGCCGCAGGACGACTACGCCTTTTCCTATCAATTTGATGGTATGTGTGGTGCCGGGGAATGGAATCCTGGTTTCCCCCAAAATACAACACCTGTTGCTTGAAATTGTACTGCTTCTTTTCGCTGCCCATTACAAGGCGCTACGGGCTGCTGCCATGGTCCACCCGAAATTTGGCAACATGACGGCAACAGCACTTTGGCAACAATCTCCAATCACTTCTACTTCCCCCGGTCGCTCGAGAATTGGCATAATACTGGGCAGAGGCTAACTGATGGATTCATAGAGGTTGATCGTGCCCACGAAAACTTGCAAAAGTCTGGCAAAGGCTACATGATGAACGCTCGACGTGAGTTTTCCGTGCCCTACTGCTACTGAGCTGTCTCTGGCTACAACATCCCTTTCCATCTCCTTTTCCTGCTTGTAGTAAGTAGCAAGGGCCTCGACGAGGCCCCTTAGAGAAATCTCATGGCTAACCACGTAGCTGGTTTCCCCCTTTGTTATAGATGGTCGAATGGGTGGCTCTCGTGCTCACTCTGTCAACAACTTCGATGACAATCGTGGCCCTCAAGGAGCAAATCTCCATAATTTCTATGCTTCTCAGCGTCACCAGTCTTCTCGAGGCTCCAACGAGGCGGAGCAGGTCTTGCAGGCGAAGAGAAGGATGGCGGCTCAGCGGGAGCGTGAGCTCCGAAACCTCCACACGGAGCAGCAATATCAGCGAAGTAGGCCTCCCTCAACTGTGTAGCACTTCCTGTCTTCCTATTTCAAAAAAGTGGTTCCCAGAGCAAACCAAAAAAATTATATAAAGAAAATGTTATTGGCCAATAGGTGGTTCAAGATGGACGCTTGCCTATCTGGCCGAGTCTTCTTTTGTTTTTTTTGTTTTTCTTTTCTTGGAGTTTTATTGTGTTCATGTTCAGTGTTTGAAGATTTAGTGAGCAGCATGTGCTAACGAATCTTCTTCTGACGTAGGTGTCTTGTCTGATGTTGCCGTCCAGCAGGGGAACAAGCATATGAGCGAGGAGGAGACTCGTGAGCTCATTGCTCGCCAGCGCAGCGCTTTGTATGGCGAAGGCAGCTTTGCGGACAAGGCCGGCTACATTGACGAAACTGGTGCCGTCCGCACCGGTGCCCCTGGCCCCAGCGGCCCTGCAAGCCTGCGAGGCCACTCCCCCCTCACATACGACACCATTGGCCGCGTCCCCCAGGCTGACGTGGGAACGCCCGGATCGGCGGCTGATATGAACGCGGCTGATCCCGGCTCGCGACCCCAGAGCACTGCCAGCCCCCAGACCAGCGGCCCGACCAACAAGGTCTTTGACAACGCCGTCGGTTCCCAGAGCCGGACCAGCACCTCCAGCCCGACCAGCGGATCGCCTCCCCGTGGAGATTTCGGTCCCGGCTCCAAGTCTTCCCAGGGAGCTGCCGTTGCCCCCATCGGAACTCGTCCCACCGGAACACCCACGGCCAATGCCTCTGCCAAGCGCTCGAGCACTCCCCATGCCACCTCTGGCGGATGGGGCCGTGGTAACGGTGTCTGGGGCGGTTCTGGCCTCGGCGCTCAGGCTAGTGTCTGGGGTTAAAGTCCATTCTTGTCATAACATTGGGTGACGGCGTTGAAAGGACGCGTTGTACATTCTTTTGCGTGTTTTTGTCATTTTTTTTTTCTTTTTTTTTTTTTTACCTTGAACGGCAAGGAGAATGAGCAGGCTGAATTGAATTGTTGCATTAGTAGAAAAACAGGCGCTGGAGGTGAGGGAAAGGAATGGATCTGTTTGGCATTTTGGTTCGGTCGTTTTTGGTCAAGGCGGTTGATTTCGATCTTCGCGCGTTTTGCTTTCGCTGGGTTCAAGTCTTTGGTACGATATTCGGCGAAGAAAGGTATTGCGAGGCATTTCTGGGCGATTACGATCAAGGCAAAAAAAGGGAGGGGGAAGAGGAAAGGAGGCTTGCTCTACCTTATACCTGGGGAATCTGGAATTGGGATGAGCCTCGGACAGAGGAACGAAGATATCCGGATAGGAGTTATCTTGCTTTTGGCGCAGGATTGGGACAGAAACGAGGAGTTGCGTCCTTGTTCACGATAACGGCGTATTCATTGTTTTGAGTTTTTGTGGTTCCGATTTATATGTGACGGCGGGGACAACAAAATTGCACAGACTTTGGGAGAGAAAGTTGGTCGAGAGGAGTCAGATGGGAGGAGGAGATTCGACTACGGAGTAGTCATTTGCTGGAGGTGGAACAAGAAAAAGATTTCGTTGAGGAATACCCGGAAACTTGGAGAGGCGTTCCATTGGGCTACCGGTAAGTTGAACTGTCAAGAATGGAAATACACTTTGCGCCTTTATTGGCAAGGAGGCAGGGAAATGGAACAGGATGCATGGCGCTATTGTAGCCCAAGGGGGCAGCAAAAGAAAAAAAAGAGCCCAAAGAGCAAAAGCACAAAAAAATTGAAAAAAGGAAAGAAAGAGGGAAACAACAAAATCACTGCTGTGGAAAAGGGGGGTTGAGCGTAAAACTAGCTTTGGGGTGTAGGGACTTTGTTTTCATGCGCGGTTTTCCTTTTATACTCGTCTCCTCTTTGGGCGGCTCTGGGAATAGGCTTGGGCTCTTTGTCGGTTTTTTATTGGTCTTTATGATTTTTAGGGATGGAATGGATTTCGAGGAATTGCTTTCATTGTTGACAAAGGTCTACTCCGTTATATACCGCTGGGGGAATTACAGGCGCAGTCAATGATTGGAAAGAGGAAAGATGTTAATGAGAGTTTGGGTGGAATGGATATGCGAGGGCTAGTTAAACGTAACAAGATACATGTAATGGGAGAAATTGGTTTGCGAATGTGTTGGTGTTGGCGTTGAGTTGTGAGACTTGTGTACCACCAAGACTTGTCTGTCATTGGACTGCGATTGATGTTGATTGCTTGCTGCCGAGTTGTTGTATGTCAACATTCGTGTTGATGATTTATGTACTATCATAAGCGTGCTCTATATGTACCAAGAAGACGAAAAGTCATTTCACTACCCCCCTTTCCAACGCCAGGTTGTTACCCATATCCTTTACTCTCCCTTGTCCTCTGTTATAACAAGTTGCATCAGCTGTATCAGCTGTATCATAGCATCAACAGCTTGGCCCCCTCCTCCAGATCCATCACGTCGTCTGCCCTCACGGCCTTGCCGCCCCAGACGACGGTGCCGGTGCCGTCAATGGCAAAGGCGCCAGACTCTTGCCATTTGCTGCCCAGTTCTGTCGAGGGGTTGTTTTCGTTGATTGTCGTATTCTCACCATCACCCCCTTTACTACTATTACCAGAAGTAGTATCAGCAGCAGCAGCACCTCCCTTCTTCCTCGGCGTCAATATCTTCTCCACCCTCCTCTCCTCCTCCCTGCCCCTCCTCCCATCAACCGCACTCGCCACCTTCTCCCCCAGCCAGCCGGTTTCCTTCCAGGCCTGGACTTGCGCCGTGGGCCCGAGCACGTACCACAGGCTGCTGGCGATGCCGAGCCCCCAGGCGGCGTAGATGGCGCGCTGTTGGTCGATGACGATTTGGACGTTCCAGGCGCCGCCGAGCATGTCGATCCATTTGGAGGTGGCGCGCGGGGAGGCGTGGGAGATTGCGATGCAGGTGATGCGGCCGGCGTGGCGGTTTGCGAGGGCGCGGAGGGCGAGGAATGTTTTTTGGGCGACTGGGGATGAATGTTTAGCAAGTGTGTATATAGATGCTGGTGTAAGTGAGTGTATGGGGGGAAGGTACTATATGTCTATTTTGGAACTGGATTTACAACTTACACGCACAGCCCACACATCTCAGAAACACAACCAGGCATTTGTTCCTCCTCCCCAGCTCCAGCCTCCTCTGGCGATCCTGTGGCGCAACGTCTCCGATGCGCGGGACGGGAGCGACTTTGACGGGAGGCGGCGGCGGGGAGAACCACGGGTGGACTTTGAGGGGGAGCGATTTGGGCGTCATCCATGAGGACCAGTTGTTGTTGTTGTCGCTGTTGCTGCTGGCGTTTTTTGGAGAAGAGGGTGATGTGAGAGAGGAAAAGTCTAGGGAGGTGTTGGAGAGGCCGACTTTGCGGAGGGCGATTTTGGTGGTGAGGGAGGATATCATGGCTGTTTTGGACTGTTTAGACGGAATAGGAAATAGGAAAAGGATGGAAAATGGAGAAAATCACTCTTTCTTCGTCTTCATTATGTGTTCAAGAGGAAAAGGTGGCATCAAATTAGAGTACTTGAGCATGAAATGAGGATGGTATTCATATCACATGAAAAGATGATGATGAACAAATCGTATGATGAAACAAAAAAAAAAGCAGCACTACAGACTGATAAGACTGTAAGCTCCCTCCCAGCGGCTTTACTTGCATTACAACCCATCAAAAACAAATCACCCCCGTACTACAACGCAAGAAACAAATCTGATACAAGGGGCGCGCAATTCCCAACGCCAGTGGCATCAGAAACATTAGGGTGTGTATGCGTCTGTTGCCCCCCCCTTCTCCTCTTGAAACAAGTGTTTAGCTGTTAAAGTACCGAAATGATGCTGGGAAATTTAAATACATTTATGATTTTCGAGCAGCAAAACCTCCTTTTGTCCTTGTTGTCTTGAGCGAAAATCGAATGGACCCTGAAAGTTGAATTTGGAGGGGGGCACGCTTCCAGGGGGGATCCTGGTTCGAAATGAGCGAGTTCAGGGGTTGGTGATTGGTTGGATGGCTTGTGGAGCGGGATTGGATTTGCCCAGGGGTGTGTTGTTACAATTTCATGTGTTGATGTGATGGATGAGGAGCATAGTTTTGTTTTATGAGGGAATGATGATTGATGTCTTGTGCGGAAATAGGGCTGTTGGGGTATCAATTGTGTTACTGATGGGCGCTTACATGAACTCACTAGGCCGATGGGCAGTAACAAGGCATGATTCACTTGAACGAATTAAAACTAGACGAGGCTGAAATTCACATGGAGGCTTCAACAAAGCTGATTTAGTTATTAGTTTCTTCTTATGCCGTATATAGCAGCATTTACTGTTATACACTAACAATTGGTGCGTAAGCTGAAGGTGTTGTGTTGCACCATGAAATCTCACCTCCCTTCTGAAGCAACACAAGTCCCCTTTTTGGTGTTTCTTTCAAGCAGTGAGCCGTTGCATTGCCCTTTTTTTTTTTTTTTTTGTTTCTCTTCTCTGTGGAGCTTGAATAATATGGCAATGTATTCGGCTTCTTCCGAGCAAGATTAGACGTGTACGATGATATATGACGCCTCGCATTGGCTGCGCCTTGTGGCATCGTGCCTTGCCTATGTGGCGTCATATGCCCTCCCAATCGCGTACATGGGATGGAGAAGCTGAGTTGAGATGGGATGAGATACGAATATAAGCATAGCAAAGCCTTGTATTACTTTAATCATGGCACTGCGCCTTGCTGACAGACGTCTTGGAAATATATAAACAGGGGTATAGATGCTTTCCAATTCTCATCTCAGGAATCGAGGCTGTGAAGTTGGCTGTTATTTCTAGGTATGACAGCTACTAGGCTCAATTAACTGTACTTGCTGGTAACAAGCACAAAGCATCTCCGGTATCCAGTCTGATCAATCGTTTGTATACATGTCAGTGCTTTCAGGGCCAGGTGCATGCATTATAAACTCCATGTATCAAAGAAAACATGTACATGAGGCGCGGCAACTCGAGCAAGGCTAATAGTTGCTTACACAAGGCTGAGTCTGAATTTTGATCCTGCAAGTAATGGCCATTGGATCGGCTCAAGGATGCTATGGCAGCGTGAAAGAAAAGCCATGGCAGCTTGGCGGTGCAACAGCATATGAATCATCGGACCAAGCCCTTCCGCATCACCAGAAATGGCAACGATATATCGCTGCTAACATGCCTATTTCCCCATAATCCATTGATCCACCATAAATTGCGGCGCTGTGGATTCTAGACCTGGAGCGGCACATGCAACAATTAGGTCGTACAGGTCCACGGCGCCATGCTGCATATCAGACAAAAGCACGGCAGCACGGCAAGGCTATCGAGTATGCAATGCGCCGCTACGGCGTTACACTGCATGCGGTGACAGGCTGGAACACGTCATGGGAAACGGAAGAAACATCCGAATTTTTGTATGATTGCTTTAGGTAAATGTAGTTTACAGCCTCAGCGGTTGTGTCGATGGAGGTGAAGAGGCGAAAGCGAGGCGGCTAAATGGCTTCCGGCGACATTGCGGCGCGTCTTGGCAACTGACGAATATCAGCCTGATAGTCTATTGAGTAGTGCGTTTTTTTTTTTAATTCTCAGGACAGGACAAACCGAATGGAAAAGAATTATGAGAGAAAACTGACCATTGCCTCTGCTACGTGCGTTGTGGCGAGTACCTTCATGTAAGCTCAAGCTTTGAAAAAGCATATAACCCAATCGAGACAACGCCCAATATGTGATGGGTACCTGATTGGGCGGGCGTAGCTTGGAATAAACAACCTATCACAACTAGACATGTAGGCCTATTACCCCGGAGTAGAGCTTATTATGCAGGAATCATATTAAGCGTTGCGCTGGGATAGGGCGATGGGCCGGCGTCAATCGGTTGCTGGTAAACGATCTGCCAGCTGACATTAGGCCGGAGCGAGAGTTTATGACAGACATTGGCCCATTGCTGCAGCTCAGCTGGCGCCCATTAGGCAATTAGAGTCGGGGGTGCAACAGAGTTTAGGGTTATGCGGGAGCCTGACTCGCATTGAGTTCAGTTGAGTTGTTGAGTTCTCGTGTTGCCGTCGATGGCCTGGATATTGTTGAGCATGTCATGATTTCGTCCGATGCTGCTGCAAGTATCAATCACAACTCTCGGCCGAAATACGAGTAGAGGACAGAAGCAGTAGTAGGGAGTATTCCAACAGTACGGCTATTGCCAGTTTCAGACTTGAGTCAATCAGACATCACCTCTGCCAGGCTAAATGCAGATGGTGATGGTGGGAGGAATGGCAGCTACATGTAGCCGCAGGTAGAGAAACGTGACATGGATGTGGCGGCCCTCATCGTGTCACCCCAGAGCGACAGAGTCTAATACCAATAGTAGCAGTTCTAGCAGTTCTAGCACCTACTGGTTGGTCCTATGCACGGCGAGTCTGGAAACACAATCGTGCAGATGATGGTGGTTACCGGAAACGAGCTGCATGCACACACATGTAGCCACTATCCAATGCGGGCGCAGCGTCAAAGTCGAGTTACTGCCCTGCCTACTGCCTCTGTACGGAGCATTTGATACGAGGACCATTGAGATGGATTGATGGTGATTCTCCGAGCCGTTTATGGAGGCGCAGCATCGGATAAACCTGGCGTGGAGTGCAGTGACAGCCGCGACGATGGACGTGAAAATGCAGATGAATGGATGGACGTTGATTTTGGAGTTGGAAATGGATAGTAGTGGATCTGAAACCTCGGAATCGCCCAAAGAGGGCTGAAGGCGCAGGTACGGTGCCGCTGTAAGCTGCTGTAACACAGCAAGGCACAAGCACTGCAGCCGGCTACATGCAGCCGGTACCGATACGGGGCACACAGCCTGTTGACGGGTATTTGTGACCAGTCCTCGATACGGCAGCTTTTTCCATTTCGCAACACGCCTGAGGCTGTCTGCATGAACAAGATACGGTGAATCCTTCTTTGCTGTACCCAACTGTATCAGCACGCTGATACTCTTGTAACAATCCTCTTATACGGCATCTGCTGCCTGGAGGTTAGTGGTTTGTGTGTCATGGTAAATCATTGATGGGTAATACGGCTGTGGCGGGAAAAGGGAGGCGGCAAAAAGACCGTGAGACGCAAAGAGGTGGCATGCATCACTTCCACCTGCCAAAGCGAACCAACATCCAGACTCGGCTAGTCATGTCCATGTCCATGTCCATATCCATCTTCAGAGGCATTACTTTGTATAGCAGGTGGAAGATGTGCGTGCAAACTGCCCTTTCCAGCCCCGTCCATTCCTATCCTCTGGAAAGCCACGGCACAAGAGGCCGCATAGTTTGTAATTCTCCCTGTCCCTGATTATAGGCACTCGTGACCGACTCTGCCAGATCAAGGAAACGAGGTCATTGAGCGAATCTCGATCGTGTACGGCATCATTACAATCATTGTTCCATACTGTACAGAGTGCTCCATACAACTTGATGGGCGGGGCCAGGTACAAGGTACTCCATAGGTAGGCGCACTGCATTCAGTATCACTCATTTCATTCTTGGAAGGCTTTGACGGCAAATGCGTGCACGGCATATAATTTGGAAGGCATCTTGGAAGCCCCAGGCCCCAAAAAGAAGGGTCAGATGCCATGTAGACTACATAACGTAGGTACCTATTAGATCTGGGTATTACGAGAGCCAAGCTTGTTGTGCCTTGCCATCAGCACACTGCCCATGTTTGGCTTTTTAGTCAGGCGGGATAAAAATGGACATGTACCTACATGATATCACATGGATGAGGCCTTGATCGTCATTGACAACTTGAGACAAAAAGCTTGTCGCAGTGCCTGGATCAAGGAAACCCAAAGTCAAAATAGCATCCGCAGATCGGACGGAATAAACGCGTCTTGGCGTTGCGCGAATCCCCGGCCTTTGTACATGTACCATGCAAGCTACGCTTATACAAGGCAATATAGGGATAGCGCAGTCCTGAGCCTCGGATTCTCTGTAGCGCGTCGACTGTCTGAAACGATGTAGTCATCCGGCAGCACGTATTATTAATGCTGTTGGGAGTCATGAGCAGTAGTCTACAGGTAGTGTTCGATTTCATCCCTTTTTGCCCTTTAGTCCATCAATGTTGGGCAAGTAGCCTCAGCTTTTCGACATGTTCCATGCCAGCCGTCACCCCTCCAACCTGTCTGTACAAGTACGTGAATGTAGGTACTCGTGGGCCAGACACGAGAAACACAAGATGGGGGTTAAAGGGGGGGCCGCCACCACTCGCTACTACCATGCGGAGATGAGGTACAAAGTACTTTATACGGAGCATCGTGGCATCTGGTGCTCATGCCGGATCTCTGCAGCAGCTTCCCCTGGCAATCATTGTCAAAGTGGCGGGTACTGGTACTTGTTTGACTACCAGGCTTGTCTATGACGATGATTGAT